TTCTATATTTAAAACCTATAACTGGGTATTCATTCATAAGTCCAGAGTTTATGAGCTCTGCTTTGGCCAAATCGACCACCCTAGCCTTAATATTCTCACTAAAATTTAGCTTTCTGGATTGAGAGACCCTGGTTTTTTGAGAACCCTGAGTCAGATTTTCCACACAGGATACCGAGATCAGATTCGATTATACGACAAATTAAGGGAGTAACCCCTTAAAATGATATTCATGCTGCTCAGTGCTAACAATAATGAATAAATGACCATCGAGTCAATTCCTCCGTGTCCTCGATTCTGTCCAAATCACACGGTAATCGACAAACTGCGATTAATAATTCAGCCAAGTGAGCACATAAAAAGTGTCTTTGTCGGATGTTGACAGGGACGAATTCTTTCCCACTCGGACGGAGCACGAATCGATATCGCCGTTTTATTGTAAAACGCTTAGCCAAAGAAAAGAAAACTAACGGTAGAATTCGATTTATTTTTGGAGCGAGGTGCGATCGCCCGGAAATCCCAATCATCTCGATTTTCATTGACCGTGAAATTTTAATCCAGCTATTTTCAGACAAAATGTGTGAATATCATTCTTCTTGTCTTTCCTTTGCCAATAATACTGATAAATTTTCGAACAAAAAATGAAAAGAAAAACCGCTGAAAATAAAATGAAATTCTTTTTGAACAACTAATTATTGTCAAGAATGATGGTATCATCCCAATCATTGATTAATGAGAAAGCAATTGAGTTAAAAAATGACCGTCAGAAAAGCACCGATTTGGACAAATAGGCGCATGTCAGCGAGAAGCAGAGCCCGTGAATCGGTGGCGGCGCGTTTTCATCCCACTAAGTGCGTAATTGTGATGGATGGTGCACCAGGCTCGTGATTAATTTTTATCGTTGTTTGGGTTTGTTTGAAAATGATAAAATTGGAAAATTTATAAAAGTAAAGCTCACAACCTTAATTTGTAAATGAGATCAAGGAAGAGTGCTTTGAGGACTACGACGTAAAGTACACTCCAGTGACTGCACGAAGATGAAAGTTCAAACTCGTCAGGACTCGGATTATGCCCTTCGTAGTCGTTCTTTTTGACCTTTCTGAGCGAAAATTCATACTTTTGTTCTCTCATTTTTCTCATTTGACTTTTTTCTATCTCAGAAAATGAGCGACAGAGAAAAAATACAGGTTATTTCATGTAAAATAATTACTTTTTCCGTAACGAATTCAGTGTATGGAGTGCCACTGCACGGGAGTGGTTAGGAAAATGGAAGGAAACCTTATTCTCGTTCCAGATAAATCAAAACCGCTTTATTCTTATTTGAATGTTGGAAAATTTGACCTCGAGCCCCAGTAAGTTCTGATATTTTAATAAGACGAGTTGATTTTTATATGCCCTCCATGGCGATTTATTAATTTGAATCTTAGCGGATTTTCAACAAATAAGCAAAAATACACTTATGCAGTTTTGGGATTCATCTTTTGGCAGTCCATCATTCTTGCGACAAATTTTGCTGGCATTGAGAAACTTGGTCCTGTTTTGACTTTTAAAACGCTCAACTGTGGAAAGAGCTATAAACAATGCATGCTCGACTTTTCTTTCAACGAGTGCTACCCGCGATTCAAAAGATGTATGCAGGAATTTGGTGATTTCGAGTTTCCACAGGGTGAAATTTCTGTTATTGAAGAAAGCAAGGTTTTACAAATATTCACTTATTCCGAGGAAGAGCAGCAAATTAATCTCAAAAGATGTAGAAGATTGAATTTTTACGGTAAAAAATAATAATCATTTCACCTCTTAGTTTAACTGCCATTTATAGATCAGATATTATGCTTTCGTTACTGCTCCAAAATTGAGGAAGACGACGATCGTGAATGCCAAGAGCTTTGTAAAGCACTGATGAGTGATGCTGGTCAGTCGAGTGAGATCTGTCCTTTCGAGAAAAATTGTCCTAATGGATGTCCATGTCCTTTTTACAAATGTGAGAGCATCGACACCAGAAAAATGACATTCGGGTTTTATTACAATTCTTCTGATCCATTATTTGAGCTTGATGATCAAACGGTTGAAAGAAATCCATTTAGAAAGACAAGGATCGTTGTAACAATCTTTTTATAGTGACTCATAAAGACTATAGAAGACTAAAGACTTTAGACTATAGAGTCTATAATATAGACTCTTAGTAATAGTTAGGCCTCGGACGTAAAAAAGACGATTTTCATCATCCGGTCATCGTACGGGAACAAGAGTGGGCTCATTCGAAAGCTCTTGATAAGGGCTTTCTATTTGACCGATAAAAAAACTGGGCCCTCCCTTTCTGATACGAGTTATTTTGAAAAATATTTTTCGAAGCTTACCTTCAAAATCAAATATATCGAAAAAGGAGGACATGGCCCAGTTTTTTTATAAGCCCAACAGAAAGTCCTTTTTAAGAGCTTTCGAATGAGCCTATTCTTGTTACCGTACGACGACCGGCTGGTGGTGATGATTTTTTACGTCCGAGGCCTAGTAATAGTCTATTACATTAAGTCTATAAGTAGGGTTTTATAGTTTTGAGAAACTGCTGAAAGGCTACGATTTTATGAAAAATTTAAATGCTAATAAAATGCTACTAAATTATAAAACGATCCGCCTCTAAGATCACCTTACGAAATAACTTCACCGGACTACAGACATTTGTCTCGACTTGTTTCTTTTGACTTGAAATCATTGAGTATCCACAAAGTGTTCGAAAGGATGATTTTACAATTGCGAGAATTTACGTTGCCGAATCATGAATCACTTCGATATTCTCCAGAATTCCCGATACTGACATGTATGCTTATATTATATATGCCCATATATAACTTATATGAACTATATTATATGAATCATATATAATAACCATATCTTTTTAAATGATTTATCTGGCGTAAAAATGGCTGTAATTCTAGTTGATGAACCGTTGATGGGCTTCGCAATCTTGTATCTTAAAGGAAATCACTATTTAATTAACGGATATTTGGGAGCGTACAAAGTTCCTGCAGGCGAAAATGCTATACAAAATGTAGGAACTGTGATTCATTTGCCTGCTTGTTAAAAATCATTAATTTGAAAAGATTATTTCCAATTGACCGAGGGTCCTTAATCATGCATTAACAGAGATTGGTACTGAATCATTCCTGCAAGCTTACGGAAATAACAATTTGTTCAATTGGAATCAACTTGGATATGGTTCATTTGAAACAAATTTACCGAAAAGTGTTGCCGCTGTTTTTAATGATTTCTTTTGGTTTTGGTAAAATATATATCGTTCAAATCCGATATCTCTTTTAAATAAATGTATTTTAGTAGTCCGATTAAGTATCCAGCAAAATGTTTCTTTGTCGACCCAGAGAAACAAGGAAGAAAAATCATATTTGAAGCTAAAGCAGAATCTAGGGAACTCGCAAATACTTACGGAATCTACAGACGACGATCATTCGTTTTCGAAAACAAGCTTTTCATTCTTTCAGTGAATCTTGTCTCAAGAAATATCGAATTCATAACGATAAATAATTTTAACAGAGATTGGAAATTTTGGACATATGAGGATCCGCTCTGGCGGTTTGAATTTAAAAATGAGTCTCATGGTACATCAAACTACTGGTTTTCAACCAGCGACCGAGTTGAAGACAGTTTTCCTTATGATACAGCCATCAACGATTTTTACCCTATTCCAGGAAAGCAAATTTATGAATTTTCTCTCTGATATTTTGAAGAATACAAAAATCTGTTTATAAAGATCGGAAAGGAATTCTTTTTGTCGCAGTTTTCAGATACCGCGAGTTCGAGCTTAAAAGCCGCTGGGGTGGACGCTATAAAGAGCAATCATGGACAAAAGCCTCTTACTTTATCATTCTCTACAGTAAAGCTTTAAATGTTTTTAAAATTTTTTTTATTTATATTATCATATTTTCTTTAACAAACGATTACTCTTAAAGCCTTAAAAGATATATTTATGGTCGTTTCAGTCGAATTTCCAGAATCGAAACAAATTTTCGTCATGACAATATTAAAGAACGATTTGATCTTGAAAATCCGATTTTCAAAGATCTCAGAGCAATAGGATAACGGTCATAAACATTTGAGACCGGCAATTCAAATATGCAATTTTTGACCGAAAAAAGAATCACACGGCGATATTATTTTAATCTCTAGTTCAGAAAAAGAGTATTTTAAACTAATTTATGATGAAGAATCAAAGGAAGCAAGGCTGGATGGATTTGAAATTATCCCAGAAGTCAAATTGATACCGCCAGTCTAAGAAGTTCAACAGAAAAAACTTAAATAAAAAACATTTTCTAATGCATCCTGTCATATAATTATTAAATTGAATAAAACTTGAAACCCGTTATGATTTTTTAAAATATTTTACATTATGAGGATAATGCTAATTTCATAAACTCGCCGTTAAAAAAGAGCTTCTTTTGACGATAAACTGACAGGCCTCCTAAGAGTAAACAAAATTCATTGAATTTCTTCATCTGTTTCACTATTGCTTACTCTTCCTATCGGCAAAATACATTCTCACGTAAATAGACTTTCGGCAAAACCAGACTGAAATGTCGATTTGATTAAATTAGAGAAGAAATTAATCTGAAGAATAAGGAACTCGGTTTTCATAATGTTTTGCATTATGATTTATATTAGATTTTAAATCTTACAATAAAAATTACTGTGAAAATCATTAATGAAATTCATGAATCAGCAAAATCACTCAACTCGACAAAAAAGACTTGTGGAAAATTTTCTCTTTTTGAACAGACAAGTGTAATATTTGAGATTATATATACAGAACCGTTCATCGGAGTTCTCAGAGTACTCAATAAACTTTTTAACAAGACGCTTAAAAGCTATTCCGAAAGGAAGAATTCTGATTTTTACATTTTTCTATGTTATTTTAACTTTGAGCCGGCATCATGAAAATCGACCCAGAGAGTACAGAGCTTCAAGATTCAAATAGAGAGCAGAGGCCTCCGAAGATGGAGAACAAGGAGCTTTTGGAAGACTCGAAGTTGGGGTTTGACTTTTTCTTTACAAAGTTCCCTCATGTCTCGTGGCTACAAGTGCTGTGGTTTTTCTTGGTGAACTATTGCTGGGTCGTCGGAGGATTGGTGCAAGTTGGCTCGATTATTCTTCAGGCTACACCAGGAAGGGTTTCTCATAGTTAGCGAGGCATTCTTGTCATAGACGAAGCTCATAAGTACATTATTACATATTTCATATATTATTCAATTTTTATCATTTGTTTTAATACATATTGAATACCTTATAAATGACCTTATGATGCCATGTTAACCCAATCTAGAATTTCGGTGCAAAAGTGCACTGGATGAAAGATACCGTACAAATTATGCCGAAGGTCTTGTCTTCTCACCGGAAGATTCATGCTCTCAATACGTCAATATCGAATCTCTCTGCTCTCAGAATATGACTCTTGAAAACTGCATCAATGAGATAGAAGGCAAAACTGCTTCATTAGGTATCTTTATTTACTAGAATCGAATAAATGAGTTAATAGAGATCGAGGCATGCTCTACTGGTTACATTTTCGACCAGTCTGTTTTCACAAGAACTGTAACGACCGATTACGAGCTTGTATGCGAAAACGCATACATCGAATCGACCATTTCTTCAATTTTCTTTTCTGGTTTATTCTTCGGTGTCTTCATTTTCGGCCCAATCTGTGACAAGATCGGAAGAACGAAGGCATCCGTGATCGCTTCTTGCTGCTTGATTGTCGTTCAGATTCCTTTGATTTTTCTGCCGAAAAGTGCTGGAGTTTGGAGTTATGCGGTGATCAGAATGATTTCTGGCTTCTTTTCGATTTCCGCTGGAACTGGGACTTTCGTTTATACGATGGAAATTATCGGTCCCAAATGGCGAACCTGGTTCGGTTGTGTGACTCAAGGAATCTTTGCTGTTGGCTACGCTCTTCTTTCCCTGGTTGGATATCTCATCAAAGATTGGCAAGACCAAATGATCGTTCTTGCCCTCGCTCCAGTTTTTGTCATCCCGATATTTGTCTATCTTCCGTATTCGACGGCATGGATTTTCTCGCAAAAACGGTACGACGATGCAAAAGAAAATGTGAAACTCATCGGGCAAAAATACGAGATCGAGACGGAAGACAAGTTTCTAGAGCAGCTCGAAGGCTCGGTGAAAGCTCAACAGAAAAGCGACGCTGGAGGCAAAACATACACGCAAATTGATCTTCTCAAGCCAAAGAAAATGAGAATCATCACTTTGGTCGAAATGTATCAGTGGTTTGCTACGACGCTTGTTTTCTACGGCCTTGCGCTTGGCGCTGGAAATTTAGGTTCTTCTTTGTTCATTTCAAATTTCATTAATGCGATGATCGATATCGTTTGCTACATTTTACTGCCTTTCTTTATGGACTTGAAATTCATAGGAAAGAGTTTTTACCGATTTTCTTCCTTGATTTCAAGCGTTTTTTGACTCATAAACAGGAAGAAAATGGGGAACCGTCTGGACAATGCTCCTCGGCTCAGCTGGCTGTTTCCTAACAGCTGTCTTCGACTACCTTCAAAATGAATATCCAGACAATGGCACTTACGGGACGCTCAAAGCGACATGCGCCTTTGCAGGAAAATTTGGCGTTGCGGGGACTTTTGGAATAGGTACACAATAAAACATCTTGAATGCATTTAAACTGATCTCAGTTTATGTCCACGCGTCGGAAATGTTCCCAACTCCAGTTCGAGGAATTGGCGTTGGTCTCTCATCCGCTGGCGGGAGAATCGGAGGCATGGTTGCGCCGCTAATCAATGGTCTCGGCAATACGACCAGTTGGCTTCCGTTTGTCGTTTTTGGAGCTTTAGGGCTTTTGCAAGTTCTGACAGGTCTTGTTGTACCCACTGTCTTTATTTTAACAGTTGATTATAGCATTTTTATTGCCGGAAACACTTGGCGTGCCGATGCTTACGACGATTGAGGGGGCAGAAGAATTTTACAACAATCCTGAGAAATTTAAGAAAGATGCAGAAGAAGAGAACAATTGATTGTTTATCCCTTTTGTCACTAGAATTTAACAATCAATAAAATGAATTAATTTTTTTTTTCGGAAATGAGCTAAACAAAATCAGACAATATGTAGGTCGCAGCAATTAAAAGTAAAATCTTTTGACCAGAAATAGCTTAGGCGTATCAGCAATAAAATTTACGGAAAATCGAATCTCTCGGGGAAACGATATCAAAGAGGAAAATAATGTTTCAGTCTTTAAATGCAGGAGTTAACAGAGACGAGAATTATTTAGAGCAGGTAGATTTGAACTCGCTTCCGAGAGTGCAAAGAACAGTTGATTTGAGAAGAATCTCGACGCTCGATATAATAAACTTGTTTTCGCCAGCTCGCGTTTGTGAATTCAGTTAAAAAAGCAAGCGTCAGTTCTAAACGCAATAATCAGCAGGAACAGCGAAAAGGATAGGCAAATAGCACCAAGTATGGCTTCCAATGACTTCTTGGTTGATCAATTGATCCCCTTCAAAATCAATTCGTTCAATTGCATACGGACTAACGGCGCCAGAAACGATGAAAATTGAGTTTTCGACAATAATAGCCGATTGATAGTAGTCCGCCTAAAAGTTTTCTTTTTTTTTAAGAGTCTGGAATTTTTACATTTCGCAGATTTCCGATTTGTAGCCAGCTGCTGTTTTTAAGGAGCGAGATTGTCGAGTAGGGGATCCAGCGACTATCCGCAAATTTTCGTCCTCCAGCGAGAACAAGACTTCCGGTTGGAAGGCCAATCAAGACATGATGACCTACCTCACTTAGAGAATTGTTAACGAAATCAAATCAAGTTTGTAAAATACTATGGAAAATCGCTCAAGAACGCCCAGCCAGAGGAATCGAGCATTTCGACTTTCTTCTTTTCCATTTTGCTGCCAAGTGATGTTCCAACTGTGGTTGGCTTTCCGTTGTAGAAGCCAAGCTTTCCTCCATAATGCCCATAATTCGCTGCGTAAGTCGACGCCGAGCCCGATGCATCGAAAATCTCGCATTTTTTATTTTCGTCGACATTGAAGCAAATAAGAGCTCGTTCACCATCCTTGATTGCAATCGCTGCAGAGCCGATTGAAAATCTGTAAATTAAACGGGTATTCTGCTCTTTCCAGACACAACCATCCAATTTTGCCACCTTATTCAGTTATTTTCAATTACTTTTCTTTCATTTTCTTACTTTTCGATCATCTCGTCTCCCGCCAAAGACATGGAGCTCATTTCTAACAAGCAGAGTTGCAAATTTGGCTTTATTTTCGCTGAGCTGAGCTGAGCTGAGCTGAGTGAGAAATTCTCTGAGCTGAGCTGAGCTGAGCTGGCCTATTTCGGAGCTCACTGAGCTGAGCTGAGCTGAGCTGGCCATTTTCAGAGGTCATTGAGCTGAGCTGAGCAGACCTTTTTTTAAGGTAGTTGATCTGAGCAGACCCTAATTAGAGCTGAGCTGAGCTGAGTGAGCTGATTTGAGCTATTTTTTACTGTTTTTTAGTAGTAAAATTGTGTTAAAATCATTGAGCTGAGCTGAGCTGAATGATACTTGTCTGAGCTGAGCAGAACAGATCATGTTCGAGAATAATTGAGCTGAGCTGAGCTGAGCTGAGTGATTATTGTCTGAGCTGAGCTGAGCTGAGCAGATAAATTCACTTTCGAAAATCAGTGAGCTGAGCTGAGCTGAGCGACTGCTCAGCTCACTCAGCCAGCTCAGCTCACTCAGCTCAGCAAATTTGCAACTCTGCTAACAAGACAAAAAGGGCCATCTTCGAGAAAATCTTTAGTTCGCGCCACCATCGTCACTGCCGTCTTAGTCGATCCCCCGAAGGACATCTTAAACGCCTTGTTAATGTTTGCGCCCATGACCAGCAGAGTTTTTTCTTCGAACTCGGACGTATAAAAATAATTCTTGATTTCAACGCGAAAGTCAAATTTAAAAACACGGAATTTTTTATTTTTCACATTTTCAAGGCCGGTCGTCTTGATTTTCGAAAGAGTTTGCGTCTTTTGCTTTGGAATCTTTTACAGATATTATTCTTGTGTTTAAAAAAATGCGAATAATCAAGAGTGCGAGGGTAAAATATCACTGATCCTCGAGAATTTCAAGAAAAGACTTTTTGAAATGAAGTCGAATCTTTGTCAATCGAGCAGCCTTCGACGGCAGAATAAATCGTCCCTCCAAATAATCAGAATCTATCCAAAGAGAGTCATTTCCACCAACTCCAAAGCTAAAGAAAACTGTTCCGTCGAAAAATGTATTCTCAAGAATTCTTGTTGCTTTTGAAAATCGCGTTTTTTCCTGAAAATCGACTTCGAATTCGAAAGTATCTTTCGCATTCAATTTGGCCTCAGCAGTTGCAATATGGTTTAATCCTTCCAGCCCGGAAAATGGATGATCCGGAATGAGTGTTTGAGAAAATACAACGGCCGGGAATTTCGACTGTGAGACAGCATTTTTGGCAAAAGCTGGAAAGACGTCGTCGTGAAATGCGAAATAGGGGTTACTTGTCACGTGCATTTTTCCTTGCGCCTCGATTTGGACAAGGTCGAGCTCGACCAGGTATTTTCAAGGATTTTACATTTTTCGAGCTCGGCAACCTGTGTCGAATACCCGAGTTAGAGTCTGGCTTTTCTCGCGGAGATGGATAAAAGATTGAGACTCTTATATTTTCGCGACTTTTTATTTAGCTCTTCAGACCCTGACGCAAAATTTAACACTTGTTCCCGAGCGCAGCCGAAAGAAAATTGATAAGCTAAATAATGTAATATCCTCTCCGAAATTAAATTTGATCTCAAAAATGAATTCAAAAACCGAACTTTGCAAATAAATTTTCTCGGTATTGGCGATTGCGTTTGCGAAGTAGCTGCATTCGTCGTTGTTGATTCCCTTTTGATCTGTGTAAAATGGATCATCCTCAGAAAACAAGGTCGAGAAGCAGAGAGCATTTTGATCGTACTTGACCAGGGATCCGACCCAGTCGCGGCCTATGGTCAGAAACTGCCCTTCGGCTTCCAAGAGCACTGAGTACAGCGTGTTCGAGAGCGTTATACTTCTCGTCACGAGAACCAAAAGCAGTCTGCCTGTGTCGATCTTTTCAAGTTAAAACTAGTGAACTGTGTCTTAGAACTCTGAGAACGATTTCAACTCGTTCCAAAGGCATCACGTGGACTGGCTCTTGATCTTTCAGTTCTCTCGGCACTCCAAACTCGCCTTTCTTCCAGCCCTTTTCCGATTCTTCGTTTTTGGCAATTCTGCTCAAGCTCCTTGTTGTCGACAGTTTTAAAAAATGGTCTCCGAGCCTGACGCTCATCAAATAAAAGATTTCCTTGAAGCTGACAGAAGAAACTTTCGCGTTAAAGTGATTGCTTGCGATGAAACCCTGGGCTTCTTCAAAACGGTCTAAATTGTAAGCCGGAGCGTAGAAATAGCATTTGTCTGTTCTTCCAGTTGGCCGGCTTTAAAGGATCGAAAATTGTTTTCAGGAAGCACAATACATTCTTTTCGACCTTTTTCAGATAACGACAACTGGAAACACTTTTACTCCTCTCTCTTCTAGGAGAATCTCAATTTGATGAGTTCCGATGGATGATCCAAAGTGAAAGACAAAGTAGCCTCTGAAAATTTAATTTAATCAAGTTATGGCAAAGAATAAAACTACCTTTGTTTGTTTAGACTTGGGATAAAAACTGGAGCATGTCCGTTTTCGTTGATTTTCAACAAGTTTCCTAGGGTATCGACCAAATAATGCTCTCCGTTCAGAAAAGTAGCACCAATTGACTTTTCCGTTTTTACTGATTTAAAATCTTCAAATAAAAGCTGAGAAGAAAAAACTTTCATAAGGAAAAAGCTGATCGAAAGCATTTAAATGTCGAGCAGTTTTATTGAAGTCGGAGAACAGAAATCTGAAGCGACCATTTTTAATCTGTTTCTCGCGGTTCTTCCAACGACCGCTTATCAGTTTTATTTCTTCGGGGGGTATCAATGTAAGAATGTCGTTGGAGTATGTTGACAATGTAGATATCGTTGACACTGACATATCAGACGTATATGCTGTGGTTAGAGCCGTCGTCAATGAGGTAAATGACGTTGAGGTAGTTAAAATAGCCGACGAGGAAGTTGACATTGAAGAAGTGGATGTTGACGAAGCCGACATTGACATTGTTGACGTTGACGAAGTTGAAAACTGGAAAGCATCGAAAACGCTTTCATCCAAGGTACTGTTCTCGTTGGAATCCCAGCGCATGTCGAATACAGGAATCAACTTTTGACTTGACGTTAATTTCTCGCACTCGTAAGAAGGACAAGGACAGCCATTTCTACAATTCTTTTGGAATGGACAAACCTGGCCATTAGATCTTGTCAATTCAAAACACATCGACTCGCAAGGAGAAATCGGGTTTGTTCTTGTTGACTCCAAAACGAGCGTTTTCGAACACAGATGGCGACAAATCTTTTGGTCGTAAAACTGTTTCTTTTGACAGCGCAGAAGATTTCTTCCGTTTTCCTCTTCGGAAAAAACAACACGTGCAGGTTTTTCTTGTTCGATCTTGGTTACTGGCAGGGGGCGCAGAAATCTTTTACTTATAACGCATATTTTCATCAAATGCCCGCAGTAATCCATTGTGGCGATTTTGAGACATTCTTTGTAATTTCGATGGCAAGTCGAAGTCAGATAAGTTGTGACACCGCGAGATTTCTCCAGGGAGTAAACATTTGCTGTTAAGGGGTTTGTAGTCGGTTTTAAATAGGAATTTTGTAGCTCTCTTTACGAGCTTTCAGAATCTGAAAAGAGGAATTCAAAATTCCAATTTTCGCAAAACCGACTACCATCCCCTTAATTAGAAGTTTTAGGAGAAAAAAACTCTGAAAGTTTAAATTTCGGAAAGAACCCTAATGGCACATTTGTCGTCGTATAGTTAACCCGTCGGGGAGCGGTTAGCGTAAATATGCCTTCAACGCCAATAAGCTTCCCGTATTTCGAGCACCGGGGCGTGTCGTTGCAGCTAGACTGCTGCGCGCTCGGCTACGAGTAAAATAAAACAAAATACCTATGAGCATAATCGTAATCCAGAACAAAGAACCCAGCGAAAGATAAGTGTATTTTTGAGCAGTTGTTGCGTTCCCATGCTCTGCCAAACTAGCTTGCGAGGTGATTTTTTTCTTCCACTTTTTCTTCTTCTTCGCTCTGTTTGTGTCATATTTCTGAGTGTGAATGCTCCGACTTGTCAAAATTTTGTCCGGGAATAAATAAACTTTCTTTCCTTTTTGTCGTAAAAATCCGATGCAGTCGCAATCAATGCACTTTGATTAAATAAGTTTTATCTAATGTTTTCGGGAATTTTCCACTGGAAATTATAAATACCCGGATCTTTGTTTCTGGAAGAGGATTGATCATTCTCTCGTATTTTTCTCTGAAAATCGAGCCTTTCACGTACAGGTTGGCCTGATTGTGAACAATTCTACGTCCAAGGTAGCTAAAAACAGTTTTTCAGCTCCTTTATGAGAACTTGACTCTTGACTCCTGACTGCTTGTCCGACACTTTTACAGCCTGTTCCCTCCTTTTTAATTGTCATTTTTCAAGGTCATCTAGGGTCGGGGCCGATAATGTTTTTCAGGGTCAAGTCAATTTTACTTTTTTAACATTTTTGGAGCTTTAGGTCTTTTGCAAGTTCTGGCAGGTCTTGTTGTAACCACTGTTTTTATTTTAATAGCTGATTATAGCATTTTTATTGCCGGAAACACTTGGTGTGCCGATGCTTACGACGATCGAGGGGCAGAAGAATTTTTCAACAATCCTGAAAAATTTAAGAAAGATACAAAAGAAAAGAACGATTGATTGTCTATCCCTTTTGTCACTAGAATTTAACAATCAATAAAATGAATAAATTTTCTTTCGACAATGAGCTAAACAAAATCAGACAATATGTAGGTCGCAGCAATTAAAAGTAAGAATTTTTCACCGTAAATAGGTATGGCGTGTCAGCAATAAAGTTGATGACCTATTTTTCATCGAAAATAGCTCAAGACCCAATCTTGAGATAAAAAGAGATGAAATTCGGCCAAGAGATTCAAGAAAAGCTCACTTCTGAATGGAGGTCGGAATATGTCGACTACAACAAGCTCAAAAGAATCATCACGAGGCTAGAAGATGGAGGAGAAAATGATGTCAAGTTTAAAATTATGAAGTCGATGATTTCCGCGGATTTTCTGAATAGAGAAAAAGAGAGACTTTCTTTGGAGTTTTTTGAGTTACAGGACATGGAGATTGAGAAAGTCAACTTGTTCTTCAATGAAAAGGTACTTTTCATAAAGAAATTTGATTTTTTATTTCGAGTATAGATCAGTTACGCAAATCGTCAGCTTGCAGACATTTCTCGAAATTGCGAAGACTCAGATTTAATGACACGGAAGGAGACAAAGAATTTGAAAGACGCGATCTGCGAGTTTTACTTGTTCATTCAAAAATTGAAGACTTTTCAAGAGCTCAACTATACAGCTTTCCGAAAAATCAACAAGAAGCACGACAAAATCATGTCTTCTTCTGAAGGCGCTCAATTCATGGCCGACAATATCGAAAATGCTCGTTTCAACATTCGGTCTTTGACGCTCAGTATCACTCGTCATCTAGAATCGCTCATGACACGACTTGAAGGAGGAGATTCGAAACAAGCCATGAATAAGCTCCGCGTCCCCCCAATTACGGATATAGTTCATGGAAAAACAAACGAGTATCTCTACATTTTGGGAGCGCTCACTGGCTGTTCATTGGTTTTCCTGTTGGCGAATGTGTTCTTGTTTTATATCAACAGAGCTGATTTTGATTTTGACGATAATTTGGACACGATCATTCTTCTTTTTCGGCCGACTCTCTTAGTCGCCATTTTCATTATTTTCTTCGCTTTGAACATGTATGGCTGGGCAGCAGCAGGAGTGAACAGTGTCTTGATCTTCGAAATAAACCCTCGAGACCGACTGAGTGCCGTTCAAATGGGCTGCGTTGGATTCGGCCTTCTTCTTTTATGGTTAATTTTTCTTTTCATCTTTCTCCTGCTCTCTTCGAACATCCTTTCAATACCATACGGCCCTCATGTTAATTACATCCCGATTTCTCTTGATCTTCTATGTCTTCTTTTTGTTTCTACGCCACTGAAAGGAACGCATCTTTGGACGACGCAAAAGTTTTTCTGGAAACTGCTTGTTCGGGAAGTCAAAGCAGGCTTCATTCAAGTGGCTTTTGTCGATTTCTGGTTCGCCGATCAACTCAACTCTCTTGGACAAGTCTTTTTGGACTTCGAAAGGACTGTTTGCTTGATTTCAACTGAGCGAATCCCTCTTAATTTTACTCCTGACCCAGGTTGTCAAGAACCTTGCCTCTTTATGACAATTTTTCTTAAGAAACGATCAATAAGACAGATCAACTCTCGTGCAATTCAACGCCCTCAAATTCAACAACCTTGATGAACGACCCCTGCTCTCCCGAAAGCATCGACTACGGCTTCCGCTTCATCTTCTGGATCCTGCCCGCTTACATCCGCTTCGCCCAATGCATTCGCCGAGCAATGGACAGTCCAAAGCGAAAATGGCATCATCTTCAAAACGCAGCGAAATATTCGACATCATTTATCAAAGTTGCTTTTTCTTTCATTCTTTATAACAGAAGAAGTTCCGCTTCTTTTGGCTTCTGGGTGCTCGCATATGTTATTGGCTCGATTTTTACGCTTTTTTGGGATTTGAAAATGGATTGGGGACTTTTGCATTTTGAAAAAGTACTTTGAATTCTTCTCGTTCATTTCAAAAACACAATTTTAGAAACAACTTTTGCGGGACGAACTGATCTACGGCCACGGAGAAAGCAACTGGATTTACTACCTTGCTATTCTTCAGGACATTCTCTTCCGCTTTGCTTGGATTGCGAAATATTTCATCGCTCAAGCGTGTCCAGGCTTTTCTCAAGTTTGGCAGTCATTATTCGCGTTTATCGAGCTTTTGCGAAGATTTATCTGGAATTTCTTTCGACTTGAAAACGAGCATCTCAACAATTGTGGTGAATTCAGAGCAGTTAGGGAAATTTCGCTCGTGCTCATCAAGTTTGTTTATCCTTAAGTTTCCCCTCGATGTATGTTTCTTTCAGTGAAAGCGAGATTGAAACCTTGGAACATCTGATGGATGGAAACAAAGACCAAATGCCTGACTTTCATCGTCATCGCAGAACGCGGTGAAAACTCTTTTTATCTTTTTGTATTTCTGTATTATACAGTGTATTCTGACTTTAATAGTCGCAATAAATTTTTGAAAATTGAGAAACGAGCTTTTTTGGAAATTTCCTTGAAGAGCCAAATCCGATCTTCCGAATTAAAAATCAGCAAAAAAATATCGGGGTTATTATTTTTTAGAAAAGACGACGTCTTTTTTATGACTCAAGTCATACGCCCGTAATAATATGATAAAAAAACAAAAAGTTCGTTCGGAAGCGGATTTATGACCAATTATGAAAATACCTTTCGTAAAGATTAAAGTTCACATTAGCTTTTCCAGTTTCCTTCGCATGTTAGCGGGTCCGAAAATTCATAAATCGGGTGAAGGGCGCTGGGCTTGGCAATCCGACATGTCTAAGACAGGTCCTTTTTTGGGACCCGTGTAAAAAAGGGATATTTTTTCGCATTGTCCTGAGAACCTGACTAAAATTGAGAACCAAATCTCGAAACCCTGTCCCTGACAGAAGACAGACCTGTTTTCCCACTCCGGGCCTGAGTTTAGACAGGTTCCTATACGGTCAGGAAATGGCGACGATTTTGTCCAGATTGTATTTCCCTTCAGCGTGGAGCGCCTGGAGCTCCTGGTATTCCAGGGCAAATAGGAATGAATGGCTTCGACGGGAAAGATGGCACAGATGGAGAAAACGGCGAAGCTGGTGCGGATGGTCCTCGAGGCTCCTCAGGTACTCGTGGCCCAGTGGGTCTTGATGGCGAAGCAGGCAAAGATGGTGAACCTAGCCATGATGGTCTTGATGGAGCTCGTGGAAAAGAAGGACTCTCCGGTGGAGAAGGCGAAGTTGGACCTGTCATGAGCGGAAACTTAATTTTTTTAATATTCATAATTGTTGAATATGAAATATTATTCTACTTCCAAGTTTCATTGTAATCTTGAAAGGCCTATTAGGACCTAATTAAGCAAGTTTAATGTTACGGCGAAAAAGTCAAGTATTGATGTCAACTACGGACCTGATGGACCAAGTGTTCAGTTTCCCAGGAATGATGGTCAAAAGAATCGGCCAGTTTGATGACTTTAACATGACCTTTGAAAATGAACATTTTGCGTCTTCTATCACGTGATAACTTAAATCGTTCTTCTTTAATTTGTAAATTTATTAATTTATCACAAATTATTTTATTACTTCCAGGCAAAATTTTTGATCAATGAACATATTTATTCATTTTGATTCCATCCCTTTCATTGTCAAAATCAAATAGAACTGTTTTTGTTTCATACTCAGTAATCATATCCTCGATTCCATATAAGTATGGACCAAGTTGTCGCTGTCGAAGGTATTTTTCGAATCCCAAATGTTTGAAATTTCTCCAGATTACGGTGCAATAAACGCAAGAATAAATAAAGAAACTGCAAAATTTTTCTGTATCTCATTTTTACTCATGAATTTGAATACAATCGGGAAGATGAGCTGATACAGAAATGATGTTGTATTAAAATTTTTATAAGTGATGATGAATACATTGAAACAATTAAATCAGATTGTGTCATCATAAATATATATTTCTATGTCATATTTTTTATCGATCACCATCCTAGATTGGGGCTTTTCCAATATGTCAGTTCATTTCAGAGGGAGATTTTTTGTTGAAAAATATCATACTTTTTTTGGTTTTTTCGGTTCTGATAAATTTCACGAATCACAATTCCATTTATTGAGAGAAATCGGTCAATCTTGTTTTCGTTCAAAACACTTCAGTATTTAACCACTAAATATGTCACAATTTTGCTTGCTTGGAGATGGCCGGGCTGGTTGTTTGTTTAAGGAGCATTTCCAGCCTGGTCTTTATCTATACTATTCCCCTCATTTGAATATGCTCGGAGTATTTCTTCGTCTAGAAATTCAAAAACATGTAAAAAGAAACAGTATAAAAGGTTTTCAGTTGTTCATTTTATTGATAGTCAGATTTTCTTTCTTCTGAAGTTTTTTGATTATTTTTTCTGCGTATTTTGATGGCTTGTCATCGCAGCGACTGTTGAATTGTTCGACCCAGGAGCGTATTTCTGAGAAGAGGTATTGAATTTCTTCCGCTTTCGTGCTTGGCTCAGGAGCGCTAAAAATGGTACAATTTTAAGATAAAAAATGTCAACTGTACTTTTTGGGAGCGGAAGCCAGAGCAAAACAAGTTTTTGCTTTATTCCAGAAATCAACGAGCAATTCATCTTTCAGCGATTTCAGAGACCGGATCATTCTTTCTCTGAATCGGCTCCGATTCTTGAGCTCTTCTGCATTCGTTAAAGCGTCTACAAGGCTATCCATTGATTCTTGTAACTGTAAGTCTGGTCTGTCGATGCTGCTGTCAAGTTCTTCAAGCGCCGAACAACAATATTTTGCTGATTTGAGTGAAAAAATTGACAATACAAAATTTATCAATGAAAATAAAAAAGATTTTTCCCTCAACCTTCGAATCGCTGACAGTTTTTATCCGTACATCGCACGGTCATCCAGTCCGGAGTGGCGCTGGTGATGTTCTTTTCACCTCCGAGAAGATACGACGAGAAACTGTAGCCCGAGTTCTTAAGTCTGATGCCTCGACAGATATCACGTCTTGTTCCAGGGTTGAAAAACAGACCGTTGACTTCCGGTGCACTCGGATTTGTCGCGGAAAACCAGTGGCTCCAGAACTCGTCTTCTTCTGAAATATCATATATTAATTATATTATATAATATCATATAATTTGAAATAAAATTTCTAATATTTTTTTTATTTCGATTAAATTTCATTTAAAATAAATCTGATTGAAACAATGTTTATCAATTAATTTCTTAATCTTTTACCTTCAACATCAATAAACTCTCCAAGCTCATACTGGGTTGCCCCTTCTGAGCAGCTTCCTTGCTTCTCATAATTAAAAACGGGAAAGGGCAACTCAGCTTTTTCAAGTTCCTCGTCATTATCGAATGTTGATGGGCAGCAATATTTGATTTCGAACGAGGTACACGGATCTTTTTCTCCGAAGTGCAGCGGACACTCATCCAATCTGGGATTTCTTTCGGAATGTACAAGTCAAACTTTCCGCCGAAATTCTTCGAATGAAACTTTTCGGGGTGTTTTTTTATCATTTTTAAATTTGAATTAATTTTTGAATCAAGAATTTCTTTGATAAAAAAGCACTTTCCTTGACGTTATTCATCATCGAATAACGCATTCCCCAGCACATGTCGTTTTTGATGCCTTCATCCAAGTAAAACTCGTTGACTTCTGGAGAAATTGGGTTGGTCACTTTGAGCCAGGGCGACTCAAATTCAATTTGCCCTTGAAAAATGAATAAGTTTATCATAATACGATTTCGTTGCAAAAAAAAGGATATAAATTGTCAAAAAGATTCTGGAAAGCAATTCATAACACAAAATGAAAGGTAACTTACATGGGAGAAACTTGCTTTTCTTAAAATTCAGCGTTGTTGGAGCATTGCAGGACCCAACGAATTCCTCGTTAAAGAGAGCTCTTGCCCCGCTGAAAATAAAATAAAAAATCATTTTTGTGAAAAATCGAGAATTTCGAAGATATTTATGTGCCAACGGGTTGCATGCAGCAGCTAACTCAGCAAAATTGCAATCCTAGAGCGCCGAGCTTTGCAGTGGCGCTGTTCTCAAAGTAAAAAATATATAAACGCTAGAAATTGAGCAGAAAATTAAAAATGAAAGATCTATTTTTTCTTCTCCAAGGAAAGTTTTCACTTTAAACAGAGAATGATAAATAATCATTTATCATGTTTTGATAATTATACATGATTATAATTTTTTTTTCTTGTTTTTAATTTTATTTATAAAATGAAACACAAACAAGTTGCCGCCGCTTGCAGCAGCTCAAGCTCGAGTAGCTCGAGTAGCTCGAGTAGCTCATCTTCCCGTTGCTCTGATGTGAAATGGTACTGTTTTGACGGTAAAACGATTAATATTCCACGAAAGAAACTCAGCAGCGGATGTAAGATCAACATGACTAGTGAACAGCTGCAAAGACACGTTTTTGACAAGTAAGTCTCAAAAATTTATTTTCAACTGAATTCCTTTTTACTTAAATTATAGGTGTGGTACCCCAACGAGATGTAGCAGAAACGAAAAATGGGACTTTCCAAAAGGCAAACAATGGTGCACTGATTTGCATGACGTTATCGGAAACTCAGGGTTAATCATGCATGACTTGGAAGCCGCGTGTCTATCACATGATCAGTGTTACATGTGGAATGGTAAGTCTCTATGGAATCAATCAAAATTTAAGTGCGACGATCAACAACATAAAAACGGCCAGGTCATCTGCGAAAATCTAAAAGACGTCAATAAGTCAAAGTGCAAATTTGAAGTTGCGACAAAATTTTGGCTTCATCAAGACGTTAATATTTCTTTGTGCCACTGGCTCGAAGGTCGACTTTACGGCTGTGGATCTGATGACAACCCATTATTTCGGGCAACTGGAAGTATCGAAAATGACGATGTCGACCCGTCTCTGACCGAGCAAATGAAGTCCTATAATAGGTCAATGTGTATTGGTGATCGGCGATCACTGATCGCTAATGCAAACTATCACAAATAAAATTTCTTAAAAATGTCACTTTCTTGAGATTCGCACATTAAAAAGCAGATGCACATAAATATCAAAAATCTAGTAAAAAAACCTGACACCTAAAACAAAAAGAAAATCTTTTTATTCACTTGATAAGAAGATATTAGCAAAATCTGGCAACAGACAAAAGTTAATTTAGAAAAGCAGCTATGAAAGAAGATTCGTTTCTGAGACTTCGTGAAACTTGGCAATATTTTTCACGACAACTTTTGTTCGATACGCGGAGAGTCTTGCTTTCGCCTTTTTCGCGTTTTCAAGCGCTTCTTTCATGTCGTAGAACTTTTGCTTCTCCCGGATGTTGAAGTGAAAGTCCGTATCTCTGACAAAAATTATTCTGATTTTTATAGGAGATTCTTTGCATACCGGTAGTCTTTCTTTTTGTTAAGCGAGCTCAGATGAATTTCAACTTCTTCTGCTTGACTCAAAAATGACGCGATTTCGGGTTCCTTTTTTCTTGTGCTCTTTCGTCGGTGGACGGCAAAGCTTCAAGAGGCTGAGTTTCGTCAGTTCTCAATGTTCGATTTCGCTGAGCGGAATTCGCGACAAAAGCTCTAGCCTTTCCTTTTCCGCCCAAATTCGTTCATGATCTCCTTGTTCGCTCTCCTCAAATTCTGATCTTTTATCTGTCGCGAAATTTCGTCCAGCATCTCTTCTTGTTGCAGTGAGAGTTCACGCACGATCAAATGAGACTTTTTTAGATTTCCAAATTTGCCCTTATCTTGAAATTAAGGAAGAAAATGAGCTTTTAAATCATTCCTGATACTCGTCAAAATCGACAAATGAGACATTGCACGCTGGACAGAAGTAGTAGAATTCTTTGTATTCAAAGATTGCCGTTCTTCTTTTTCCGACGTTGATGATTTTCTGTTTCTCGATCGGGAGTCTCCAAGCTTGGCATTTCGGTTTCTTACTTTCAGGCTTCAGAGCGCCAAGATTCTGAGGGAGTCGGCGACCTCGGCCCATGTTTCCTTGGACGATGCTCATTCGAAAGTTGTTGATGCTCATTCTTAGGAAGAGGTTTGATAGTTTACTGTCCATTTGGATAACGATATTTTAGGGCTTTTCAAATCAAATACACCTGTTCCTTGGCTTGATACTTTTACGCGATTGACCAGCGGATCCTAATCTCTGACCAATATGAGACATTCGGGAGGTCTGCCTTGGACTCAACCCATCTATTGGTAGAGCTGTCGCTCGAGCTCGTAGAAATTGCGAACTGTTCCCTTTGAGAAGAAAAGAAAAATATTCATTGAATAGATTTAATTATTTTTACCTGCTGCCATGCTCCTTTCAAGGCTTCGGGTGAACTGAGAAGGTTTCTGTGAAAAAAAGACTAAGAAAACAACATTCTAGAGAATCGTTTATTGCAGAACGCAAAAGAACGCAGTTTTATCAGATGATGATTCTAGCGCTGAACGAGTACTGTAGCGACCGGCGGCTTATCGCGCCACACACTCTACAGTCTGCACTTGAACTTGATTGTTTTCTCCAAGAAAGTACCAGCGTCAGATATTAAAGCAGATGGAATCTCAGTATGGTAAAGGGTTGAAAGCTTACAAAATAAGAACCAAACTATTGACAACATCATCGTCTTTCTACTTTTCATAGTTTTTACGCTCGTCTTCTGTTTACGTGAATTCTTCTTTGGAGTCAACGAGCAGCTGCACTAGAGATTTCAATGCTCTGTTTCCTCGAGAATAAACTTTCCATCGAAACAAGCTTCTGACCTTATTGACCTCAATTAAATTGCATTTGCGTTTTTCAATTTCAAATCCGCCGCGTTAAATATAATGACTGGTGAAGTAATAATCGTAAAAGTCCACGGGACCTACTCACTAGGCATTACCTTTTACGATGACTTGAGAAATGTTTACTTAAAAAGGCGTCTACTTCTTAGATTTTGGCTTTTTATCTTTAGAGAAAAACGCACTTCTCTTTTTGTCAGTTTATACTTTTTTAGAGAGATAAAGACTGCTTATACATCTGATTTAATAATGTACCCTTCATGTTTTACTAAAGAATTTTTTTTTTTGAAGATATTCAATATTATGAGCCGATTTGAAGATGAGGCCGCCGCACCACCAATGGGAGTTGGAGGAGAAACAGATAGTGACGGATATGTTGCGCCTAAATTATACTGGAAAGGTAAGAAATATGAGGGCTACAAGAATAGTCTCGAACTATAGTCATGAAATTTATCATTTTATGATCGTTTTTATTGCACAATTGAGACTAAACAGGGGTTCTGGAAAAGAACCTTTGGGCTGACATTCGGCAAAAATGCTAAATATGCTTCTTTTTTAAGCTGCGGTGACAGATAGCGAATCTGGATTTGAAGACAATGGTGGATCATCAGTCTCTGCGAAGCCAGTTTTAGCAAGGTGAAATCTTTGAAAGTCAAGAACATTTTTGAAAATATATTTTAGACGTGGTCTGATACCCAAGTAAGGATTTTAGCAAAGGAGGAATTTAAAGGAGTTTTACTATTCCTACTGTAGGAATAGTAGGAATAGTAGGCATAGTAGGAATTTAGATTACTAAATAAGTGATTAATATCATGCCAATTTATCATGAGACTTTAAATTAAGAATAGTCATTCTAACCACATTATTACACTAAGAAACCATCATATTTATCATTTTTTATGAATTATCATAAAATTAATTAAATTGACTAACAAAAATGATTGAGAACGGAAAAATCATAATAAATGAACTCAATTAAGACGAGAGGAAAAGTCATCTGATGGCGGTCGTAATCGCGAAATCATCGCCAAAGATGGACAAGACCAGCGATACATCGACGTCACAGACGCGCAAATCGCCGAAATGGAGCCCCTTGGAAGCAAAAAGGTCAAATATGAAGACAGAAACGTAAGTTGATTTATTTTTGATTGGACTGTTTGAACTATTGCTTTAAGTACACCTTGAGCGCGTATGCGAAGTTGACGAAGGTTCAAGTGACTAGTTCGGCCAAGCGAGTCAAGTAGCCGGCTTTATACTGTATAAAGTATTTTCTGCGCTTTTTATCCAAAAACGGACAACTACTAATCGACTGTTTCTTTTAACAATGAACCAAATATGAGAAATTCGTTTGCAAATTGCTTTATTAATTCGGCTTCATTTCAAAAGTATCATTTTTCATAAAATTTGCTTCTTTTGACTTCAATTTCCACAGCTAACTTTGTTCGCTGGATTTGACCTATTCCGTTGAAAAATGAACAGGTCTTGTAAGTCATTCTGGTCGTTGTCTTGGTCTCGGTTTGAACGACCTTACAATCAGACATCAATCCGCAGAGAAAGTTGCAGGATAGGGCGCGAGATCCGGTTTTGTCGACGATGAATTTTTCCAGGGAGGGAATTTTATTGAGAGAGCATTTTCCGTTATTGTAGATTTCCAGCGAGTCACATGAAGAATCGTATTGTCTAGTCGGGCTGATGAATAGAGATGTCGATCGACAGAGGCTTATACAGTCATTTTTAGACTGGACTGCGATCGGGCCGCTCAAATCGATCTCCGAACCGACCAGTTTTTCAAACCGAGGCAGTTGTAACTTGATGAAGAGACTCTCCGCCGAAGCAAAGTGAATAAGCAAGAACAATGATTTGACCATGTTAAGGTTGAACATTTTGTTGCTGAAAGGTGTCATTGCGTCCTTTTAATACGACTGTGGTGAAGCGCTGGCCAAATTTATTCCCGAAATCTGTGGTTCCGGGTCATCCATTTTACCATGGAAATTTAAGCGTGGATGTTTTTATCATGGAAAAGAGACCGTAATATGCCAACACCGGAATTCACAGAAACGTCACGGCATTCTGTTGTTGACTGTTGTTCTGACTAGGCAAAATGACCAGTGAGTACTTTAAAATTGTGAAGAGCAGAGATCTTTACAAGCAAGTGCAGGGTTCGAAATCACCTCACTTTAGGGTGCACTTTTTGGAAAATAATCGAAAGTGAAATTATCACTTCACCCACCTCACCTTTAAATCTTTCAAAAAGGTCACTTCGAAGGTGCACTTAAGGGGGTGAAGGTCAAGAGGTGCACTTTTTGGAAAATTTTATCACCTTCACTTCATCCGCTTCACCTAAAAATTTTTTGAAAATTGCCTATTTAAGATGCACTTTTTCGCAGAAATCACCTCACCTAAGACTTTTTTGAAAAAAGCATTTTTAAGGTGCACCTAAAGGTGAACTTTTTTGGGCAATGACCTCACCTTCACTTCACTTTCAACTTTTGTGAAAAAGCGATTTTTAAGGTGACCTAAAAGTGCACTTTTTTTGAAAATCACCTCACCTTCATCTCACTTTTTTTGGACCCTGAGCAAGAGCAGTTATTTCAAACTGTGACGGTCGAATGATACTAACGATACCATACGGTGTTCCCTGTACCATCAAGGAAGATATTCTCCTTGGTGACGAGGAGACATCACCCCAGACAAAAATTTATAACGATCTTGTTCTCGTGAGATGATTCTGGAAAATTTGGATGACACCGTATTGGGAGAGCTATGGAAAGCGAGGATGAAGTTGTTCTTCGTCCGAATATTGCCGAAATGAGGTCTTGGATAAAATGAAGCCGAATCCCTTTTTCGTTTAGTTTATTCAACCTTCATATTGGTAATAGCAGAAATCTTGACAGTTCTCTGAACAAACATCAGGATCAGATTCGAAAATGATCGGACGGCGGCAATCGCCTTCATGAATGTTGATGACTGTCGAAGAAGTAACATTTTGACCATCCCAGATGACTTTTTCGACGTAGCTTAATTCACTGTTTTTAAAAAAAACTATTGATTTATTGCTCACTTTGTTCCATAATTCCCACCAAATACAAGAAAATAATCTCCAAAGTAAATCGAAGAGCCAAACCGATTAAACTAAGAAAGTTTTGTTAGAAAAAAATGCAATGAAAAAAAACATATTGTAGTTCTCCAACAAGACTCCATTGATCATCCCGGTAGAGGTAAATATTTCTTGTTGGTCCATCATCGATTTCATTCAAATATCCACCGATAGTAAGAACTCCGTTAATTACAGAGAGACATGTTTGAGAAAATATATTCTCCGGATGAGCAGTTGCGTCTTCCCAGGCAAATGTTTGCGAGCTTAAGTCTTCCTTTACATGAAAAAGAACTGTGAAAATACCTTGGAGTATAAATTTCAACGCGATTTGAACGAGGAGAGTGTGAGCCGACTATAATCGGAGCGTTTTTATACTGCGCCATGCAAGCAGATTCATGTTGAACTTTTGTTGAAACAATGGATTGACTCTTTTCACCATCAAAACTTTCACAGTTTTTTGTGCTTCCCTGGCATAAAATGACCATTTCACCACCGGTCAAAGAAACAAGAGAGCCATAAGCTGTGTCGAACGCATTCAATAGCTGTTTTTTCGTCGTTTCTATTCGGCAACCAGAGAGTTTTGCAATCTAAACGATCTTTACTAACAAAATTAATTAATTCAAACCTTCTTTGTGAGCTCAGATCTCGAGCCAAAAAAGTAAACCTCTCCTCGAAGAATCGCATGACCAGACCATTCAAGATAAGGGTATGTGCTCGTTTGTGGGACCTCATAAAATCGGTTTTCCTAAGTTTTTAAGACAATATGAAAATTTTTTCTACAACTTTGAACTTTCCGTCCGTTGAAATGACATAATTGATATTTGTATAGCGCCAAATCTCAATGTCTTCAGATCGACTCTGACAAAGAACAGTCACATGCTCTGGGCAAGTGTATCCCCCTTCGCAAGAGCATCCCATAGGGCAGTTTTTCATGCAAGGACAATAATCTATTTCCTCTTTGTAGTTGTCGAGGCAGTCGTCCATGCAGTTTTTGTCGAGGTAACAGCTTTCGAGACATAAATCAAGCCTAGTGAAAGCGGCTTTTGAACATTGCTTTGTGTACGGATTGTTTTCGGGGTCCACGCATAGGCAAATGCTATTCGGACAGTTTTCACAGCCCTCAGGACAATCACGAAAGCAAGGGCATGCAGTGTAACAATCTTAACTTCAGTCAATAAGCTCTCTCAAAATTTTTTTACCTGTAAGGACAGGAGCACACTCAAGCTCACAATATGAGCTGGTGCAATCGCTCAAACATTTTATGTATTTTTCCTCACAAAAATCAAAGCAAACTTCCCCTAGTTCAGCATCACTGAAAGTGACTCCTATACAGATGATGATATCGAATTAACTTACGGGCAATCATCTCTTATGTCCCCACGTTGAGCTTCTATCGCGAATATCAAGAAGTAGATCTTGAGTAACATGACTGATGTTGTCTCTCTTTTAGCTGTCCTTTCAGATCTAAAACGGTAATTTGAACTGAAACTTTTCTGACATTTGCATAACCGAAAGAACAATTGCCACCTTCAATAAGAGTTACTCTTAGTTTCGAAAATATTTGAAGAAAATTAACACGAGTTCATAATTGCTTATCAAAACACACCAATTATAAAATAACCAACATGGATTTCGATTTTCTTTATGTTAGCATAATGAAAAAAGTCAAAAATATTTACGAAAGCTTTTCAGCGCGCGGTTTTCCAATGCTTCATTGCCGGATAAAAGAATTTTTTCCGAATGGATTTCTTTAGTCAGGAAAAAAATCTGATTTTTTCAGGTAAAAAATGATGTTTTTTGAAGAGATAATATCAAAAGCGTTTCTTTTCAGATTAAACTTTGCAATGGGTAGTTCGGATGCGTGCCCATGCGTCTCACAGCCTCCCCAACCCGTTCCATCTCGAAACGTCTTCGCGCCCAGGAAGTTCGACAGATCGAGTCGCTATCGTCCGTCCTCTGGCGCCATCTAACGGTCGAGTTCCAGTTTCTGAAAAGAGGGAAAACCGAAGAATAAGAAAAAGTGATAGTTTTCAGTATCGAGGTTCATCTGCTCTTTTTATGGACGGTGTAAATTCCCGGGTCATTTTCCGACTGTATTGCCCTGTATTCTTACTCTCCTGACTCATTGACTGTAAGATGTGGAGATAGAGTTACGAAAAAATGACCAAATCAAGCACTAACGAGTGGAACTGCACTTGCATTTAGCTTTTTTTGAATTCAAGTGTGCATCCGAAAAAATAAGTTGACTCAATATCTCCCCAAAAAATTAACAAAAAAAGTTTTTTCTTATGAAACTTATCTGTTTTATTTCAATTACAGCGCTGTAAATAAATAACGCACAAGTTTTCTGAGAAATCAAAGGGTTTATTCCTCTTCAATAGGATCAAAAAAGTTTTCGGATCTCGTCTTCATTGAAAGTCTCCCGGCAGTTCGGGCAGTTCTTGGGCTCGAGAGAAATTAGACAGGAATGGCAAAAGGTATGAAAGCATTTCGTGATACAGGAGAGATGGTGAAGATTTTTGTCAAAGCGCTCGTAACAAATTTTGCAGGAGTTCTCTTCTGCTGTATCTTTTTTGCTTGAGAGGGTTCCCTTTTTCTTCAACGCTTCTTTTGTCGTCGCTAAAATCTTGAGCTTTTCTTGATACTGAGTCTTCCTGGCGTTCAATTTGCTCCGCTTGAGTTTCAGAGATTCTAGCTCTTTATCATTTTCTTTGATGGCTGCTTCGGTTTCGTTCAATTTCGCTTCAAAAGATTTCTCCTCGAACTCGATTCGCTTGAGTTGAGCAGACACAGAAACTTTCAGCTGTATTTCGTCCATCTCTCCTTTCATCAGAATTTGTTGGATTGCCTTCACCATCACTTTCAGGTCGATTTCCATTTGGCAAGGAATATCTCCCTTGATCAGAAGTCGAGGGCTGACACGAAGAGCTTCTTCGAGCAATTCACCCATTTGTTTATTTTTGTGGAGCGTTTTCTTTTGCATTTTTCTTTTCAGGTCATCTCTCGTGTACTTCGAGTATGTTTCGAGGACTGTCAGAACGTCCCGTATGTGTAAGCTCATTTTTAGATAAGAAAAAGCCTGGGTTCGTTCTTATATCGAGCTCCCGTTCATGCTCCACTTCAAATTTCATGCTCCAAATAAATCGAGCGAGAAGATCGTACCTAGACGTAAAAGGTATGAAATCTCAGTTTTCTCTTTATTTCTTAGATTATATTTTCTACAGGGCAGTTACAGTAAAAAAAAGTTATGATCGTTTGCCTTCAAAATATTTCCACAATACGCTGAACATCATTGATTGTATTCCATTGGTGAGAATTCTAGTTTTGAGTCCACGGCCAAAAAGTCCAACGAGTCCTTCTTTTTCGATGATATTTTTGGCGCACTGAGCATAGCCAATTTTTTCTGCATTTGTTTGTCGGTACGTCTTTATAAAAAAAAAGTAAGGAGAAATGGCAAGAAAAAGAAAGGAACCTTGAGAACTCGAAGAGAGTTAGAACTGGTATCAGAAACGAGCGAGGCAGCGAAACCGATTCCGGCATTTCGAAGGAGCTTTTGAGCAGTTCCTTCTGGCGTTGGAATCTTTTCTTGAAGCGTATTGTACGTGGCAAACCACGGATAGTGACCAACAAACGTAGCACTCATCGCGCCCATGCTTCCATGCCACAAAGCTGTGGGTGATTTCGCAACTAGAAAAATCGCCCTTATTTGACCTCATCGGCACGCGTGGCCAAGTTTACCTTTCTGACGCAACAGTTTTAGCCCGTCTTTGCCCTCAACTTGCATTGTTGTTTTTAGCGTATCGATTGGCATCAAGGCAACTCGCATCGATGCAGCTGCTGCTGAAGCACCGACGGTTTTGACGGTCATAGGAAGGTCGATAAAGGCGGGATGGTTGTTCATTATTGTCAGCATTCCCGCATTGGCGGCTTTTTCGCGGGTTTTTTTTTGTAAATAAAAATGATGAAAAAATTCCAAAAATTTTGATCGCAAGATTTCAAAGACAAAAAAGACCCGAGCCTGTATCACTGAACCTACTCAGCGGTCCCTGAAGCAGAGCTGGCCCAACTCCTCTGTAAAATCTCCGGATTCCTCCTTGTTTGTAAAGAAGTCTAGCAGCTTCAGCGGTTGAAGTTCCATAGCGGTATTGATAGTTCATGATTGTGCGCATCCACATCAGGGAGCAAACCTGCACCACCATGGCGGAGGCGCCAGCGCCGCCAGATCCAAGCGCTCGTTTTGTTGCCTTGTCGAGAATTTCATTCCAGTCGATTTTTCCAGGTTTTGCTAAACAAAAAAATAGATTGAAAATACAAAAATCTGTCATGAAATACTGTACATTCATTTTCCATAGTATTTTCTCGGTAAATTTCTCTCAACTAGATTTCCCTCTTTGAAAACCGGACTGTAAATAAAGATTAGTCTAGAAAAAAAAATTACCAAAAGATAGCACAATTTCTCTGAGAGGAAATCACGTACTCATCCCCACGTACAGTCAGATTCTCAAGATTCATGAAGTTATTTGTACTCACGATTGACTTTAGCTGCTTCTGCCATGAATTTATTGATTTCGAATAAATGATCGATTCTCTCTCTTTTTTTCCTTGAAGATTTTTGGTTCTTTTGTGTCTTTAGTATAAAAAGCGCGCTAGAACATTCGCTTTTATATTGCGCCGATAAAAATATTTGTCCTCACGAGAAAAAAAAATGGAGATTGATCAAGTGACCCGGCGTGTTCGCCATTGTGATTTTAGCTCAAGAATTGCGTCATTTCATCTTTGGGTGGCTGATTTTCTATGCCAACAGATGAAGTTATTATTTCTATTTTACGACTTTACGTTTTGATATTACGTAATGATCATAAATCGGAAGTAATTGAGCATATCTTTATTATTGATAATTACGGCGTATTATTGGTTCCCAGACAGTAATAGTATTTTTTAGCAGCATCATGAACTTTCAATATTTAAAAATTATTTACAGTAAATGGAGGTCGTACGTGAAGGGCTTCTGGCAATGATTCCAGTACATTCTATCTGGTCGCTTTTTGAATGTAATTCTTGCAGCTACAGGGATTCCACGTGACATCATTTTGCAACGAAAATCCGCAAGGCGTGTAAACTCGTTTTCTCCAGGGGTGCTTTTGGTATCGAAAGACCAGAGCTTCTCGGCAGTAGCGCTTAGACGAGGGTATGTTTGTGACAAGCTAAAAATGATTTCGCTATTTTAGTCCTCGGAGTCTTTTGGAAGTAAGTACCTTTGAGTAGCATCAACATATTCTGCCCATAACGCCGCAGAGCCACCAATGAACAATTCCTTCAGCTCAGGCTTGACTGGATACTTCTCCATATCCACGCTGTAGAAATATTCCCAACCCTTATTAGAGATGTCCCAGTTCTGTCCCCAGTCGAGATACCACGGAGCCAGCAAGATTGATTTATAACCGCCTGAAGTCGTTTTCCTTTTATGAGTTTGAAAAATTTCTTTCCTATGAAAAGTTCATTCTATTTTCAAAATCATTCATGAGAGTTTGCTTCCAGTCCCACTGAGCAAAGTCCTTCCAAATCCCAATTATTGAGTTTTCTTTTATGTTCAATCCGAGCTCCTCGTCTTCAGGAAATCCATTGTACCAAGCTTCCTCCCAGACCATGTATTTGAATTTGTTCTTTTCGCAAATTTCAAATAATCGCCCATTCCAATATTGCTGTAAATCTTCTTCCCGCATTATATCTTTCTAAAAAATTGAAATAACGAAATTTTCATTCTTCGAGTTATTAGTTAGCGAAAGAAAAACCATAATTATGACAAATAATTTTATACCTGTCCAATATTTTTAGCTTTAAGAAAATTGGCTTAAGTTAAAGACTACATCTAATTGCTAGATTCCGGAAGTACACTGAAGCAATCTAGTACCTTCATCATGAACTTTGCAATCTTCTCATTCTGCTTATAACAGGTTGAGTCCACCTCATCCCCTCCAAGATGAATGTACTCATCGTGAAACACCTCTCTTAACTCTCCCCAGAGCTCGTCAAAATGCTTGTAAGTTTCTTCGTTGCTTGGATCCATCGATCTTTTCGTCATTTCATTCGCATATCCGTTGCACGCCGCTAGAAAATCTTCCGGTCGACCCTTTGCCCAAGCATCTGCATGGCCAGGCGAGTCGAATTCGGGAACAACTCGGATTCCTCGAACTCGTGCGTATTCAATTACGTCTTTGATGTCTTTGATGGTGTAGATGTGGTTCATCGAAAAAGCCCCCTTTTCAGCCAGTTCTGGGAATTTCTTGCCCATGTATGGGAAAGATTCGCGGTCGACAATGTGCCATTGAAAAACGTTGAGTTTGTTCATCGACATCCCGGCTATATGAGCTTTGATGATATTCAGTGGGAGGTAATGACGAGCTGTGTCCAACATCAATCCCCGATGGATGAATCTTTTGAGAGTTTTTTATAAGAATTTTTAAATAAAAAAAACTATTAAAAAACTATGAAAATATTTTTTTCTAAAAATAATAAGTCGCCGATATTAATCAAAATTAAACCTTTCCTAGGAGCATCCTCAATTATTCCATCCTTGATCGCCGGTTTCTCCTCCTCAACAATAATACTCTGTATCACCGTTTCTAGCGCATGAAGAATTCCCCAATTTTCAGCCGCTTCAATTTTCACCTCTCCATTTTTGACAGTGACCTTATACTCTTCCTTCATTTCCTGACTTGGCCACTCAGAACAGCTCTTGAAACTGACAGAAATTTTCGATGCGACCTTGTCAGAGCCTTCGAAGCTTGCAAATGTCTTTTCTTCGCCCGAATTCGAGATGAAACATTTCCCAGTGTATTCTTTCAAGAGATTTTCGTAGTAGAGAAGTCGTTCTGTAAGTATTTCGCACTCTTTCTTGATCTCAATGAAGATATTTTTGTCGAGAAAAGTGAAGGTTTTTTCTTCTCTTCGGATTTTTGGAATGGGCCAAATTGATCCAGTGTATCTAAATATGGTAATTTGAATATAGAATAAAATAATTATTATCATTTGATTATTTTAATAACATATAATTATCATGTTAAATATTATCAAGGGTTGTTTTTTTTTAATCAAAGATCAGTTTCTGGGCTCTAAAAAACTATTTAATTTGAAGTTCATTTTCGATTTTTTTTATCAAGAAAGAATAAAATCTACAAAAAATGTCCCGATTTATGGTTTCTGCGAAATCTTGTTACCTTTCCCATAAAAGCCCTTTACAACTTCCCTCGCGGCTACTGATCTGTTCCACCTTCACTTCTTTGTGTTTCTTATTCTCTTCCACATTTTCCGTGTGTCTGGTCAGCAAAATCACTTGTACAGTCAGCACTAGTACGAAAAGCCCGTACAGAAATGCCTGCTGATTTTGCCCCGTCAAAAACATTATTTTACGATACTGTTTTTTTATAACAAACGATAGAACATCGAAAAAATGAGCAGATTACAATGGGCAAACAAGGGCGGAGTTATTTGCCCGGACGGAATTTGTTATTTGCAAATATTGGAATATAATACGTCTTTATCTTTTTTCTCCTCTAAGTGTTTAACTCTAACTTTCGAATTAAGAAAAGCACAGGCGATCCTGGCCGCGGGGCAAGAGGGGCTCAAGAATTGGTGGTGGAGTGATACACCAGGATTGTATCTCCCTGGCGCCAAATTTGAAAATGACGAAAATCGACTGAAATATTTATCCCAGCGCTTCTCTTAAAACATAAATAATGTTTGAAAGGTGTCTTTTCCTGAATTTCTGGCTTTGATGAGTAGAAAAAAGGGAATAGTTTTAATTTTTTGGAAAAATCTACGCGAATGTAAATGAGCTATAATTTGAAAAGATGACCCATTTAAAATGAGCCATTTATAAAAAAAAGCCCTCTTAGAAGGTAAATTTATTCAAAAATGATAATTAAGGCCAGTATCTGATTATTCGAAATAGAAATTAAAAACCGTCAAGAAGAAAGATTCTGAGGAGTAATGACATATTCTGTCGAGCTTTTCTTGAGTTCATACTGAACTCGACATGTTTGAAAATCAAACAAATAGTTTTCTTACTGAATTTAGGTGCCAAAACTTTATTCAAAAGAAAAAAGAGACTTTACTGGTTCTTTTTTTTCTTTTCAAAATGATCTGGTTGTCATTATTGGCAACACTATCTGGAATAGCAGGTCAAGAGAGTAGTGGCGACTTCGAAAATGTCGCAGTCGAAGGTAGGCCAAACGTCTTTGTTGTTTCTTTTTAGTTTCAAGCAGACATAAAAAAATCTATTTCAGTCGATCCATCATGCACCGACAGATTCGTCGATTGCGAAAGAATTGGAAGAAACGAGAAAGCCTGCTCTCCAAATTCCAAATTTTCCACTTACTGCTGTGCAACCTGCCGAAAAAATTTTGACGGAAGTTCGGATGGTATAGAAAATGGTGAACCCACAATTGTTAGTAGCGAGGACAACGACGATGATGCTGAAATGAAAACGATGTTTCAAGGACACCTTTTTGGAAAAGTCAGTTCTGACGAAAACGATGACCTTCGTGTTGATTTCAAAGTTAATTTTACCCAAAATACGCTTCGAAAATTGGTCAATATCGAGCAAAACAAAGTCGTTTTTTCTTCCGTCAAGCTTCCATATGATGCTGCTAAAGCAGTTTGCAAGCTCCTTGGGGGAGTGTTACCCTTGCCAAAGACAAGTCAGGAAAATGAGGTAGTCGCTGAGATATTACGAAAAAATTCGTTTACTTCCACATGGCTTGGCACCTCGATTGCTGATGCTACAGGGATAATTTCAAAAAAATTTTTGCGGGTCCGGAAATCATAAAAAATCTGAAAGTGCAGTTTTCTTGAGCTCGTCGAGACGAGTCGAATGATGGGTCAAACTTTTGATGACTCCAATGATTAACCGGTTAGCCGGCAATTTCCCGGAAAATACATTTCCGGTCGCCGTTTTTGTTCTAGGAATGCTAGAATGACAAAAAAAGCGGGAAACTGGTCCTTGAAGTTAGTTCTTGTGTGGGTGAAAAAATGAGAATCATATCTCTAACCATAAGATGCTTATCACCAAAATTCTATTTTCTTATGAAAATGGGACCGAAAATTAGGAAGGTGCAGCAACAACGAAATACATACAAAATTTAGAATTTTTATCGTTAAAAAAAGTTTCGCTATATATTTGACCAATATCTTTTTGCCCATAGTAGAACTGACCATAAGGATCAGTTTCCGGGTTCATTCATCATCTTAGCATTTCTAGAACAAAAACGGCGAGCGGAAACGTATTTTCCGGTAACAAGCCGGTTAACCGGTCAATCCTTGGAGTTATCAAGAGTTTGACCCACCATTCGACTCGTCTCAACAAGCTGAAGAAAACTGCACTTTCAGAATTTTTACGATTTTCAGACCCGCAAAAATTTTTCTGAAATCATCAGGGCTTGCCTTTCAGAATTTCAAAGAAAATCTAATGCCACTTCTAACGTCTCACGGGGGATGGTCCCTCACGAATAAAGCTTATAAAGAACATTTTATCTGCGTCCGAGAAAAGAAAAAGCAGTGCCGGAATATATCTGATGTGTTTTTTTCACTCAATGGTTATCTGCAAGTCCTTTTTAAAAATGATTCCAACTGGCAATCGGACGAAATCGATTCATTTGATTCTTTTTCTGAAGGAGACGTTTTTCGATATTCTTGCCGCAGTAAGATCAGAAAATACAAACCTTGGCGAAAACAAGTAACTTCGATAGGTCTGTCCATTTCAAAATCATTGATTTTAAGTCGGACAGCATTCAACTCCTCTGCACTGAAATCAACAAAGAAAGATTTGACTGGGTCGAGTGCAATAATGATTATTGCACCTCATTTATTCGATACCCCTGGCTCGATGAGACGATGATGAAACCGGAAAGTATCCAAACTATGATGTGCAACAAACCTTATTAGATCCCGAAATTTAAATAAAATCCAAATAATATTTGCGATGCTCGTTTGTTTATTTTATGTCCAGCGTCAAAAGAAAGATGCTGAGGAAGGATGATTATAATTGCTAATCTTGTTCTTTTTCAAAACTGAAATCGACTTATTTGAAAATCAAATAAATAGTTTTACTTTCTGAATTAACTTGGGATTACTTTATTCATAAGAAAAAAAAAGAGATTAGACTCTAATCATTAGAGTTAACGAGTTTCTCTACTAGAAAATGATCTGGTTGACATTATTTGCAACACTGCTGGCTGGCATAGCTGCGCTAAACGACAATCAAGAGATTCGACGAGGTGAGTTCACAAGATCACTTAAAACTTTTGAAATTATTAGTGTCACGTGGTTATGGACTCGACTCTGATGGCGATGGTATTCCCGATAATCTTGACAATGATGATGACAATGATGGTATTCCTGACGTTTCTGAGGATGATGATGGTGATGGAATCCCTAACAAACTCGACTATGATGATGATGGTGATGGAATTCCCGATACCGACGACGACGACGCCTTTGATGGAATCCCTAATTTTAAAGACGATGATGATAATGGTGATGGAATACCAGACAGCGAGAAGGATCAAGACTGGAATAGTATGGACGACGAAAGTGATGAGTATGGTGAACCTACGGTTACTAGTAGGGGAGACAATGACAAGGATGCTGGTATAAAATCGATTTTTGAAGGAAGCATTCGTGGCAAATTTAATACAACCGAGTTCGATGAGCTGAATGTTGATTTCAAAGTAAATTTTGACGAAAATACGCTTCGAAAAATCATCAATATCGAGCACAGCGGCGTCGCTATTTCTTCGGTCCCACTTCCCTATGATGCTGCGGAAGCAGTTTGCAAACTCCTTGGCGGTACACTTCCCTCGCCAAAGACAATACAGGAAAATGAAGAAGTGGCTGATATATTATTGGAAAACTCGTTCACATCCACGTGGCTTGGCTTGTCGATAAGTGATGCTACAGCGATTTGCTTTGATAATTTCAACGAAGATCTTATGCCGCTACTGATGTCTAACAGGAAATGGTCCCTCAAGTCGAGGTCTTCAAAAGGAAATTTTATCTGCGTCCCAGAAAAGAAAAAACAATGCCGGAATATATCCGATGTGTTTGCTGGATTGAATGCTTACTTGCAGGTCCTTTTTATAAACACTTCCGACTGGGAAGACGAAATTGATTCATTTGATTCTTTCTCTGAGGGAGACGTTCTTCGATACTCTTGCCGCGGTAAGATAAGGAACTAAAAGCCATGGCGAAAATCGGTAAATTTTTGAGCTATTCAATAAAAATAATTGATTCTAGTCGGACAGCATTCAACTCCTCTGTACTGAAATCAGCAAAGACCTTTTCGACTGGGTTGAATGCAACGATGATGATTGCACCTTATTTATTCGATACCCCTGGCTTGATGAGACGATGAGGGAGCCGGAAAGTATCAAAACTATGATGTGCAAAAGACCATTTTAAAACCTGTATTGAATGAATTTGAATACATTTTGCTTTATTTTTATTTATTTATTTTTATGTTAAAGGTGAGGTAGAAGGTGTGAGGCGCGGAGAAAACGGGTCTACCGGTGACCCACACACCCGAAAAAGGCACTGAAGAAGAAGTGAGATGGTGTGTTCAAAATAACGGCGGAATGAGCCAGGCTTATAAATATAATAATAATTTATAAATTATAATAAATGTTTTTTTTTTGATAAGCAGCTAGGTCCTTGAGCAATCTCTTGAACCAGCGGTAGGTACAGTACGTTACAGTGAGTTTTTTCGTATATACAGTATTTGATGACTCATTTATTAGTTAATTGAGTCATTAGAGATGAGTCAATAGTAATGACTCATTGGAATCTAGTTTTAATCCATGAATTTGGCTAAAACCGGGGGCGGAGGGATGAAATTTTCACATTAGTTTGAACTTATGGTTTTGTTGAGATATGAAAAAATAAAAGTAGATAGTAATAAATATGATGAGGAACTAAAATGGAAGATAGGAGAATTATCAAAATACCCAGTTGGCTCTTTTTTTATCAAGTTTGAAGACATAGGTTTTACATGATACATTTATGATGTATTGATAGTAGTTTAAGTTGGAGCCGGGACCAGCCGGGAAAGGTTGAATATTTTTTGGGATTTTCATGCTTGGATAGTAGGTCGGGATCTTTTAGTTGGTGAATATGAATTGACATATTTTTTATGCTATGCTGTGTAGTTTTCGTTCTTTGGTTGTGTAAATTTTAAATAAGATGAAGCTGAAAATTTGGGTAAAACATACGCCGGTTGTGAAATGAGGCAGCAAGGTAATGAGGATGATGGTGACATTTTTTGGCAGTGCTGATGGTAGCGGCTGAGGGCAGTAGAGAGAGATAGATCCGTTGGTGAGGGAGATCATTTGATCATGACAGCTCACTGCTCGGCGGCTCTCTGTACTCCTGAAGACATGTTATTTTGAGAAAAAAAGGTTTTTACTGACCTCTAAAAATGATGAAGAATAATCATCACTGCGTCTCTTCCTCGAGAATAAATCATCATTGGGGTTGATGATGTCTTCTTCGCTGTCATATTCCGAATTGTAGTACTCGGGTTCGTCATTTGGCCCCGGTGAACTGAAAGATTCATTGAAATCAAGGAAGATTATTTTCGACCTCGAATCGAGGCCGTCTTTTTTGTTAATCAGTTAAACTTTTAAGAGTCCCCTGCACGATGAAGAGTGCCAAAAGGGATTCTTAAATTAGTGATTCAAAGATAACCGCAAGTTATCCGAACGAAACTTACGGCAAAGGTTCAATCTTGTTGAAATCCGTCCTAGTACACAATTATTAGATCACCAAACCACTCATTTAGGTATTAAGAAGAGTACTTACAAATGATAGTCTTCATAGGTGTATCGAGGCGTCAAACGAGCTTTGAGACGGGTGTTTCGCCCAAGTCTTCGGCAAGAAGCACAACAAAACTTGGCGATTTTGGACTTTGGAGAGCAGAAATTATCGTTGCTGGCGATTTTTTCGCACATAGCGGATTTGTCGATGCAAAATGACTCGGCTGAAAGAATTTCAATGAGGAAAAATGTCGATCGAGATTTCTTACTTTGTTGACAAGAAACGTAACAAGCTGCTCTTCTCTCCGGGACAAACGAGTTTTCGCGGTAGCATTGTTCATCCCCAACAACTTCCTTCCCTCTTCGGCACTCGACTACTCGTTCCTTGTATCCATCACCGCAAGTGACGCTACAAGGCGAATACTCTCCACTGTGCCATTTTGGGGTGCACGGAACTGGCTTGCAGGGGTTCGATTCGGCAGGCTTGTTCGGTAGGTGCGCGCAGTAATAATCGTCGACGATGTTTTTCTAGAAAAAGTGATCAGGAGTGGTAATAGGCAAATTCGCTTACGTCGCCGTTTCTGCAGTAGACTTTACGGTACCGGTATCGCTCGTCACCGCACTGATTGATTGGGCAGCTACCCCATTTGCCAGGGGACCACTCGTAGAACGGGCAAGGAGCGCACTAGAACTTTTTGAAGATCAATGACCGAAAGTCGTTTCTTACCGGCTGTGGTCGGGGATATTTCGGTTTTTTCAGCATATTGCAATCATCGTCATTATGTCTGTTTCCTGTCCTTCTCGATTTGCAGACAAAGATTGGCTTTTTCACTCGATTTTTCATCGCGCATCCTCGGGCATCATTGGGAGGGCAACTCTTCCAGCCATCATGCTCCCACACGAAGTCGTTTTGGGCATTTTCTATCGCGCTGCGATGGACATTGTATTGATACTGGATTCGGACACCCTTCTTTGCTTTTTTTCCTCGAGTCACTTCGACCTTGGGAAAAATGAGTGAAGGAGGATAAAAGAGATCTCACCTCGACTTGAATTTCGCTAACAGTATGGGACTGTCCCTCAGTTCTGATGCTTGGAATGACTCTTGGAGATCGCTTTCTTCGATTTCGCGATGATTTTCCATAGTGGCCTGATTGAACTTGATTCACAGAAAACTGAGCGCCGCCGATAGCTGCTTCATGGCCAAATTCTACGCGGCGTTTTCGGCGGGACTGTTCTTCAAGAGGCCACATTTGGTATTCTTTGTTTGACTGCTTGTCGGTGAAAACTTAAAATTACGGTTGAAGTGTTGGAATCGAAAGAAGGCACTTACAGATCTTGTAGTATCGCGTTCTTGCTTTGATGCTCAAAACAATTCCATATGCATTAGCTGGAATTGTCAGCGCAGCTCGTTTCGTTGATTTTCTAAAAATATTTTGATAATTTTTTCTTCTTTTATGTGGCGGCAGAATTATTGCCCATTAAAAGTCGGATGGGCTTGATTGACAAATTCTATCGACAGGTGCACGTGAGACGAGACCCCTGCGCAGAGATCAAAGCCGCTCGTAACTCATACGCGTTACAATTTTTAAGCACTAATAATTATCCGTCAGCAAAGGTCTTCTTACGAAAGCAGTTGTAAACTGAGAAAGTTTATCCGCTGCTTTAGCTATTTCCTTGTCACGACACAATTTGTCCCCCTTCCTCAGTAAAAAGATGGACCAAGGTTATTAAGAACAAGAAAAAAAAGTTAACAAGGAGGGAATGAAAAAGCTAATTTTGACGCGTCCGGGGGTAATAAGAGGCCGCTACGGGAGGTTTATTCTTGTGGAAAATTGACATCAACGAGGAGAACTATAAATTTCACAGGCTGAGTCACCAGTTAGCCCAATCTGATGCCCCAAGTGCATAAGCAAAAGACCACTTGACCTAGTTTTTCGACTCAGAGTACATTCTTATCACTCATGTCCCACGGGTATCGCCTTGTTCTTGATTTTTCTTATCATCCCGGCTTACTTTGATTATCAAAAATCAGACCGCAAGACAAAAAAGAAGCCCGTGGAAAAAGGTGTTCACGTGCTGACTCATCTTCCTCGTCTGGGTTAATTATGATGTGTGAATAATTCTAGAGTTCGTTCAAAGGTAACTTACTTGCTCTTTCCCTTGACAGTTTCTGCCCCTCGCTGCTCTTGGCACTGAGATCCATCGCCACCACAAACTCCGCATTCGTCAACTTGTTTTCTTCCGCCTCTGCGTCCCTCGCAATCCACTTGTTGACACTTTCCTTGGACACAGATGCCGCCATGTGGGACTCGGTAATCGCAAAATGTTCCATCAGGGACCCACTGGTCCTCTTCTCGTACAGGTCTTTTGGGCCAAATAATCTCCGGCTCAGAGCCGTAGATTTTGCAGCTCAAGTGGCAGCTTAAATTTGAAATTAGTTTCTTTTGATCATAATTGGCTGCGGTTTCCGGGTCACGGTTAAAAGCTCTGGTGAACTTTTTTGAGTTCAAAAAACTTACGGATTATCATTATGGTTCGGAACAAAGGGAATCATGTTAGAATTGCCTGTCTTCTTATAACAGGCATCAATTCTTTTGTCGACTGGCTCCACGCACTCATGAGTGTTGCAAACCATGAAGTCGGTATCATCCCCTTCGCATTCGAAAGAATTTCCAGTGCTACAGCTTCTCGTTCGCAGCCGCGTACCAGTTCCGCACTCGACGTTGCAAGTGGACCATGTTGACCAGTTGGAGAAGTAACCCGGTCGCTGGTAAGAACCAATATCGTGGCCGATGCAAGTGCCAGAGAAGCATTTTCCTTCTTGGCCGTTTCCAAGTGGACAGGGGGTTGATTCGGCTGGAGCATCCTTGGAAAAAATATAAAAAATGAATAGAAGAAAACTTATTTTTACCTTGGTTCGGCAAAGAGCTGGATTCTGAGGAGTCTTGCACCACAAGTTCTGGCAAAATTTGCTCTCACTTGGGTACTGTCCCTCTGGACATCTCGTCCACTCCGCTCCAAATGTCTGTTGACATTGTTGATCAGCAGTGAAGATAGTCAAGTCAACGATTGGTACCGTGCTTCTGACTTGATTCTGCATGCGATTGGATCGGAATCCGGGACGATGTTGAATTTCATTGGCTTTTTCCAAGCATTGGCTGCCTTTCTTTACGTAGCTTTCTCCCAATTCTCGATTTGAGCAAATCGACCAAGTGAAGCTTCCAAATTTCGAATTGACCTGCGCAGCCATCATGGAATTCTCCGCAATGGCATCGGCGCAAGCGTTGCCTGGATCACCATCGTGAGTTCGAATGCCAAGAAGATGCCCGAGCTCGTGAGCGATGACGAAAGCGGTCGCGACTCCTTCTTCGATGACGATGGCGCCTGGACACTCGGTCTTTGAGTACGGATTGGGGGAGCAGATCTTGTCGATTGTCGCCATTCCTAAGATCAAATAATGAAGAAAAGGGTTGATTTTGCGAGGAACACCGGACAGATACAAATCACCATAATTTCGATGAGTTTTTCTAGCGAGAAAATTTCCCATCGAAAATAAAGGGGCTCAGGTACCTTTACAATCGGTGCCTGAATACGGTATGAATTGTCTTTTATCTTTTTGTCCAGATCATCCTCAAAAGCTTAGGTTTTCTCTGCATCTCACAGGTTTAGTTAAATCACGTGATGAAAAAAGTTATGGTCGAAAATTTTTCTTTTTGAAAATTATTCGAAATTTTCAAACATGCAAAATTTATTTGAATGAAACGAGTTTTACAACGAAAAATACGCTTTTTTGAGTTAATTTTTGTTCAACCCGGCAAATGCGTAAAATATGTTTCAAATGTGCTACCTTTGATTTCATGTTGTGTGGAACCTACGGTAAGTTACAGTTATTTTAGTTGGTGTGAGTAATCTTTTTATTTGATCTCCAGAATTAAGGATCTACCAGGCGATATTGGGACCTATCGCTCGGCTGATCTTTTTAAGAAAGTTAGTCGTTCTTTTCTACTGTTAAATCTACTGTGAATTCTAAAGGGGATACATACCCGCTGGACCAAAAGGCCTCCTGGTTAGAAGGATGCTAGCGTGCTTCGTTTCTCCATCTCCGTTTTTCTTTCCGGGTTCCCAGAAAGGCGTAAAACCATTTCTCCCCGAGTGGCTGCAGAACTCCATCAGCGTTTCCTGCGCGCCATTGTAAGACATGATGCTATCGGTCTCTCGCTTTTCCAGTTTTTGCACTTTGCCGACTCGGTGAAAGTGGAATCGAGAAGTCAACGAGCTGTGCTTGTAGATATCGTTGGTGTATTTCATCAAAGCGTCGATGTATTTTTCGAGCGAGTATTCCCGCCCGGCAGCATCGTTCGTCTGCTTCTTGTTCACAATCTCCTGATAGTGCTGCACCAGGTCATCGCCAACGGTGACCTCGATAGTGACGTTCAAGGCTGGCTTCTTCATGTTGCTGCGGGTCGGCAAGCTCGAGCGAAATGCAGCAGCAGCTCGACGAGAACGCGAGCGACGAGATGATGGAGGGAGGAAATCGAAGGTATCTCTAACGAGGGAATTTGAGTTTTTCGTTGCTGAAAATATTTTTATGGAAAAATAAAAAAGCGGCTATTTCGTTTTTCCTTCATTCTTTGCGAGAAAAGAATCGGTTCAAGAGACATGTGATAAGTACCAAAAAATTACTCACCGCCCCAAAATGCGGGGGAAGCTAATGTCACGGTTTATCTCCGCACATAAAGTAAAATTTATAGTCGCGCGCTGCCTGAAAATTATGATTTGCCGAGAATTAATCCGAAGGCATTTCCACGACTTACACAAGACCGAGTTCACATCGTCGTCCAGTCGATAGATGACGTGAGCTCGTCTCTGGCTGGAGTCTTCCAAATGGTCCAGGATCCAGAGCTCGTCGTCCATGTGGATCATGCCTGACCACAGACCGCTGAGAAATGGGTTCGAAATAAGTTGAAGAAAAAACAAAATTAGAAGAAATAAACTAATGAGTCAGCAAAACGACTGCGATTCTGACGTGCCTGGGCTTGAACTCATCGTTTCTATTTAGATTTGTTTTTATCAACGCTTCTGCGTTGTGGACAAGTCCGAACCCAAAACAATCACTCAAAGTCGCCTCGCTGTCGTCCTGTCCGACCACTCGGCCGGAATAGAACTTGCATCCGGAGTCGCTACCAGAGTCCAAAGTCACTGCGAAGCGAAGGTCGTTTGAATCGGCCGTTTTAAAGGTGAAGTAGTGCTCGAATTCGTCATCGTCTGAAATCGTCTGTTTCGGAATGAAAAAAAGATTTCTAGTGAAGGAAGCCCTAGTTGCTGCTACGTGAGTATCTACCGGAGAAGCTCTGACGGGTGGTACCCCTCTAGTCCCATTAACCACTTGTCGATCAAGCCGCGATTCCGGCGAGAAAAAGTGAACACTCATCTAACTTTCTTCAAACTCATTTTCCACAAACAAAAATTAAACTTGAATCTTTGTCTGAGCCTATCATAGATTCTCCACATTCGAATAAACAAGACCGGAGATACGGTAGCTCCGATAATTTTTTTCCATCCTCGTTCCTGATTAACCAGCAATGACGACCTTCTTTTGCGTTTCGAGTCGACTTCAGCGTAGTAATCGTGGATTATTCTGTATTCACCGTCGATTTTTTCGCGTAAATGCCGCTCTGATATTGATATCACCTAAAAAATACATTTACTTCGCTTTTTCCTATCGGTTAAATTTATAAATAAGGGCGTCAAAGTGTTCTGTCCATCTTTTTTAAGGAAAGCTTATTTGTATATCTGTCAATTCTTCCTATAATCATGCCTTCAAGTTTTCAACTTTCACTGCTTCTTGAGAAAAGTTCAAAGAGCACGTGCGTCACCAAAATGGACAAGTATTTATAATCAGCAAAAGGAGTCCTTTTTTCCGCTGGCTGGAAAATGCCACGAATCGACATAAAAGAACGAAACTATCAAGATTTATGAGGCGGAGCTCTGAGAGAGATTGTGTGCTCGTTAAGTACCTCTGAGCTTGAACTTATTGCTTGGTACTGCTCAGAATGGGCGAAATTGATGCTCCTCGAGTTTGAGAAAACTTGTGCAGAAAACCTGACTTAGGGTCCTGGAAGAGCTACGCGGCTATTATCTAAGCTCTTCTAGGACCCTGACTCAGGTTTTCTCCACAGGTTGCCGAGCCTAGTTTATTTGAAATGGGGCATTCTTAATTTTTCCCCAGAATTCAAAGTTATGATAATTTCGCATGGCAAACAAGCCAGCTTTTCTCCTCGCCCAAAATCCCTGAACGTACATCTAAACACTCGACTACGTCACGGAACCTCTTGGACAAAAAGCTAAACTCCAAGCTTGAATTGCGAATCCGAGTTTATCTCTTTCCCCGTTTTATAATTAATGAAGACGCCAAGGATAAGCCCACCTGACAAAGGGCAAAAGTTCAACAAAGTTTTTATATAAAAATTTGAAAGAGCAAAAGGAAAAGTTCAAAGTTGAATATTAATTCTAGCGCATTTTTGGATGGAGCAGCTTTGGCTTTAGCGAGGTAGTTAACGATTAAATCAATAATCGCAAGTCATAATTATGCCTCGTGAAAACGAAGATTGAGCCAGTGTGACACTTACACCTGAGGTGTTATTTGTGAGTAGGGAAAAGACAGGAGATCAAAGACGGGAATGATTAGACACTGATTATGTCCAGAATCAGAACGCTGATGTCCTTGTTTTGGAATAAGGGCAAAAAAACAAGGTTGTTTTTCATTAAAAATGATATATTCAAGCCCTGAATTTCGCCCGAATCAGCAGAATATTGATATATTGAAGAGTGTATATTCTGCGCACGGGCTTGAAGTCGAAGAGGGTTTGCGCTAAGCTACGGGGATAAAGGGTAAGAATGTGGTGAGAGGAGCTCGCAAGATTGAGGACACTTCCCATTCAATGTCAAGTGTTGTTCGGCAAAACTTATTCAAGCGTCATTTTCTTTTCGGAAAACGATCTCAAAAGAAAAAGAAACGCTAAAGTCGCTGGTAATTAGGGTAAAAGCGAACTTGGCCTCCTCTTCTGTGTTTAGTTTTTGCCTGCGGTTATTGGTGAACTTTCTCGTCGGTTAACTGCGCAGTCATTAGCAGCTTCAGTTACTACAGTGAATCTTTCTTTGGGTCAGCAACCTGTGTTGAAAGCCTGAGTCAGGAATTGAAAGTACTCAAAATGGATTTTAATGGTTATTTTCGTGAAGCCGCTATGCGGCTTCGTTTAGGTGAAAGCCGCGGCGCGGCTTTTAATTAAGGATCTTTCAAATCCTGACTCAGGTTTTCAACACAGGTTGTCGACTCTTGATTCTATCAAATATGGTAAATTCGACTTGCGGCTTTTGAGTTTTTCAATTTCGGTATTGAGAAAAATCGGCGTAAAGTGAATTTGGGATCAAGTCGGGTTCATAAAAACAGAAGTTGTATTAGTATGCCAGACAGCGAGACTAGAGTCTTATCAAAATGAGTGATTGAACTGACGATTTCCGCGCTGATACGTGTGATCTTGAGCGACAGCAACTCATCCGCCTGGGACTCTCTTATTATGATGAAATATATTATTTACTTTACGAAATTGAGAATATATTCAGATTAGTGACTTGTTCATATTTTTGGTGTGAAAGTTATTCGCATCCGCTGAAAACAATAAAAACTTCAGCTTCTGTCTTTTCAATTCTCACTTTTGGCATTTTATGCGTTTATGGTATCATAAGATTCGAAAATAATTGATAACAAAAGAATCAAAATCAAAATAGAATACATCTACTGGAGAAAAATGGGATTTTGGAAGCAAAATCGGGTTACTCGAAGGAGCAAAATAAGAACGCATTCTTTCAGCGAGGTATTTCCTAAACAGCAATTCGAAACAAAGCACAAGATCGTGTTCGAAATTCCGGACGACCTTGTGGTCCATATTTCCGCTGATAAAAGAGCAGCATCTGCTGTTTTACCAATATGATTTTCTTTAGAAAAAAGCCGCTTGCGGCTATTTTATATCTAGTTTTAAGAGATAAAAATCAAGGAGCCACCTGCGGCTTATAGAAAGGGAATAAGAAAGCCGCGCTTCGTGCGGCTGAAATCTTCTTTTGCTCGAAGCCGCGCGCGGCTTCTCGATTTGAAGATTCGAAAAAGAGAATATAGACTTTTCGTCATAATTTCATTTTTTTCTTCATTTGAAGCGCGCTCTAAAGAGTTTACACAAGCTGCTGCTTGGTGGGCCCATTGTCATGTTTGAATAAACTTGATGTCCTTTTCAGCAGCTTTCTGAGTTTATCTACCTTCTCGAGTCGCCTTTTTTGGCTTTTGTACTTTTCTCCTTTTATAGCGCTCTTTATTTCATTTTCGCTGCGCTCAGCAGAATTTCAGATTTTCAGAATCAAGAAATTTTGCCCGAAATCAGGGCTCGATTTGTCACGTGACGCCCAAACCACCTATTTAATTTTCTACCGTTTTTTATGTAAAATATAGGACTCAAGTCAAGGGCCCCAATTTCCGGCTCCGGGCGCATTTTCATCAAGTGCTTTCAGATGTGCAATCCTATCTTATGCTTATCTACGATCTCTAGAACTGTACTGCAATAAGTGTTACATACAGTTTATTTCCCAATAAACAGCTTGAAAATTTAAGCCTGCTTCTACTTGTTCAAAGTGTCGAAATTATAAAAATTTTAGGCGAAAACCTCAAAAAATTGATAAGAAGCTTTTATCGCTTGCGTAAAAATTTTCGTCAGAAGGTACAATTAGGGCTCGAGTTGAAATGAGGTCCTTGACTTTTGCAATTTTAACTCTCGAACGCGGATAAAACACTTTTGTGCATTTTGGGCATTTTTTGCCTGAGCTTTACTTGATGGGTTAATTTTTCTTTCAAGAACTCGGCTCATAAATCAGCTAGAATTCTCATCATCTAAAGGGTGGGTCAGGGCCAATCGGAACATGTGAAAATCGATAATTTAATAGCAGGAAATTCAAATATCATAAACTTGATCGAAAAATAAACCCCCGGAAATGAGCCTTTTCAGATTTTGTTCCCATTCGACACTGACCGTCCCCTTCTTGTTGCTACAGAGAGTACAGTACATATTTACAGTTTGGCTTGGCTGTCACGTGGAAATCTGGATAAGAAAATGTAGGTCAAGATCATTGAAATTTTATGCCCGCAATTTCCGCTGTAATAAATTTTTCCAAAAAGAAAAGTCGATTCTACTGTCAGACGGCATTCATGCTTAAATTTAAAGGCGATAGTTAGATATTGGGAAGAATAGTAGAAGCTGTCCAAGAGATGTCATCAAATGTCGCGCGAATGTCTGACAGATGATGCAACACCTGAAACGACTCGCAGTGGACGTTAAGGTGATCAACGTCATAATTTTCGAATAAGCAGGTACATCCTTAAGCCGGCCGAATATTATTTACGAAATAATTTTTGAAATTTTATTCACGTTTCGTAAAAAAAGAAACTTTCTCATAAATATATTCTATGTTCACCTTCCTATGTAATAATTATCACGCTGGAGCACCTTAAATCAACCGCCACAAGTTGCCCCCTTTTGTCTTGCCCTTGAAAATCTGGACCTCAGCCGGCCTCAATAAAAGCTCGGTAATAAACACTAAGAAGTATAAACGCTAAAAAACTGAAGATGAACCTCAACGCGTCTTTTTGTGTAAATTGAAAAAACTCGCTGATTTACGTGATTTTTTTTTGTGAAAAGTCAAGACCAGACTCTCACTTTCTCATTTCTGCCGGGCGTGCAAATCCTGCTGTGTCAACTAACTCATTACGCACATAAAAATACTAAAGAAGTTCAAATAATGGGAAGTAAAATCGGCCCAGCTTGAAAATTTCCACCCCCTAAAAATTCTGAATTCGGCTTCTTTTTCAACCCATTTTTTGAATGAAATAATTTTAAATTCTGACAAAAAATCATAAAATTTTTCTTTCAATCAGATTTTTTGACTTAATGGACGGATATCCTGAAGAAAATTAAACTGCTTGATACACCCTTAATCTCAATTGGTATTTCTTACTCGGAATGATTAACTTTTCCCTTATTTTTTAATCAGAAAAAGAATTTTCGAATACGAAATTCTTCAATCATTTGAGTACTTACAGATTGAAATAGCAGTAGGACGAATATCTGTATCATCATTTTCTGTCTTCTGGGATGATCTCTGATAAGTTCCACTCACACTTGGAACTTACTGACACAAACTCGGTCAACAAAGCCTAATTTCCCTTCTGGCCAGGTTAGCTCAGCGCTTTTTCTTCTATCGCGCTCAACCCTTTTTTCTTCTCCGAATTCTTCTTCTTTTATCTCTTTTTTATCTTCTTAAGGGTATCCCCTCGATTTCTTCTTTTTTAAAAATCTCTTTTTAAACAACGTTTTTTCGAGTTTTCTTGAAATTTTCGTCGAGGATCTCTTTTTCAAAAAAATGGCACAAGAAATTTTGAATTTTCTTTTTGTTATTTTTAAGGAGATCCAAAGAGAGTATTGACGATGTTAGCAGGGTGAACGGGAGCGGCGCGCCTGAACAGAGGTGGGCGCGGGCGCGACCTAAGTTTGTGTTAAGGTGGTAGAGACGGCGCTCAAACGCGGCCAAGATTGACGAGGGCGAGGGCGCTCCTCGCCCAAGACAGAACAATCAACAGATCAACAGATCCATGCATGCTGGACGTGCTCCTGGTCAAGGCCGACTTTTGGATGCAGATAAGATTACGCTTTGAAGTTGTTGTTGCAGATTTTTCATCAGACAATCAAGTTTTCTTCCAGTCCCTTCCAAAAGAAGCTCGCAAGAATTTCAAGGCGAAAAAATTTATGAAAAAATATCAGATTTCAACCCTATTAGCTTCGAAATTCCTTACAGCAAAACAACCTTTTTCAAAATAAAAAAAAAAACTTTCAAGTATTGACAGCTTTCTATTTCTGGTGGCAGTGCTTAATGCCACTGCTGATTATGCTGTTCCTTAGACTATCACCAACTCGAGTCGGTCAGTTTACAGCTTTAGGAAGTTTTTTAATCCAGCACGGGGAAATGGCTTTTGCTTCTTTTTGATCTTTATGGGAAGAAGAGAGGCTATTTGAGTAGAAGGGTTGTTTTGAATTACTCGAGACAGAGTCGAGATTTTGTCTATTTCAGAAATAATGATGGATCAATTCAATTGACAATTTGATGAAGGTTTTATGAATTCGCCCTAAATTTTGATTTGGTGAGAAAAAAGATTGCTGCCGGCGCTCGAGTTTTTGTTTGGTGAAAACGCAGATGTGCTTCTGGAGTGCACGGATCTTAAGGGCTTCTCAGCGTATTTATTCCCATCAGACTAATTCAGACGGATAATAAATTCAATTAAAGCCAGGGGGTTCCCTTAAGTTTACACTTTTAAAATCTTCGTACTCCTTCAAAAAAGGAAAATTGTTGAGTTCCTTATCGGAAATTTTAACCCATAAGCGCTTGAGGACCAATAATTCGGATTCAAAGACGAATTTGTTGAGTTCAAAGCATTGCGTCAATTGAAAAATGCTCAGTAAATTAGCAGAAGACGAAAATAGCGCTTGAGGAAATCCAACCCAGCTGATTATTACTGTTGCAAAGAGTCGAGTTTTAGAGCGAGCTACAGTGTCTGTTGCAGAGACCTCCCTCCAGTGCTCGTGTGTGAACGTGGGAGCAGAAGTAACACTGTGCACGTTACAGTTACTTCAAAGGGGTTTTCCGCCGAGGATTTAAGTTTGCTCCTGAAACAATTTTCTCTGGAAAAGAAATATTAAGAAATTTTCCTAAAACAATATTTTATATTTGACCAATACAATCAAAATCCAATTTTCAATTTGCAACCAATCAAAATGCTCAAAAAATTTTTTGTCCTATCAAATAATCTTTTCTTTGTTTTGCTTGTTTCAATCCGATTATTTGATAACCAAGTAAAATTGTTTCAAAAAGCTGTTAAGTCACTTCAACAGTCAAATGTACAGTGAGTACGTGGCAACTTCCGGAATAGCTACACGTCTGAACAGCTTTATTCTATCTTTGGCCAGTCTGATAATCCTTTTGACAAAAGAGGCTGAGCACTGAAATTCCAGAAGAATATTATTCTGAACTTTCTTTCTTCATATATTTGAGATTTGCATTTTAAAATTGACGTCGTGCTAAAAATTCTTCTCGGTTTACTATCACCTTATTATATCCATCTCGTGGTCTGGTTTACGCTTTCCCGGATTTTTTGACGATTATTTGCTCGGTCGACTTGATAGACTCATTCTTTAACACGTGAAAGGAAGCTGCTGAAGGGGCCACGTGCAGCAGGAGAATCAGACTGTCTACTACAGTCTCACGCAAAATCTCGGATTTGAATACATTTTGGCACGTTTTTTGAAAGATTTATACAAACATTCTGCAACTCAAAGAAGAATCTGACGAATGCGTAAATGTTCGTTTCTTATCACAAATTTCGCATTTGAAAATGATTCGATCAGGAGAATCGTCAAGAAAAAAAAAAAGAAGAAAAAGCAAGCTGCGGCGGGGAAGATCAAAGGGCAACGGCCTATCATGTGTTAAAAATAGCTTACAACCTTGATTTATGAAGCTGATCCAGTGTTCAGCAGCTGCTTTTTAGTACTTTGAAAAAGTAAAAAGGAGAGGGAGAGGCGACCTTACTGATTTGGTACTAAGCACTCGCAAGTAAACGATCGACTGTAGTTGAACTTTTAAAAAGGTCAACGGAAGGAAGCAAATTAAAGTGATGATACTTTCGAAATCTGAAGGTTGATTTTTCTTATTGCATAATTTTCACAATAAATTTAAGTAATAGGCCATCGAAAATCGACGTAACAAATTAATTGTAGTGCATTTTGGATTGCAAATAAGATTGCTGCATTTGACCTACCGGCCAATCAAAACCCTGATCCATAAAATCACTTCCATAGATTTGTTTAACCCTCAAAAATCATGATAATGGGCCTTTACTTTGAACTTTTTGACATGTTGTTTTCAGTGAATTTATTCTTTTTGTCCCATCCATCATCGATTTCATTGGATCATGTGACAATTGGAAGGACCTCTTTGAACTTAGTTTCCAAAAGCCCCAGCCTTGATTTCTTATTCCTAGCGTTCATAAATCTTATGCAATTTTGATGTTTATCCAGGAGTCAATTTTTCCGGAAATTATTTCGAGAACACGCCTGTGGGCACTTAATTTCGAAATATTCAATAGTTCAACACTCTGTCGAAAATCCTTGACCTCTATTTCGAATTGGACTTTCTGCGGTTACTATTTTTCGGTTTCCAAAACGAAAAACGCAAGTTTCTTCAGCACGATTTTTAAAGCGGCATAAATCGCAGACCAAAAAAGAGATTGAAAAGGACGTCACTAAAAAAGTAATAAAGTAAATATCCGGTAACATATACATACGACAAACAAGCTTTTGTCACGACTTTTTTTTTTCTCAAGCAAGGACGTCACTAACGCACAGTAACAGTAGCACACGGCCAAATAGCGCATTTTATTGGTTTCATGACGTTCGACAAGAAGCGAAATTAAACAACTGGGAAGAGAATTGGACAAAAAGGGCGACTGTTATGAGTTCGAATCTACGCCAAAAATGAATTCACGAGAGATTCTTCTCGATAAGAACGGTATTTCGAAGTCCTCCATTAAATTGTGATGGTGATTTGTCTGTAAAACCAGACATTCTCAGCCCATTTAAAAAAATCCTCAAAGCGAACCTGAGCTCGACAACCTGTAAAAAAACTTGAGTCAGAGTCTGAACGATCTTAAACGAAAAGCCGCACAGCGGCTTTTTCAAAATAAAGCCGCGGAGCGGCTTCGCGATATTAAATATTCAATCTACTCTTAAATAGCCGCGAAGCCGCTACGCGGCTTTGCTTTTGAAAAAGCCGCTCAGTCGCGTTTCTTTTGAGGCCTTGAGAACCTGACTCAGGTTTTCTACGGAGTCTGCCGAGCCCAGAATCGAGCTTTTTTGGAAAAAGTCTGAATTTTCAGTGCATTTTTCTGATTTCAAGAAGGTCATCAAAGTGCAGAACCCTTATTTCTCCCCTCTTGGCTTCAAATCTGAACAAGAAGAATCTCGAAAAAACACCCGACAAGGACCCTTGTGCCGGCAATTTTCGAGTACGTCCTTTGATGACGCCAAATCGCCACTCTTTTGTCCTCCATCCTTGTCCAAGAACTTGAAAAAATTCTCCGCAAGATTAGCAAATTATTAAAAAAAAAACATTGAAGCAACTTTCGATGAAAAAAGCAAGTCACTTGTGTGTCAAGGAGCAAGTGCGCCCGGAAGAGTAACATCAGATTTTGGATTCGTATAATCCGACAACATAAGTAAGCGCAAGCCGGAAATGCCGGCCGGCATGTTTTTTTCGCGCGACAGATTCAGGTTAATTTAGACTATCTTAGCAATACTTTCTTTCGAAATTTCCCGAAAGAAATCGATTTTCGAGAGCTCTAGAATGAGATGATGCTTCAAATCGTCAATTATTCGTTTCGCAAATCTGATTGGCCGACACGCCAAATGCGGACATCTGATTGGTCCGCAATTCGACAGAAATTTTGGCTGTTTTTTTTGTCGAATCGTGCTACCTTCCCTTCTAGAAAATCTTAAAATTCTTAATGTTCCGAAATGGCGTTCGTAAAATAAAAAAAAAATTATTTATCCTAACAGTTGTTGGCACTTCCTGCTCAAACATGAAAACTCAGTCAATTTGGAATCAAGGTAACGTGGTGCCAATAAATCCACGAGTAGCCATAGCAAACGGCGGCTTTTGACTGTTTGAAGTACGATCTTCTGAACATTTACGGTGTGATTTACAGACGGGCGCAAACTGTAAGTTCGAATTTGAATAGTGAAGACACTAACAACGACCGGATCTAATTATCGTAAATACATTTGTCGAAACAGCATAGGAGCAGCAATGAAATAGCTAGGGACAAATGACGCACTCGCTTCCTGGATTACTTCCGCTTTTGTTTGGACACCGGTAGACAGGTTGAGGAAAATACCAAGTTTCAATAATCATAAACGATTTTCCCAAACAAAAATCCTACGAATAACACTAAAAATCAAGTCATTTTGAAAAGGGAAAATCCAAACATTCATATTCTTAGTCTCCGATATTGCCAGCGCTTACTGTATTTCTATTACTTTTAAGGAGAATTAAGGGTATAGTCATCGATTTTGGTCGGGTCTCCAATTTTTTGATTGAGGTTTTGAGAAACACGTGTTAACTTCCCTCAACCACACTTTTTTCTCCCCCTTATTTTTTCACTGTTTTATGTGCGGTTGTTTCTTCTCCTGGGGTGGCCATTTCTGGTCATCTCCAGTAAATCATTATTTTATTCTGATTTCGGTCCTCAGCTGCCAGGGTGCATCTGATCTCATAAAAGCCTTTTTTCCCAAGCCCAAAACATCAATTATCATTTTTTAAAAACTCTTTATAAGCCTTTTTCTCACGTAAACTTTTGAAATTAAAGGTGATCGATTATGATGAGAACTCTTTTAGCAGAGTTCGCGTGTTTCAGTTTGTACTCGAAGATTTATAGCTTCTGACGTCACGTGAGAGTGGAACGGACCGGGCCTTGTCCAGCCGTGTCAAAAAGTAGAAAGGGGAAGAAAATTCGACATCAGCCGAAAATGATGATGTTAATGAAATTTACATCTTGAAGAAAGGTTTTTATTCAAAACCAGGCATTGTCTGTCAGACTGTCTGACAGACAGAAGTCTTAATTTTGCAGCAATTTTTAAGGGACTTCATTTTTATAATCAATTTTATTCTTTGTCAGTTTTTCGTACTCTTTTCTTATTGAAATTTATTTTCTTCGAATCAACAATAACTCAGCAAAATTAGATTTGGGAGAGAAAAAGAGGAAGTCATAAATTTCACGCGCATTTCATCATCCCAGTCCGAAAGTGACCCCTCGCGACTTTGTTTATTACAGGTATCAGGCTCCTTAAACTTCGCTCTTGAATAAGGAAATTTAAAATTTGCGAATCGCATTTTTTACTTGACCTAATGAACTTTGCTCTGAGTTCAAATTTTTGATCAGACAGTAGAGTAAAGACGTTTCTCGCCGTCTTCTTGACTGTAGTTTCGCAAGTGATACAGTGCGTATCTTCCGTCATTTTTAATCCAAATTCATACAGTGCTTATTTGAAAAGTTTTATTTTCTGACAAAATCGGAATAGCAAAAATTTTAATCTGGCAAAATCAGCTTTATTTCATGTCAAAAACTGCGCCTCCATCAAAGTCATAATTATCTCCGTTCTGTTAATGCTAACTATGCCATAAATCGGCGTATTCCTCGAGTGATACCGCTCTTCGTGCCTCTTTTATTTGCTCGAGCAGCCATGTGGCGTTTCCGGCGGCTCCGTATCGCAGATTTATCATTATCCAGGGACAGAAAAGATTCTGAATCTCCTTTCTTGCGTCAATTTGCTTCCGACTCCTGTCTGGCCCGAACGCGTTTTAACAAAAATGATCTATTTGCGCTGCGAAAATTATTGTTTTCACCGTTCTAGCTTACTCCGCGTTTTTGACAGCGATGTCTCCGGAGAATGAGAATTTTAAGTTGGTCAGTTTTTATTGAATAGTTGATCTTTTTTTCCCAAGTTATATTTTTGCGTCGAATCCAGTTGCATCTGGCCCATCCTGACCGGTGGGAAAAAATTCAATTGACAATCTGGATCTCCAGATTGAACTCGGCAAGCTCAAGAGCATGAACTTTTCGACACTGTTTTTAGAGATTGTAAGCTTTCTAAATTGATTTGTGATAATTTTCGAACATTTATGACAAAAGATATCTAATTAAAATTTATAAAAATAAAAAAATTGAAAAATAAGTTTTTGACCCTTTTATTCGAAAAATTGCCTTTGATCGTGAAAACTCGCGATTTCATGTTTTCTTGGACGGTATTCTAGAGATTTTTTCAAAAAAATGTTTTTTTTTCTTCATTTTCATTAATCCCTCGAATGGCGTTCTAGAAATCAAGGAATATCGAGAATTTAGTAGGAAAAGCAAGTTTTTATTAGGAAAAAGTCGATTTCGTCGAGGACAACGATTCTATCCTTTTTATTAAAGTCGAAATATGTTTATTAGCCAGCTAAGATCATATTTTGAGATCAAAAATTTTCATATTTAGCATGTAAAAGTTTTTTTTTTACTCCAAAATAGAATATACGGTCTAGAATAAATTAACCTTCTAAATTGGTTGGTGACAATTTTCTAGCACTTGACCCACAATAGAAAAATGCCCAAATCTAATTTTGGCCCTTCAAAGCGAATTCGAAAGCAAATTAGAAAGCGTTCTAGTTTTGCTCCTCCTGAGAAATGATGAGCACTAATTGAAGTTTTTTACAGTGAAATTTCAATCTAAATTGACGTCTACGTTCACTTTGATTTCCGCCCTAATTGAACATTATTTGATCTCATGCTTTCTCCAACAAAATGAAAAAATACAGTACCGTCTCAGTTTATAAACTCGTCTCACGCCTATTCGGCACCCTCGATTGTCCCCAGAACGCCTCAACGGAAGTGCTCTGAGCCTGGTTTATTGAATTAATCCCGCGCCTAATCCTTCCTTGGGAATCTGGCAAATAAGCGCTGTGTTGACTCTGGACCCGGAAGCTGTGCTTGGCGTCAGTGACCGCTCTCTGACCGGCGACAGCTCGACGCACTTACTGTCAACAAAAATTCAAGATCAAAATTAGGAAATTTTCCTTTTTCGAGAATCTGGATTTGACGCAAAAGTTAATGGACTCGATTTTCCTGAATGACGATACTACTAAAAAGCTGCTTGTTATCAATCTTAAATCAACATTAAGAACAAGGCCCTAAAACAATAAAAAAAAACATGGGCCCTTCAAGCTGTTTTTCTTCTTCCCATGCTCTGTTTTTTTCTTGGGCAGCAAATATTTTCGTCGGGCAAGGACATGAGAATATATCCGGTGATGAAATCAATCTTTTTCTTTTCTCCCCTTTTCAGACTTTGTTTCCTCGAGGAACAGTTCAATTGACCATTGGTGTTGACAACAGTCGCTCATTACGTCAAAGCGTGGTTTTTCACGTACGAGCACGTTCTTGTCATCAATTTCAGGAGCCAGAGCAGCAGGTCTGTGATTTTGATCGATTTCCTGATGGATTTCAAGGGTCAACAAGAGGACAATCGAATAGTCTTTGATAAATTGAGATTCCGCAATAATTCTCCATTGAATTATTATTGAATTTATTATTCTCTTCCTTGATTTCAAGGCCCACGAAACTCGAAGCGCGACTTTTGAAGAAAATCAACCAACCGGTCAAAAAAATTACCAGGAGTGGGGTTCGAACCCACGCGGGGATGCCCCCATTGGAACTTAAGTCCAACGCCTTAACCACTCGGCCATCCTGGTTGGTATTCGATACTGTATCTTTCCGAAGCGATCTGTTGAAAAACATTCATTCGATCTTTCAACGGACAAGGCGAAGAAATGCATCTTGATTCGAGTTTTTCTTACAACAAGGCATCCTAATCGCGTCAGAAATGCCCTCGTAACTGTCATAATCGTAGTAGTCGTCGAAATCTCTGTTTGAATCCGTGGCTTCAAAAGCCAAAGCCAGCCGAACATGAAATTGCAGCAACCCTTCTCATTTTTTGTTTTGAGCGTTTTCAAGCGCCGCGCGCTGAAAACAACGAAGAGTCTGTAGACGATTTTCTTCATTTTCGCCCTTCAGCTCAAGCGTTAAAACCACTCAATTTATCTATTGATTATCAATTTGATAGAAACAGAGAGGACACTTTCTATTATTTCTTTCAAAAAACCATTAATTATTTTACGAAATTTAATAATAGTTAATTTTATTTATAAAAATATTTTTATTATATAAATCAATATTCACAGAAATGGTGAGAGAGAAACGCAAAATTCAATCTTAGCACTTTTCGATCGAGTCTATCAACCCTAATTTTTTGAAAAAAGTCGCAGCAGCCCAATTGGCCAGGGCGCGCTAGGGTCGCCCAATCCTCAGGCGTAGCTAATTATGCGCTTTTTCATCGCTCCAGCGCATTTTTTGACAAAATGAGAAAAGAATATAATGAAACAAGAAAGACCTGATCTGCTACTTCTTACCCCCTTTTTTTGGAAGAGATAATTAAAGAAGATAAAAGAAGAAATCATAAAAAAATTCCTGCTTTTCTGTTTTGAAATCCTTCAAAATGCTCGTTACGCCGTATTTTACCCAATTTTAAAATGATTTATCAAAATAGAATCTTTTTCAGTTCCGTAAATTTTTTCACAATTCCTAAGAAAATATTAAATATAATTTATATTTACTTGTAAAATGAATCAAAAGAATAAGTCTTTCTTAAATAAACTACTAACCTAATTAAATTGTTGAAATAACTTTTAAAAATTAGTAAAATGCCAATTTATCGCTTCAGAAATGACAGACGATGGCTATCGCGGGTACGACATAAATGAAGAAGGAGATGTGACAGAATTCTACGACCACAGGGACGAATTTAAACCCACTCCAGGAAATTCATCAAAACCATTTTCGAGCTGTTTTTGATAGAAAAGAACGGTTCATGAATTGAAAAAGTAATCGAAAAGAAGCCAGATGCAGGGTGCTGTAGTTGCTGCATAAGCTGCTGCACAGGAGCGCATAAGACTCCCTGTGCATCGATTTTCGCGTTCGTCATGGTCATCATTGGCATTTGCGCCTGGACTGTTTGTGGCGTTATGGGAATCGATCAGGTTCGCTTTCAAAAACGATGAATTAGGCCAAAATTGAAAAGATTCAGTCGCCCTCTTTCTTTCGTCCCTAGAAACGGAAATTATGAAAATACTCAAAGTCAATATAAGATCCCCAAAATCTAATTAACAATTGTAGACTTTAATAAAAAGCTAAAATTTCTTTTTCGCGTCGTAATCGCCTTTTTTCCATCGAAAATGAATGCCTTTTCCTCTGAATTTCCATATTCCTTGATTTCTAGAACGCGATTATAGAGATTTAAGGGGAAAAATGTTTTTGTTTATCCCTTTTTCATCTCTTGAAGATCGTTCTAGAAATCAAAGAATATCGAGAATACAGGGGCGAATGCAGAGTTCTTGATGAGATTAGTAGATTACGCCAAGGAAAAACAATTTTACCATTTCCTTAAAATCTACAAATACTAATAAGATATTTTTGATTTTATTTTGACTTTAAGAATTGATGTATTTAGCGTCTCTAAATTTCTAGGGAGGAAAATGAGAAGATTTTAAACTTTTTCTTTTCTTCAGTTATTTACTTTTATCAAAACTCCTTTCTAGACGACGAAACTGTTCTTGGAATACGGCCCCGACGACGGTAATCCCGCTACAGATCCAGAGCCAGAATGGATTCTCTCTGTAACTGGCCAGTGGCGACTTCTGGACCCGGACAAACCTGGAAATTACTGGCCAATGGTGACTGAGCGACTGAAGTACTGTATGTACGCGATCGCGCCACTGACAGTCGCTTTTGCTATCGCAATGTTGGTCGACGGAACCGCCAGTTCCAAAGAATTCAGAAGTCCGACTAGAGGTAAGAAAAAAAATAGACTGCTTGATTGACCGAACATATGAAGGGTGCAAAAGTACGTCAGGAGGAATCTGCTGCTCGGTCTTTTTGATCATTTGCGCGTATGTTGGCATCATTGGATGGAGCCTCTTTATGGGATTCAATGCTTTAGGTATGGAACTGGGGAAAGAACGGATGAATAAAAATTATTCAGGGGTTTACTACTACCGAATGGTTCAAGAAAGATGTCGCGATCGCTTCGACCGAAACTTTGACAACGGAGTCTACTCAGAAATCTGCGTCGATTTGGTTCAAATGGGAATCGTCCAATTCAAAAATACTAGAAGCCAAGCTTATGGCAAGATCTGCGGAGACGGTACTACAGTCAAAACTTAATCCGTTGAATCTTAACCGTCAATTCAGGGCCAAGAGCGGCAGAAACAGATCCTTACGGTGACTTGGAAGAGTATTGCGAGCACTATCATCTCCCATACGGTCTTTTTATTGGATCCCTCGTTGCAGCAGGTGTTCTCATGCTCGGTAAGCCCTAATCAACTAACTTTGACGATGATTTATCCCTGAATCTTAGGATATGCAAACTTCGCGATGATTCTTTCCGCGAACAGAAGTCTCCTCAACAAAAAGTTTTCCAGACCGATGGCCAAGCACAGAGCAGCCAGGGCAAAGGCACAAGAAGAAGAAGACGCAGCTCCGCTTCTTTCAGGCACAGGTTTTTCGAACAGCCAGACTATGCAGACCTGTGGAGTTAACCTGGGACGGTATCCAGAAAGATCTTTTTGTACGGGCCTATTATAACGATCCTCAGAAATTAAAATAGATAAACCTTCGAAAAACCTGAAAAAGCGCCTCAGGCAGGTTCTCGAATGGCCCCAAGCGCCGCCCCAAGCATGTATCCGCCTCCTTCTTCGATCGGGCCTGCTTACATGACGCCTCGACAGGACGAAATCGGCATGGAGAATCGCTTCGTAAGTCTCCTCAATTTCATTTAGCCGATTCTTCGTCACTAATCTTTTGAATTCAGGATCCCTACTACAATCAACCGGTTCGATCGGACAAATCAGTCGACTACTATTTCAAGCGTTGCTAAAAGTGATTAGCTTTGAAAAATTTCATATTTTTGTATAAAAAGCGCTAGAACTCCTTCCTTTTTAGTTAATTTACCTGAACATTCCAATCTCTTTAAAAAAAAATTCGCCTGTGTTACTGTAAAAGTACTGTACTTGCATAAATTCAATTTTAAACCCTCTTCATTGTGAAATTCTTAAAATCTGTTATCTTCCATTTTTTTGCCAAGAAAAAATACCCTTTTCAAAAATCAGCTTCTTTTCCCTTTTTCTTATCAAGATTTTTGTGTCCTGAAGATTGTTATTCCACTGATAAACATAATATTGTAAAATAAATCAACCTACTATTCGAAGTTCGAACTCAAATTGCTTTGATAATTACCGCAGTTACTTTTGGCTACAGTAAGGGTCAGCCCATTTCGTTTAGATTAAAAATGTCGAGCAGGAATTATTGAGGATTGACTTTTTCGCATCTAGCCCGCTACTGCCAATTATAATTGTCCATCTGCGAATTTAGCGCTATTGATCTTTTGCGGTAAGTCCCTGCTCCATTCTATTCCTTATTATTCCCTATTGAATCTTTCTCTTTTTTATAAGAATTTTTATAAAAATAAAATGAGAGAAGAATATCTTTTTGGCATCGCTTTCTTTGGCCAAAGTTCTCAACATAAATTTGAGTGCTACAGTAGACACTAGAAGATAATGAGAACTGTAACTCAGTCGAGGAAAACAATCAAGAATTCATAATATTCAACAGATGGCAAAATCGAATACGATCATGTTTATAGCTTGGATTTTCAATTTTTAGTTGCTATTAATCTTCTTTAATTGAACCAAGTTTGAAGGAGTCATTCTATTGATTACATTTCTGATCGTGATCTTCGCCTGCTGGTGCAAAATTTGTCTAAATACTTGCAAAATCTGTAGGGACAGACCAACACCAGCGAGAGTTTGAAATTTTGAGGCTAAAAATTGATGCCATTTCAAAATTTCGAACTCTTAAAAAGCAATATCAACGAAAATTGTCCGGCAGTCAACTCTTCGCGGGAGCTAGACTTTTGTTTTATAGATTTTCTGAATTTTCAAATAAGTACCATAAAGTAAAAATTTGTTGTAAATAAAAAATAATAACTGATCGTTAGTTTATTGACCAAATGATTCCTAAGACGTGCTTTTTTTAAGGTGAAGGAAGTTATTTCTCTTCGTACCTCTTTCTTAACCGGGAACACCATACATATTTGGATGTTATCATGCAAAGTATCACTGCCGTCATACTTTCGCAAGTCTTGCAGAATACAATCCCGAAAAAGACAAAGCCTTTAGATTCTGTCTTGCCCAATAGTTTCAAGTCTATCAATTTTGAACTTTGTTCCACGCCGCCAGTTATTCTTTATTTTAGCGGGTAAATTCACATTTTCTTCACGCCAGCGTGTGAATTTGCCCTTCTGGTGCATTTTTCCCGGCCGCGTTCTTCAAAGTTTTCCAAAATGCTGTTTCTTGCGCTTTTCAGGTATTGTTGAGAGACAGAGACATCGAATATTATTAATTAATAATCTAGCGCGGCGTTCGCCGGAAAACTCAAATTCGACGATGGACAGATCCAATATCAGACAAAATGGATCGACCAGCGAATCGACAACTTCAACTATTACATGGACAAGACGTATAAAATGCGATACCTAGTCAATACCGATTTTGTCAAAGACGAATCCACCGCGCCAATCTTTTTCTACACGGGAAATGAAGGCCCTATCAACAGTTTCGCTGCTAACACAGGTGATTGACTCCTTCGAAACTCTAGCTGACGCTTTCAATAAAAGGCTTCATGAACGAATTCGCAGAAGAGGAAAACGCATTCATCGTCTACGCCGAACATCGCTATTACGGTCAGTCCCTCCCCTACAGCAACAATTCCTTCACTCCAGAGAACATGGCCTATCTTTCCGTTGAAAATGCACTTGCCGATTTTGCCCAGCTCATCGTTGAGTTGAAAAAGACTTACAAAGGTCCACTCATCTGCTTTGGCGGCTCATACGGAGGGCTTTTGTCCATGTACATGCGAATGACCTATCCAAATCTTGTTGACGGTGCTCTTGCTGCATCATCCCCAGGTAGAACTCTTTACTTAGAGCACTTATAAAGAAGTTTTCCTAAAGGAAAGGCCCTTTCCTCATTTCTAACTTCATTATTTCAGTTTACTGGATTTCCGCGATGGGCGACTCGCACGGCTTCTGGGTCAAGACGACTGAAGATTTCAGACAGGCTCTTGACAAGTGCGAGGACACCATCCGATCCGGTTTCGCCGCCTTGGACAAGATGAAAAACGACAAAGATTGGGCTGGAATCACGAGCTCAATGAGAACTTGTCAGAATATTACTGAAGACAACTACATGCATATGCTCGGCTGGGCTAGAAATGCTATGGCTACTATGGTAAAGATTTTTTTTTATCTTTCAGGGCCTCATTTTTTGTAAAGGCGATGATGGACTACCCCTATCCGACGAACTTTGAAGCTGCTCTTCCTGGTAACCCTGTCAAAGAAGCCTGCGTCCGAGCAGTCGCTGCCACTGGCGCTGATTCTATCCGAGAAGCTGCTGGACTCATGTACAACGGAACTGACCCCACTAAGGTTTTTCTTCCTTCCTCGTCGTCCCTTCTTTACCCATCATTTCTAGTACAAGCAGTGCTTCGACATCATGGGAGAATACGTCTACTGCGCCGATCCAACCGGCTGCGGAACTGGCCCACAGGCTTCTGCATGGGACTACCAGTGCTGCACTCAGCAAGTTCTTCCAGGAGGAACTGATGGCAAGACCGATATGTTCCCCGTCATCAAATTCGACATCGACGACCGCGCGGACTACTGCAACAAAACATACGGCGTCATTCCTGATCGCGATTGGCTCCGGTTAGTTTTTCTTGCCGTTCCTCCCTAACTGCGGTTTAGAATTAAATATTGGGCCGACAACCTCGAAGCTACTTCGAACACAATCTTCTCCAACGGCGATCTTGATCCCTGGGGCCCCGGTGGCGTGACCCACGACCTCCGACACGACCTTCCCGCCCCACTCGTCCATGGGGGTGCCCACCATTACGACCTCCGAGGATCTAACAGTGGCGATACCCAAGATGTCCTCAATGTCCGACAGTTTCACCGAGATACGATTCGCGATTGGATGGCGCAATTCTGGGCCGAAAAAGGGCTTTAGACCCTGTTCTATCTTTCTGTACTTCATCTTATCTTTTCATTGTGAAAAAGAGAAATTATTCTTCATGGTAAAATACAGTATTTTAAGCGAAGCTTCTAGCGTTTTTTCTTTGAGCTCTTGCAAGCAAAGGCCTCTTTTACGAGCTTAAAGTTGGCGCAGGAAATTACTCGCCTCGGAATATAATAGCCTTTCATTGAACTCAATCCGGCTTTTGAGAAATACCAAGCTAAAGTTTTACGAGACGTACGTCCTCCTCTGTGTTTGTCCCTATTATTTGTGTTCTGACACTTTTCCCTTCTCCTGGCCCTCGATCGGAATCCAAGCAGTATAATCCGCGTTGCTACGAGTAAATTAACACCAAGCGAAAATGGTTTTTGAGCTAGAAATAAAGAAATCAGAGAATATACCGAAACTCTACGATGTTTTGTTTTCTTCATTAAAATGGAAAGTGGAAGAGGATTTGGCTTCACAAATGGCAGTTGAGTTCACAGCGCTAAGAAATTCCGCTATCAACTGTAAGTACTGTGGACTCTAAAGTGCAGAAGCGATCATATAGCCTTCATTTTTTCTTCAGCAAAGTTGCCCAAGACCGCCTTGCTCGACAACTTAAAAAGCTACCATGATCAGTTGATCCTCCTTGGCGGGAAAATCAAGTTTACTCCAGAAGCCTGTCACGTCAAATTCAAATGGTTCTGCAGCTACACCGCTCGTGGAGAGGATAAATCAGACAGAGAACTTTGCGATATCGAATGGGAATTCGCAAACGTACTTTTCAACATCGCCATTCTTCATTATCTTCAAGGAAAGCGAAAATCAAAGGACAACGATCGTTCGGAAGCACTCAAGTTTTTCCGAGAAGCAGCTGGAATAGTAGAATACCTCAAAGATCATCAGACAAAAGGAATGAATCGACGGACGAATGATCTCCAGGAACACGCGTTAGAGTTGATTTTCAACGCGTTTATTGGATTTGCTCAGATTGAAGTGGCAAAGAAAGCTGCTGAAGATGGTAGGTCATTTTCTTCCTGCTAAAATAACTGTATTTTCAGGAAAAAAGAACGAACTCGTTGCGAGATTGTACGAAGGCGCAAAACGACAGTTCAACGACAGTGGAATAATGACGAGCGCCAAAGCGTTGAAGCAATATCTCAGCTCCCATTACAAATACTGCGAAGCGATGGTCAACTATCACATGGCCTTACACGAAGAGGATGATCCACAGTGGCTTCGAGAGGCTGAATTGCGACTTACTGTCGCGCGAGACAATCTTGGAACACTTCTGAAAGTAAGTCGACATTCGAAACTTACTGTCCTCAACACTGATTCTTCTAGAACTATCCAGAGCTCCACGATGAGAACGAAAAAGTTGAGCTTGCTTACAAAAGAGTGAATTCCGCACGAGCAGCAACTGGAGAACCACCAGAGTTTGAGAAGAATAATCTCGTTCAAGTCAAGCCAGAGCTGATTGCCAAAGCCATTGACTACAATAAACGATGCTTTTCCCAAAACTCAGATGGTATTTTCGACGTAGATTCAACACGTAAGCACCTTTTTCTTGACTCCAAATTTAAGTTTTTTTTTAAGGAGACCGACCAGATCCGATACAAGAAAACACTTCTTGCTGGAAATCGCTGTGCTGCTGCTTTTCAAGAGTTGACGACGAGCCGAAGAATTTCGAAACGCAAGCTGCGCAGATTTAGATAACATGATCACTGATGATGCTAAATTATATTCTGTCAATTCTTCGTCTGATTTAAGATAATTGTACTAATAAAAATTCTAAAAACTTCTTTTGTTGTTCCATATTCAATATTCTTTTGATTTAGAAAGATAAAGGGAAAACAGGCGAATGAGCGATATCGAAAGAAAACTAGAGCTTGAGTGGCAGAGGCTGAACGACGAAGAGCAACAACTTGAAGGTAAGTCACGTCACCGAAGCAGCTTGGGCCAAGCGTTGCACTGATAAGTCTCACTTTCTAGCACTCCTATCAGTTCTCTCCGGCGAGTTGAGAAAACTAAAGGAAGACGAGCGCGCAATCAGAAGAGCCCTTGCCCGCGACGCCGAACCTCCGAAAAGTCAAAATCCTGACCCAATCTCTTCCTCAAAGGATGCAGTGCCAACCCGACCTTCCCTCTCTATCAACAGAACGCCGCAGCCTCTCACCGTCCAAGTTCCCTTCACAGGATCTAGGCCGGTAAGTTTACGCGGGTTAGCGGCTCCGATGGGCCAGAGTATGAATGGAGAAAATGGAGAAAGTCTGAATCCAGATCTACAGATGATTACGAAACAAGAACGCTTTTGACTTCTCAGCTTTTGAGACTGTGACTGTATAGAAACCTTTGTAAAGAACTGCCTGAATTATATGATGCTATGAATTGTTAATTTTAGATGTCAGGAATTTGAAAATGAGCGTCGGAACGAATGGACGAAAAAGGTCATTTTCGGGCTTCGATGAGCCAATTGACATTGATCAACCCGGCCCATCCGGCATCAAGAACCACGTGATTCTCCTCTCCGACTCTGAGGATGACCCAGTTATTCAAGAACCGACCATTCCACCTCCAAACAAGCACAAAAAGATCCAGCCAAACGAAGATGGTATCATTGAGATTCCAGACGACGAAGACGAGCCTCAAGTCCGCGGCTCAATCAAGATAAAAGATCGCGTCAGCCAAATCCATCCTCATATCATCAGCGATCCGCTTCCGGTCGCTCAAAAATTCGCTGCCACCTTCATGGGCTTTTCTGGGCTTAGATTGCTCGGCTCGGTGCGCGAACCACTGCCAATGCCGCCCCCTCATTTCAAGCGCCCGAAAATCCTACTAAGAGACAATGTGAAGAAAGAAAATCTAAGTGAAGAAGAAGACGAAAACGAGGACGAGTCATTTTCTTGCGGCATTTGTATGGAATCGTTGTCAGACATTAAAAAAGCTGGAAAGAAAGTCATGACAACACCATGTGGCCATCCTTTTTGTAACGGCTGCCTTGAAATGTCCGCCAAATCGGGCAATTACGATCGCCTGCCACATCCACAATCGAAAGTTAACCATTGCCCAAAGTGTCGGAAGCTTTACGCGCTCAAGGACCGTATCGAACTTTATCTTTAAAAGGTGATCATGTCTATAACTTATAGTCTATAAGTTATAGACTATAAGATACAGAGTCTGTATTACAGACTCTAAAAAAGGAGCGTCACCCTGTGCAAAAAACCTGAGTCGCTTTTCATTTGAGCTCTTTCCGGCCTTGACTCAGGTTTCAGACATAGTTTGTCGCGTCCAGCATTGAATTCATTTTGTCCTTGTTAATGTTCTTTCAGGTCTACTTTTGCCTCCATCCGCAATCCCTTCCCTCTTCAACGAATACTCAGCACATACCAAACGAACACTGTGATGACTTCAATCTGTTACAGTCTATTTTTATATTTTACAAAATCTATTGAAACATATGCACACGAATCTCAATTACTGAAAATACCAATAAAATTCAAACACAACAAAAGCAATTTTTATTATAGTTCATCCGCATATTCAGCTTCAGCGTCCCATAAAATCTGCTAATCATCATTTTTAGTGAGAAAAGAAAACTCATCAGTATTCATTTCCTAGCCTTCTTTTTTCCTCTTATTAGGAATGTGGCAAATGTGTGAATTCCTAATGAATCCATGGGGGCGCGAACCAGCCCCCTTTGTTTGCCTGAAATTGAAGAGAAAAAATTGAATTCCCAAAACATTCTTCCTTTAGAATGGCCCAGCACTCGCGTTCTGCCTTTTTTGAGATACCCAGTGACCTGACCGCAGAAGAAAAGAACGAAATGAAACGAAGAGAGGAACTTGCAAAAGCAAGGAAAGGGGCTTTGTAGTTGTTTTCATTCCTTGTTGTTTGCAGCAAGATGCAACAAGTGTCATAAATAATTTTCGACAAAAAGAGACAAAAGAAGCAGACTAAAGTCTTTTGGCGATATTTCAAGATATCCGCTTCGAGCTCTTTTGCTATCCATCAGGTGTAATTATAGTTGTAAAGCCCAAGTGACTAGACCGAAGAAAACTGGCGGCCTTTCTTTTGACGTTACGATAAACGAGAATAAGAGTCAATCTGATTCTTCGACGCTTCAGAGTGCCGCGGCCATTTTGAGAGAAAAATCGGAAAAGAGAAGGAGTAGACTGGCGGCAAGGCGGCAGAATTCGAATCATACGACTTCCAGGAAATGGATAGGAGAACTACTCGATAAGTTATTGAAACCATAAGATTATCTTGGGTCTTGTTTTCCGTTTTATCGTTAATTAGGGGATAATGTGAGGATAAAATGAGAGCTTAATTTCGTTCATTAACGTAATGATGGGAGGTAATTTAATGACTTTTTATTCTAACATACTACTGATACACTTATTTACTAGTTTTGGATATTGCTTATCCATCAAAAGCTCTGATATGCCACTGACAACTGAAGATCTTGTTACAGATGAAGATCGAGCATCACAGCCTTCTGAAGCTGGGACTTACACCCTTCGACTTGATTCAGATACTGGTTCATATTATACGAACTCATGTCTTCAAGTTGCATAAATAAATTCATTTAATATCAACCATATTTATACCTGACGTCCGAGACCGTCGAGCACTCTATGACTCGATGATCGAAGGAAAACTCGACGAGAACCCAAATCCTCACAACGATAGCCAAGAACTCGACGGAATCGAAATTGATAGTGATGTGAACGACGATGACAAAGAAAACGAAAAAAGCAGCGAAGAACAGAGGGATCAAAACTCGGCAACGGAAAGCGCTGAAGATTATGCTGTTCCAACAGATGTTTCGCATCGAGTCAGTGAGTGGTTTGATCGAAATGCGGCGGCAGAAAGTAGGCAATCTGAGGCAAAAGATGAAAATTTAGAAGACATCAGGTAAATGCCCGTTTTTTATTATCGTTGCTAAAAGTGTTGTTTAGGCAAAAAGCAAAAGAGCGCCTTGAAAAATGTAAAGAAGGCAAGATCACCATCACTCGTGATTCCCGTCAGAAATCAGGCAAAAACCTTCGTTTATTCTTCTTTTCAATTTCCCTTTAAGAAAATCCAAGGACAAAAGGCTCCAATCCCCACATACGAATGACACGAGCTATGCTTCTGCAGAGAAATAGAGCGCTTGGACTTGATAAAGAGAAAGACGCAGAAAAGAAGAAAATGGCTCCACTAAAGACAGTTCCAAAGCCCAAAGTAGAGAACAGAAGAGTCTCGGCGAGGTTAGAAAGTTTGTCGAAGCCACGAGCGAGAATGATGAGCGATGACAAGACCAGAGGACGAAGCTTCTCGCATGATGTTGATACTGACAAGAAAGTAGCTCCTCATCCTCGCGGAAGGTTCGTTTTCTTGATGTTTATTTCGTAAAACTTGGGTTTCAGAAATCCGAAAATAACGAATCAAGGATCTACCACAGGCACAAATCGGTCGACAAGCCTCACCCGTGCTGGCACGGGAACATCTCTGAAAATATCGAAGCCAAGAATGAGCCTGGATCCGAAGATGTCACGACCTCCAACGATGAGCCAATCCATGAGAGAGGGTCGCTCTGTTGCTTCGAAGGTATTGTTTCTCACACGCACCATAATTAAAATATCTGTCTTATTTAAAAATTAAGTTAAATAATGCCAATAAGCGTACAAATGATTCTAACAATCCTTCTTTCATGAACTCCTCGAACTCACACAATTAAGACCTCAATTGCCCGATCAACCAGTCTGACTCGTTCCAACACCAGCAATCTCCGCACACCAAGAGGCAGGGTCAGCCAACGAGCCACCATCAAAAGTCCTCCAACTCCGAGCAACAGCAGTAAACGACCATCCACTGCGGCTTCATCTCGCCCTCCAACATCCCTTTCTTCCACTTCGCGTCCTCAAACTGCTGGATCAAATGTACCGTTTCTCAATGATCAAGATTTTTATCAATTTTAGATCGATAAATCACATGAAACTTCCATCCTGTATTCTATGCGACTTCTCTCCCGGGCGTGCATTGATAAGACTCGTGAAATCTACAAGAACACTGGATGGTAATTCGTTTCTTTCTCTCACAAACAGTTCTTAAAATCATTTTTCAGCACTGAAGCTGTTCCTCCATTGTCTCCACCCAACGCAGTTGGAGAAGGCCGACCAGAGCTCGAAGTGCTTCTGAGCAATCTCTGCCATCTAGACCAGGTCCTTGGAATCATCCAAGAACAGGTACCATTTTCAGCCCTATCATTCGAATAAATCGCGTTTTTAGTCTTCTAAGAATCCGCCAAACGAACCGATCACTGAAGAACGAGTCGACACCTTCACCGTCGACTCATTAGCAGTAACTTCTGACGAACCAACAACAGTGTTAAATCTCCAACATCTCTAATTAAACCCACATTTTTTATATTTTTATACCACATCATTCTTCATAAAACAAGAAAAAAGATATCTATACACATGCGCTGCCTTATGCTGCTGAAAGCCTTTATCTTACCTGCTTGAGCGTCTCAATATTAATTTATATTTTCATGAAGAGACAAATACTTTTATACTGTTTTTACTCATCGATAATAAATTTTTCAAAGTTCGAAAATCGTGTTAAATGAGTATTCCTATCGGGTGTTTATTTAAAAATAGAAATCATTTCCGTCAGAAATCGAGAGTTTTGCGACTCTGAGGACCATACTTGAGCTTCTTCGGTTTGATTTTGATCTTGATCGGTGCCGTTGCTTCTTAATTTTTCTGAAAGAAAAAGTCATTTCAGATGAATTTTGAAAGTAATACTTGGGAGAAGGCTTGACAGAAAGCAGGTTCGAATCGTTAGCGTCCCCAAGTTCGAGCGTTTGGGTAGCATCAGAAAACCGGGTCGCACTTTTGTGGCGATTGAGAGCTCTTCGAGATTTGCTCCTATTCTCACTGACTTTTCTGTTGAATGATTTTCTCTTACCGTTTGCTCCTTGATCTTCCTCGTCTCTCAGGAGTCTTAGTCTTGCTCAAAGCCCTGGACTTGGACTTTGACTTGATAATGTTTCGCTCCGTTGTAGTCGTCATCTTTAGATACTCTACATAAAAAAGAGACGCGTCAGGAAATTTTTTGATTTCCCTCTGGCCGGAAATGCAATTTGAAGAAAGGAGAAAAATCGATTTGGTGAACACAAAGTAAGGACATTTATTTTCAGTGGGGGAAAAGCTGGGATAAATTGAATTGACAAGTGTAAGCAAAAATAAATCGGAACAGACTCTTTGATCTTTGGTTTATAGATCGCACTGGACGTTTGCAGCCCAGTCGCATGCACTGACTTTTGGATTAAAGAAAAGCCCATCTGCGCAGCGGAGCACGCTATTGGCAAAGCCGGAGCATTCAATGTACGCCTCGCAGGATTCTTTAAAATTTTTCGTTGAGGATATCAAAGAAAAGCTTTACCTGGGTGCGGGTGGATTCCAGCGCCGACTTTGTTGCAATACTCAGCGATATCTAGCTAAAATTATCGTTTATTTGAGCTCGTGAAATAAACTGTTTGCATACCCCTTTTTCTTCTTCTGGTTTGTCGACAACGCCATCGATGATTTGAATGTCAGCGCAGCCGTAGAACTCTTCTTGGTAACCCTCGCCCATTCCGCACACTTGGGTCTCGTGGTCGCAGCCCCACGAGTTTCCAGTGTGGTAGCGCCACTGGATGACACAGTGATCGCAAGTCAAGCCTTCTGGAAGTCGTGCCATTCTTTTTAACAAATGATGCGCTCAGTCTCTTTATCATACTCTTACCGAGTGTACCACCAGCCACCCTTTACAGGATCGCCGCCAACGTTGGTGCCGGGAATGTTCCATCGAGTTTCTCCGTCGTCAAAGACAAGAAGATCCTTTGGGTCGTTGAAGCAGTTTTCGGGCTCGGTGATGTCGGTTTCGCTCATTTTGCAGAGAGAGTATTCGAACCAGCCCATGTGATGAGCAGTGATCTAAGAATAGAAAAAGGGCCTTTGGGTTTAATCTTACCTGGACAGTGAGTTCAATTTCAGATCCCATCGAGTAAACCCGAGGAATAACTCCGGAGCGGCCATACTTGCCTCCCCACTCGTAGTCCCTAGGTCGAGGAAGATCCCAAGCGTCGCCGCACTTTCCGCACTTGTAGCCCTGGGAGATCTGGTGACTGGTCCCTCCGCAGAAAAGGGCATTGTCATCGTACAAGAAGGTAATCTTATCGGCGTTGTTGGCGATGGAAGGGTCATTCATGTTGAGAGCGTAGGAAGTTCGTGCTGGGGGCTCCATAAGACGACTTGAAAAGGGGTTAAAAGGAGATCATAAAAAGTTGTTTCTTACCCATGTCCAAGGGCACCAGCAATGCAGGCACTCAAAAGTTTCATAAGTAATTTTCTTGTTTCTTCTTATTTTAGTTGAAAATGAGATCATTCCAGGAATCTTCGTCTGATTATAAAGCAACTGTCCATTCTGTTTTATCTCTTCGCAAACAAGGCCTTGGCTCATGAGCATTCTGGTTTTTGCGTTTTTTCTGATAAAAAAGTAAATTGATTTGGACCCTTGTCGTCTTTATATACGATTCAAAAGCAAACAGAATGATAGTTATGAGTTTATTAAGGTTCTGGCCTCGGAGCTCAGTAAAATGACCACAAACAGGTAAACAGTGACCGTTGACCCTTTTCGGGGGCAGTGGCTTGACTCAGAATCCTCTGCGCATGCACTTTCTCCAAATAGCAATTAACCACAGGAATGACCGCGAGTTAACGACTTGGGGTTTTCCTGATATTTTCGACCGTCTGATGTGGTGAATATGTTTTATGCGTCTATTTTTGGAAAGTATTCGACTCACGTGAAAAATCTTAGCTAGAATAGTATTCGCTTTCTTTCTGCTTGCTTATCATAAAATGGAGGGTATTTTTGAACGGGTGAACACGAGCTTCCATTTCGATTAATTATCCATTGCTTTCTTTGAAGTTATGCAAGAAGTGCACAATTTTAATCGCCATCATCATCGTCAATCCAAGCAACTTCTTTGATTTCCGCGGTATCTACTTCCTGCAGAAGTCACATACGACCGCAACTCCTAGTTTTCGATTACCTGTTCTTTTTCATAATTTTGGCTTCGTTGCGCGAAAAACCTCATTTAGAACTTACCCCAGTAAAGATCTTCGTCCGTTTTCGGCCCCATCTCACAAACAGGTGATCCGAGTGTTGGCCTTCCTGTAGCATCTTTCAGTACATACTTCACATCCCCATCTTTAGTCAGTTGGTGTGAGATCGCGAATGTTCCAACTGGTGGGATTTTAAATCTGTTAGGTGGAAGGTCCCCATGATACATTTGGAGTTCGTCAGGATTGTTTGCCTTTGTCTGAGCGTTTTTTGTATCGATGAATTCTTTTATAATTTTCTTAAGAACTCGATGTACTGATTGAATAATTTTTTGAACTGGTATACCTTCGCGTACGTATCAAATATCGTGTTAAAATTGTTGTAAATCTCTGGTGCAGTTCGGATTCTGCTCATCATCGGCGGCTTTGTTCTAGCAAACCAGCCGGGATTTCCGCTTTCTTGAAGGTATTCTACATCCAGCCATGTGTCGCCTATCCAGCACATCTCCATGTCCATCTTTAATGATTGCGGATTCGCAAGGAACGCTAAAAATCATCAGTTGTTTTCCCAATATTTTTACTTACAGCCAAGATTGAAGCAAAATTGAAAGGCCTCTGTTGCATTCAGTCGTTCTGAACCTTTGTCTTTTCCGAATGTTTTACTACAAACGGCCAAGTCTTCGTATTCGCCTTGATATTGTCCCATGTTCTTTACCGGTACACTCTTCAGCATTCTCGGATACCAGCCATCTTCTACGTCGCATACCCTCGGACAGGGGATGCATTCTTGAAGAACGTATTTTGAATCTTTAATCTGGTTTAGGCTTTTTATGATTGATAAGCTCGAGATGAGTATTAGCTCTAAGTAAGGCTACATCGTGCACGGGATGAACAAGGTCACACATGCAGAAAGGTGAAACATGAACAAGGCCACAAGGCCCTTTTTATACTGTTAGTCAAAGCCTAGCCTGAATACATTCGTTGACCGGGCGATCAATCATTCCACAGTGACCAGCCTTTCCATTTTTCGAATCTTTCACCCATCCAAGTCTCATGAATTCGTAAAAGATTTCATCATCCCACGTGCAATGCTCCGTGCCTCTCTCATCCTTCTCGCATTTTTCATTTATTTTGACGGCTAAATTTTTCCTTCGCAAAGTATCTCGAATTGCTTCAACCTTCATCCAGTTCTTTTTCCATGGAAGACAAGTCTCTCTGTCTTTTGTCATTTGCGGGGGATCGCAGTATTGATGAACAACGATGCGAGTTTCATTGCCCATGAATGCGGGGAAGTGTTTTCGCTGTCTTTCGGGCACTTGGATGATTTCTTTTCTCTGGAAGTTCCATTCTTGCGTCGTATCTCTGATGCATGTGAAGGGGCGTTTTTCTTCTCCAGTCGATCGGACCCACGGTTCGAATTTTTTGTTGCTGTCATCAAAGTGACTAGCCACCCACGATGGGTTACAAGGATTTTTAAAAGCGTATTTCTTCGGCTTGATATCCAGGATACTTCCAAGCTTGTTGTTCTGATTGTACCATCCTTCGAAGCCGTCCTGGACGATGTTAGCTATCCAGACCCGTTCAGAGTGTAATGCAGTCAGTGATGTTACTGCTTTCATTCGAGATTGTATTTCCTTGGACAGGGGTTTTCTTTCTTTATTCAGTTGAGGATAGATTTCTCCGATCGGGACGTTTTCAAATGGAAGAGCGAGCCCCTGGGAGGTGCAGGAATTAATCGTGCTGTCGATTTCAGATTCCATGGTCCCCATGAGGAAGTAGCAATAATCTCCGGAAGATTGAACCACTTTTTGTTCGGGCGATTCGTTTATCATGCTCAGAACTTGCGCGTAGACCTCATTTACCTTTTCCAAGGATTCATTGCGAGCTTCATCCCAAGTTTGTTTTTTATCCCTGTAATATATCTCTAGTGATCGTTTCTTGATGAATCTATCAAGGCATTCTTCCTCGCTTTTGCTTAGGTCCAATTCTATTGCAAAACTTCCCGTTAAAAGGAGAAGGGTAAACCTAACGATCATTTCAAATGAACATGGAAATAAGAATAGCGGCGTTTATACGAAAAGAAGTGATAGGGGATCAGTCGTGCGTGCTGTGTTGATCAAATCAAGCGTAAAAAGTTTATATTGGCAGCGATAATTATATTACCGGTATATAATTTTTGAAAGGTTTGAATTTCAGAACATTCTCTCTCGTTCTAGAAAATTCTTTTGCTAAGTAGAAGCTTTATACAGTCTTCCGTTACTTTACCTTTGTGAGAGGCCTTCAAGTGAGCCGACCGCAAAAACCGCTCTCCATGGAACCATCATTGTTCTCAAAAAGCTCACCTGGCGCCTCGGCACCTTGATTTCTATCATTCAAGAGTTGATCTTTCCGAGGCAAGATGATCCCAGAATTTTCAAAGTAAGACTTTTTCAATGGTCTTTTCGATGATTTTCGTTCAGAAAGACATACTTTATCCTGTCAATGATGGTAACATTGATGAACACGGGAGCGTTTATTCTGACGCTGGTGAATTATTTCAATGTAAAGGAAACTGATACACCATTGGCCAAAATGGGCTGGACTTGGCTGCAAACTGGCCCGGTGGTGACATACGCGTAAGTAACTAATTTTTTATTTTTGGCAATATTCTTTTTAGACAAACAGGATTCTGGTACCCGATTGAAAACTGGCCTAGATACCCAAAGGATCGGCATAACAATAAAAACAAATCATCATTTTCTTTTTTCTTGAAAAGCCGTTGAAAGAAATGGTGGACGAAAGTAAAACCAACTCAAATTTGCATTTTTGCCTTTTCGTCCGTTGCTGTAATTTGTCACTATCTCGTCGCACTTGACCTCCCTGAAAAGCCCAGAACGACATTTATCATCGTTTCTGTTCTTCTTTCACTCTCCGGAACTATTTCATGGGTCGTGGCTTCCAGTGGACAGAGAAATGAATGGTAAGATAACTAGGGTATCAGTGATACCGTATCACAAATTATGTTAACAATAATCTTAGTGAAGAAAAATGCGCACCGAAATCGAAATCCGACGTAACCGTAATTGAAACATAATTAAGAAGGCATTCTCCTTTCATTTTTATAATAAACTTTTATTACTGCAATTTTTATTGAAGAAAGAAGATTTTTTTGTCATGATGAGTTATTACTAGTTGTCATTTTTTTCAGTCCAGATCGGCTTTAATCGTCTTATTCAATCTTTATTCTTGTTCATTACATGATTCCCATAATAGAAAGTGAATCGACCTTGTGCTCTTTTACATCTGCTAAGACTTTTCCTGCGACGGTTGCGAGCACTTCCGCCTCGCATTTGTTCATGAAACTAAGGAACTTGTCGAGACCAATGTCAAGGTTGTTCGAAGCGAACGCCTTGTCGAGACAATCGTTCAGCATCATGTCGAATCTGTCGACGTTCTCGTGGGGCCCGTAGTTGCGCTTTTTGAAGTCGACCTTGTGCTGTTTGTCATGGTGGCCTCCCTGCATTGCCCGGATGAAATCGCCGTAGAGGCCCTGGCCTAGAAGTAAATTTTTAGTTACTCTTATTTTGTCTTGGTTGCTTGAAATTTAGGTCTTTTCCTTACAAGAAACAAGACAGAATAAAAATGCGACAATTTTCATCTTTCGAGAGGTTAAATTTAAAAGAACTTTCACCAATTTATACTTGGCACGAATATTATTAGGTATTCACCGCTGAAAACTTGACATTTCCAAGACGCGACGACACGAATCGTACGTCTTTACTTTTTTCGCTAAATGATTAGTTTTGTTCATCTTTTCGTTGATTCTTGTATTCAAATTATGTCAACTTGTGTCAAAGATATTTCCCCAGCTAAAAGTAAAGTCCTGAGGAGCTAGAGGCTCTTGAAGTTGGGAACTTGACAAAAATTTAGTACTTTTTCACAAAAGGCACCCAAAAATTCAAATTTCCGAAGTTGGCAAGATTTCGGGACTTTGGAGGTACCTAGATGCCCTCAGGGTACAAGATCTCCCCCGGTATCAATAGTCAAAATGATCCTCAGCTTCTGGGCTTTCTAAAATTGTATTATATGCTTACTCTGCTAAGCGCAAAGAAATGCTCAATTATTTGTGATTTCCCCTGTTAATAACTTTATACTTTGGTACACCTGTTTATTCAAGTTTCGAGGGCCCGTTGGCAGCCGAATAAGCACGTGTAGCATTCTTAAAACACTTACTGACAGACGCACTTGCCACGGTTAACCAATAAAGTGTTGTGTATTATTTATCTACTCCTTCTAAAGTATATATACAACGAAACTTTTTCAGGGCTCACAATCAAGTTAGAACTTAGAACGAAAAATGAAATCTTTTTCCTCAATTTTCCTTTTCTTCACATTTGCACATTCTTTTTCTCGTCATGGAAATCCTAATATCTACGATTTAAATGGAATGTACATCAATTGCATTGGTAAATCAATTTTACAAAACTAAAATTTCATTGAAAATTTATTATTTTTTAGCAATGACCAAAAGGTACGACCTGAAAAAGATGGACATGGCGGGCATTGAGAAAATCTGCAACTTGGTCCTCGCAACTGAGATTCTTCATCAACAAGAAGTGTATGTAATAAACTTAAAATTAACGGTCTTGAATTCTGTTCTTTTTTCAGCGAGCTGGAAGAAACAATAGAAGATTTGACAAAGGAGCATCACGAAGGGAGCGAAATGGGATTTATTGGAAATTTTCTGAAATAAAATTTTGAAGAAATCGAATTCAAATTTGATTTACTCTAAGCCTTTCTTTGCGGAACCATTGATGGGACCGATAGTAATAGATTTTATAGTGAATTGAATTGTTTATACAGAACAAGGACAGCTCCGAACCCCCCTAAGCGATTCCATGTCATTTCACTCAAGTAAAAATCCCAAGAAAAAATTTTTTCGAAAAGTCGAATTTTGATCCTAGAGAGTTTTTAAGAGAAAATAATGAGGAGAAGTCTTGATAATTTGGTTTTAAATAGCTTACTTTTGATGTTATTGCTTGTTGCGTCAATTGGTTTCGATGAGAGGTAATTTATTTTTAAAATTTAACTAAATAGCAGCAGTTTCAGTTTCTTCTTGGAGGAAAAAGTTCCAAGAAAAGAGAAAACAGTACGAAAGAATTCAAACAAATGCTCACCTGTTGATAAAATTATCTTTTTGAAGACGCATAAAACTGCCTCTTCGACCATGCAAAATATCTTTTTTCGCAACGGTCTCAAGAATCACCTTCCGATAGGGATTCCGATCGGTCGAAAAAACCGATTCAACTATCCAAGGTCTTTTAATCCGTCTTTTATTCGACCACTTGAGAACGGAAAAACTCCAAAGATCATCGCAAATCATCTTCGAGCATCCGAAAGCCTTTACACCAGCATTTCGAATGCAAAAACCATCACCATCATTCGTGATATCCCTGGCCTCTACGAAAGCACCTTCAGTTATATGAACGACATCACGACCGCGTTTCAAGAAGCTGGCTCTCTGGAAGAATTCTATTCAAATCCGAAAAAATACACTGAAAAAGATTATCCAATAAACAAGACGATTTGGCACGAGTCCGATTTGAACCTCGTTTTTCAACAGAATCACATGGCTTTCGACCTTGGTTTCAATCACTTAGACGAAAATGCAATAGAAGAAGCGCTAGAATCGATGGAAAACAACTTCGATCTTGTCCTTATTTCCGATTATTTCAAGGAATCGATGGTTCTCCTCCGAAACGAGCTATGCTGGAGCTGGGGCGATCTCCTTTACTTTACCAACAATGCGAGAAAAGACAAGAGATCACTTGATGAAAATTTAAAAGAAAAAATGAGAAATTGGAATTTTTTCGATACCGCTATCTACGACCGTTTCAACAAAACATTTTGGAGAAAAATCGAGAGACTTGAAAATTTCGAAAATGATCTGAAAGAACTAGAAATGAAATTAGATGAGATACATCGAACATGTTTGAAGGATAATGATCTCGGACCGACGACTAAATATAATGGGCTGAAAATGAAGGGTTTTCAGCTTTCTGAAGAAGGGAAAAGGAACGAGACTTGTCGACTCATGGTGATGCCAGAATTAGAGCTCGTTGATTTTGTGAGAGAAAAACAGTGGAGTCAATTGGTTTAGTGAAATTCTGCAAAAATACTTAATTTTCAATAAAAATAATTGTTAAGTCAATGATGGCAGAAAAAAAGAGCAGGATAATTTATCAATTAATTTCTCAACATTGAAGAGAAGCGCAATTCTTCGGAATAACAGCAACTTGAACACCTATTCCTGGTGGCCTCCGGTTCGTATAATTCGAGGAAGACCAGCCCTTTTCGGGATCATAAATTTCGAACGAGTCGCCTTCTCCATCGTCGCCATCGAATACATAGATTCGGTTTGCTGATAAAGCGACGCCGACGGAAGATCGCGCAGAGTTTAGAAACTAAAAATGAAATAAAATTTTGACCGCATTTGATAATGTCTTTCAACCTGAACGCGTGTCCATTGCTCAGAGGCAAAATCAAATTGTTCACAATCTCGCATCGTGGTGGGGCCGTTATCACCGCCGATAACCCAAAGCTTTCTATGATAGACCAGGCTTCCGTGATCAGATCGAAGACTCAGCATTGGCGGAGCTTTCGTCCATTCCTTTCCGTCAAAAACTTCCATGGAATCAAGCCATTCCTCACCTCCATTGCCGTAGACAATTCCTCCAGTAATATATATTTTTCCTCAAAGCAAACTGCTGCTGCAGCGCTTCGAGGAACTTGCATAGCAGGCACTTCTTCCCAGGCGTTATTTTTTGGGTCGTAACATTCGTTGAGGGCTGATTCTTTTCCATTTTCACCAAACACATAGATACGGCCATTCATAACTGTGCATGCCGGCCACAGTCGGTCCGAGCACAGCATATTAGCAACGAATTCCCATTTGTTCGTTCGAGGGTCGTATCGCTCTACTACGTTGGAATCGTTTCCACCTAGCGCGTAGATCATTCCATTCAAGACAGCTACCGCATAATTTTGACGAAACCGCTTCATCGGTGCCATTGGCTCACATTTCTTACCGAAACTTTATTTATTCTATTAAAAGAATGACTCTACCTTTGAGTAAGCATCAAACCGAACAACCATATGTTGTCCTTTATAGAAGTCGGGGGCATTGTCATAAGAATCAAAGCCATCGGCCAATGTAGTCAGAATATAAATGTCATTCTCCAAGTGAGAGCACCATCTCGTGGTTAATAGTTTGCCTTCGTTACATGTTTCTTCAACATTCTCCTCGGAAATCTTTCGCTTTCGGTTGTTTTTTGCATTTGGGTTAAGAGCATTATCTATCAACGCTCGGCATTTGGCGTTGCTTGAAATCAAATCGACGGTAAGGACATCGTCGCGAAGACATTCTGGAGGAAGTAGGTGCAAGCGAACTTGGCTGAGCATTTCAAAAATAAGCTTTGCCTCGCAAGATTGATTCGCCATGAGCCAGATTTTGAGGGCAGCCCACACAGTCGCCTCTTGCTTGACATACAGATCAGACGAACCAAAAATGCTCATTACTGAAAAAAATAAGCCTTTAATAATGAATTTGCAAAAAAGCTGACTTTACCCAATTCAGCAGGCGCGCTTGTCCAAACAGGAAGTCGAAAAAAGTCAGAAAAGTGTCGGTCGATATATTGCCGAGCTCGAAGCGCCAAATCGGGGCGAAAGATCTGCTCTGCTAGTTGCAAGACATCGAGAACATTTTCCGAATTCAAGTGGTTCTCAATAAAATCGAAGCAAGCTGTGATGACTTGTTCCATTCCGAGATATTGAGCCACAATGAGTACCGACTGAACGGTTTCATTTGTAAGTTTGATCTCGCCAGTATAAGCCCATGCAATCACTAATTCATCGAATTATTATCCGAAATTACAAATTGAAGTGATACCTGAGGTGATTGTCGTTGGATCTACTCCTGGAATCTCAACTGAGATTTCATCTCCCTTTTTCCATGATGACATTAGTCGTGTCTCAAAATACGGAATAGCCGAGGCAAGGACGAGTTGATGGGCCTCAAATACAAGCGGGCCAGATTTGATGACAACGTCGATTGCTTTCGACTCTTCTCGGAACTTGGCAAAGCGATTGAAGCTAGACGAAAACAAGGAGGACTTATGACAATACACCTCGAACGACGAAGCCATACGTTTTCTTCTTTCTGGCAGCAGGAATCTGGATAACGAAAAATCGGCACTAAATGCTTTTGAAACAAACTTCTACATTTTAGTGTCTAGAGATTTTCAATAAAGTCGGTCAAAATGATGTCAATTTTCGAGTATTTCTTTAAAAGAAGCAAAGCATTTCGTGTATAAAATACTGCAAAAATACTTTATTTTCAATAAAAAATGGATGTATCAATGAAGGCAGAAAAAAACGTAGAAATAAGATCGCACATCAGTGATTTCTTAGAATTGTAGGGAAGCGCAATTCTTCGGAATAGCAGCAGCTTTAACACTCATTCCTGGTGGCCTTTGGTTCGTATAATTTGAGGAGAGCCAGCCGTTTTCGGGATCATAAACTTCGAACGAGTCGCCTTCTCCATTAACCCCTTCGAATGCAAATATTCGGTTTGCCGACAGAGCAACGCCGAGCTAAGATCGTTTAAAGTACAAAAACTGAAAATAAAAATTGGATCGGCATAGCCGATAGCTTCCTACCTCAACGCGTGTCCATTGTTGAGAGGCAAAATCAAACTGCTCACAATCTCGGATCTTACCCTGACGGTTTTCACCGCCAATAACCCAGAGCTTTCTATGATATACCAAGCTTCCATGATCAGATCGGACACTCAGCATTTGCGGGGCTCTCGTCCATTCCTTTCCGTCAAAAATCTCCATGGAATCAAGCCATTTCAGGGCTCGCAGGACGGGTTCGCCATTAGCCAGATTTAGCCTGTCAGAGTACAGTCGAAGTTGTCACAAGTTCGCTGGCCAGCGAATTCTAAAATAAGTTTTTTAAAGAGTTTGAACGTCGGCTGTTTCCATACCAGGTTGAGTTTGCTGCTCGAGTTTTTCTTTATCCTCGGCTTTTTTCTCCGTTTCTTGTTGCAGTTCTTCTGTTGCGTATTTGGATTTGATTCGGTTGGACTCGGCGTGCGCTTCATTGTTCTTTGCCCTAAGTGACTCTTCTTGGGTGTTCTTGGCTTCGATCTGCTCGCGAAGGCGTTTTACTCCACTAGCATGGGAGGCGTGCTTACGTGCAGACTAATACTGAGGATTTTCGCTTTCCACCAGGTGTCTCCCCACTTTGCATAAACTCGATCGCCGGGCTTGTAAACAACGTTTCCATTATCATAGACTGTTGCCTAAAATTAAATAATCTTTAGACTCTAAAGTTTAGCGGATGCATAAATGTATAAATTATGCAAAAGTGAATCTTATGCAATCGTGTGAAAAGGAAATGAACTTACCCGTTGCTCCCGTCGTTTTTCTAAGAGTCGGGCTCGTCGTTTTGATCCTCTTCGATGCCTTCTTGTGCGCTGCTTCTAAACAAATTATTGATATATTCATTATACATATTTTTCTTATGGAATTTTAATGAAAGCTGATTTGGAAATCGGATTGTTTTGCATATTGCTTGTTGCTAAAAGCAAAGCAGACACACTTGCTTGGCTACTTGTTGATGACTGCATTTGGAAAATCAATGGGGAGCAAAACGTTAAGTAACTTTGAAGGGAATTTTCTCAAAGTATTCAAAATGTAGCTAAGGTTCTGACCTACTGTTTGAATGAATTAAGAAGATGTTGAGGTACCTGCTGTGTTTCGTTGCCGTTGGGCTCCTTAATATTAACGGCATTGGCCCCAGCAGACGGGAATAGTTGCGCGTGCTGTTCCCGCGATCCAAAATCCGCTCTATTGAACGTCTTCTTTTTTTTTTGTCCATGTTTCTAATTTAAAATTCGTTTACAGTTCTCGCGAAGAAATATCTTTTGTAAAAGAGAAAGACGAATGCGATAAGAGTAGCGAAAGTGAGCGTAAAGAGGTTGTTGCTGACCAAGTCGAGCACCAAAATCACTTTCTCAGTGTGGTCGGTCTTTTCGATGGTGAGCTTGGCGTCTTTTGGTGGCGGAAGCGAACACTTGACGCTAGCAAAGTGGATTCGTCACGAATCATTCGTGAAGAGAAAAACTCGCTTCCAAGCGCTTTTTTCAAGAATGCTCATTACTTCGAAGATAAATAAAGCTTAGTTTAGAACTATGACTGAACCTTGTTCGGCGGGCGCATTTTTCCATACAGGTAGTCGAAAAAAATCGCAAAAATAGCGATCAATATAATTGCGAGCTCGAAGTGCCAGATCGGGGCATAAGATTTGCTCTGCAAATTGCAAGACATCGAGGACATTTTCCGTACTCAAGTGGCGCTCCATGAAATCGAAACAAGCTTTGATGACTTGTTCACATCCTAGATATTGCGCAGCGACGAGAACGGATTGTACGGTCTTGTTTGAAAGCTTGATCTCGGCAGTGTAAGCCCACTCAATCACTTACTAGTCGAATTACTGTAAGAAAAAATAAATTGCAAAAATACCTGATATGATGATCGCTGGATCAACTCCTGGAATTTCTAATAGGATTTCATCTCCCTTTTTCCATGATGACATAAGTTGTGTCTCAAAATAAGAAATAGCCGAGACTAGGACGATTTGATGGGCCTCAAATACAAGCGGGCCAGATTTGATGACAACGTCGATTGCTTTCGACTCTTCTCGGAACTTGGCAAAGCGATTGAAGCTAGACGAAAACAAGGAGGACTTATGACAATACACCTCGAACGACGAAGCCATAAGTTTTCTTCTTTCTGGCAGTTAGAATGTCGATCACGAAAAACCAGCGATAAATGCTTTTGAAACAAACTTCTACATTTTATTGTCTAGAGATTTTCAATAAAGTCGGTCAAAATGATGCCAATTTCTGATTTTTTTTTGTAAAAGAATCAAAGCATAAAGTTTATAAAATACTGCAAAAATACTTTATTTTTAATAAAAAATGGATGTTTCGATGAAGGCAGAAAAAAGGTAGCAATAAGGCCGCGCACCAGAGATTTCTTAGAATCGTAGGGAAGCGCAATTCTTTGGAATAGCAGCAACTTGAACTTGTATTCCTTGTGGCCTCTGGTTCGTATAATTTGAGGAAGACCAGCCGTTTTTGGGATCATAAATTTCGAACGAGTCGCCTCGTCCATTATCCCCATCGAATGCAAATATTCGGTTTGCCGACAGAGCAACCCCGAGGCAGGATCGTTCAAAATTCAAAAACTTAAAAATTTTAGATCGCTTTTGGTAATGCCCTAAAACCTGAACGCGTGTCCATTGCTGAGAGGCAAAATCAAACTGCTCACAATCTGGGATCTTAGCGGGGCCAATATCACCGCCGATAATCCAGAGCTTTCTATGATAGATCAGGCTTCCATGATCAGATCGAACACTCAGCATTGGCGGGCCTGTCGTCCATTCCTTTCCGTCAAATACTTCCATGGAATCAAGCACTTCTTCAGGTTGACTGCTGTAGTGGATTCCGCCAGTAATATAGATTTTACCTTCAAAGCAAGTTCCTGCTGCAGCGGTTCGAGATACTTGCATAGCGGGCACTTCTTCCCAGGAGTTATTTTCTGGGTCGTAAGATTCGTTGAGGGAGGATTCGTCTTTGAGAGTTCCACCAAACACATATATACGGCCGTTCATAACTGAGCATGCCGGGTACCAACGATTGCAAAGCATACTCGCAACGAATTCCCATTCGTTCGTTTTAGGGTCGAATCGTTCAACTTCCTTCGAGTCCTGTCCACCTAGTGCGTAGATCATTCCATCCAAGACAGCCACTCCATAATTTTGGCGATAACTCTCCATAGGCGCCATGGATTCGCATTTCTTATAAATGATTTTATCAATTATTTCAAAAAAAAGTCAAGCCCACCTTTGAATTCGGGTCAAACTTTACAACAAGATGTTTCCACTGATTATAGGCACCCATGTCGAAATTAGAGTCGAGAGCATCGGCATATGTAGTAAGAATATAAATGTCATTCTCCAAGTGTGAGCACCATCTTAAGTCTTGTCGTTCACTTTCGTTGCATATTTTTACCATTCTGTCCTCAGAAATTTTTCTTTTACGGCTTGGTTTAGCATGTGGGTTCAGAGCACTATCTATCAACGCTCGGCATTGGGCGTTGCTTGAAATCAAATCGACGGTTAGGACATCATCGCGAAGACATTGTGGAGAAAGCAGGTGCAGACGAACTTGGCTGAGCATTTCGTGAATGAGTTTTGCCTCGCAGGATGGATTCGCCATCAGCCAGATTTTTAGCGCTGACCAGACTGTTGCTTCCTTATCGACAAGCAGCGTTTGTGAGGCAAGAATGATCGTTACTGCGAAAATCAGTTAACTTAGTTATGAACCCTGACTTTACCTTGTGCAGCCCGCGCTTTTTTCCATTCAGGTAGTCTATAGAAATCGCAAAAGTAGCGATCAATGTACTGCCGAGCTCGAAGCGCCAAATCGGGGTGGGAGATCTGCTCTGCAAGTTGCAAGACATCGAGAACATTTTCCGAACCCAAATTGCACTCCATGAAATCGAAACACGCTGTGATGACTTGTTCACATCCAAGATATTGTGCAGCGACGAGAACGGATTGTACGGTCTCGTTTGAAAGCTTGATCTCGCCAGTGTAAGCATACTCAATCACTAATTGATCGAATAATTCTTCCAAAAAACGAACTGAATCATTACCTGTAATAATAGTCCCTGAGTCGACTCCGGGAATCTCAAGATTGATTTCAGCTCCCTTTAGCCATGATGACATCAACTGTGTCTCAAAATATGGGAATGTCGAGCTAAGAATGATTGCATGGGCCTTATATCGAAGAGGGCCAGTTTTGATGACAACGTCAATTGCTTTCGACTCTTCTCGATACTTTTTAAAGCTATTGAAGCTAGACGAAAACAAGGAGGACTTATGACAAAACACCTCGAACGACGAGGCCATAAGTTTTCTTCTTCCTGGCAGTTAGAATACGGATCACGAAAAACCAGCGATAAATGCTTTTGAAACAAACTTCTACATTTTACTTTCTAGAGATTTTCAATAAACTCGGTCAAAATGATGCCAATTACCTGCAGAATTTTCATGCTCCTTGAACAATATTTCCGATTTTTTATGGAAGAAAGAAGAAACCGAGACGTTGTGTTTGTGAATCTATTTATATTTATTTGTTGGATAAAAGTTTGACAAGTTTAAATAGGTTGTATTCAACGAACATTAGCCTTGACGTCCTTTTAACCCGTCGCGGCGCACAGGGCAGCCATGAGCGGGCGCAGGGACAGGACTGAAAATCTTGTTTCCCGAAGTAAGAGTAATTATTTTGATGTTGTGTGAAAGTAGGGTGGAATCAGCTAGTTTCATAGCACGCCTCAAAAGTGAAACTGGAGTTATGAAGAGTAGCGATTTACACAAGAGATGTTTGGTTTTAATTTTTGCCTTTTTGGTTGATGTTATTTTGTCAATTATAATTAACTGGTGTAGAACTTGAACGTGAGGTTTTTTTTGAAAAAAAATGCGGCTTGAGTATTACTGTATCAGTCTGTAAGTATCGTAGATTGAAGAAGAAGCGTTCTATGAGAAATAAAAGCTCCGGAAATTGAATTGAGTTGAAATTTGTCACGATTTTTTTGCGAAAGTTTTCGGCTATTTGAAGACTGACAAGTTACTCAAGTCGCATGTTTTTCGAGTAGAATAAAATAAGAAAAAAAAGAAAATAAGGAACGATAGAGCTCGATGGGGGGAACTTGGCCGGAGAGGTTGAGGTTAGTTTCTATCACACCGAATCCTAGTTCAAATTATACAAAGCAGCAAAATGCTAGTTTATGTATCAGAGCCACTGACTCACGGTACTCAGGGCCAGAAAGAAGGCCTACACCCTTATGGTTTCAAATCACGTGGCAAAAGAGGGGTTAATGATCATCCTTTACCTAGCCATTTTATTCGACAAAACTGAACCAGATAGTGAGTTACTTGTTTAGTGATTAATCCAATGTTTGCAAGACATAACCACTCCAAAATCTGTTAGAAATTCTGGTGATTGTATCTTGTAAATACTGAACGAGTGAATAAACAAGCAGTTTACTGTCGGATTCAGTTTTTCTCAAATAAAATGAATATGCAAAAATGATCATTCTCCTCTCCTTCGCAACGGGATTTACAACAATAGGGGTGTGTTCCCAAAAAAATGACCCTAAAACCGCGTTCAACTGAAAATGATGAGATACAGATAGCAAGACTAGTAAATATAATGAAGTTGATTATGAAGAAACCGTGGCGGATCCTATAATAATCCAATCAGAAAATAAACGGAAACTGAAAAAGCAATTGGTCCAGTGAAGACTTTGAGGAATAATGAACAATGGGAGGTTGCGCCATCACGTGGTCGAAATCACTAAAAAGCAAATGTTAGGCTTAGTTGCTGCATGTTTGAGCAGGATGCGTTGAGCAGCCCGGACAAATATAGATGGGAGCATTGAGAATGATTTACCTTCCATAAATATATCCAGATATAAGGAGAAGAGGTGAATATAAACACAGTGCTGGGATTTTACAACTTGTTGATTTTCTCGGCGACGCACGCCTGGTTGGCTTTGGCCAATTCAGCTCTTCCATTTTCCTAAAAAAGGGGTCAAAACATTATAATTTTATTTGGGATTTACCTTGTAGTCGAATGAACAATCATGCTTGTCGGAATATCTGTGAACGCCACAGAATAACAAGCCGCATCTACACTCGAAGCCTAGAAAGAAAGGTTCAGTAAGGATTCAAGCTGATAAGCAGGAGGATTTACCAGTAAGGCCGAGCTTCTTTTTGCAAACGCCGCATCGCTTCTTTGCTTTCTTCGCTGGTGGAGCAGCGGGGGAGTCTTCGGCGACGACGCTGGGCGATTTTGGTTCAGCGCTGGATGATTCGGGAGTCGAGGCTTCGTCCTCGACCTTGACTGGGCTGGCTGATGGGATGGGCAATGAGGTAGATGGGTTGACGTTCATGTCCGCCATGGAGTCGGTGACTTTCTTCTGGCTCTCCGAATCGGTTGAAGGTAGACGGGTGGCTGAACGAGATTTTAATAACCTTGCAGACAAAATGGAAGATTTCAGAAAAAAAATCTTCCTTCTTTTTGCTTTGGGAACAAAATGCCCAAAAATAGCATCTACGTCTTATAGATAACTTTATTGATCATTAGCTACGACCTAATCTATTGGAAAAAGAAGCGTGGATCCTCGGTCTTTTAGACCATCCATCAACAAGAGTTGCTTCAAATTCTATCGATTAAAACTCCTGACCCTAGAGAACCTTTTATCTATAGGTTCAATGCATCAAAGTCGGAAAACAGCATTGAAGGCTTGCCAGTTTTCAGCATGTTTCATGCTCATTATGGATCGAGACAATAAAGGGCTCAGCATGTGTCACATGATGAGGATGACTAAAAAAGGAGGGTTGCTCTGTTTCATTTATTGATCGATGCTCACGGGGTTGAAAACAAAAACTGGCACAAAGCCCAAGCGCAAAACTTTGGGTCACTTTTTGGACTTTGGAAAAAGGGAATATTTGTTTTCACGCAGGTTGTTCTGTATATTTTCAAAATAATCGAAGCCAGAAAAGCATCCAAATATCTTAAGCTTTCGTTTTAAAAAAGGGGTTTCACTAGCCTAGCTCTTGGCTTGACAACCTGTGTCGAAAACCTGAGTCAGGATTTGAAAGAGCTTGTATGAAAAGCTTCGCCGAAATCATGATCTCTTTCTATTTTTTAAAATCTTGACTCAGGTTTTCTACACAGGTTCCTGAACCTCATTATCTTCGACTCTTTTTTAGAGGAATACACATGGCAGTGATAAAATAGAGTAACTGATAAAGAAAATGATAACTGGATTTGTGATAAAGGGATTTTGATAATGAGTCTTTACCCTCTTGTTCCGAGCTCTTGTTAGTCTCCTCATGTTTTCGTTTTCTACCGTTTGCTGAATGAATGTTGGGCTTTTTGAGAATATGCATGAGAAAGTGGTGAAAAAAGATGACTCACAAGCGTCGCTAGGGAAATCGAGTTTGCCCTCGGGGGAGTGAGAGTGAATAGGAAGTATAGGTACTGTATCTTCTCGTAGGGGCCGTACACGAGGTATTATTTTATTTTTCACGCGATTATTGAATTCAGACGGGATTTTTATTGAGACCCGTCTTTCGAATCAGACATAATCTGAGGTTTTAGACACTCGCCGTGGAAAAGACGACTTGTCTTTTCGGAAAAATTCAAAGAAATAGAATCCAATGAAGCATTTGTCAATTTGATTCATTTTGAAATGAGGGTGTTACGAGGCGATAAATGAGGGGAACCGAAATAAACTCTAGCACTAACCGTGGTTCACCGCGGTTCTTTTGTTAAAGTTTATTGAACCGCGCTGAACCACGGTCAGTGGATGGGTTTCTTTCGTTATTATAAAAATTTCAAAGAATAATAAAATTTTCTAGCAAAATGAAGAAAATCGCGGTTTTGAATTCGAGTTTTATGGAAAAAAATTTCAGTCTGAAAAAGAAAGACTTACATGATGGGCTGGGCATTTCAGGTTTTTTCTCTTCGCTTGGGACAACAGTTGATGCAGGTGCTGGGGCCGAATTGGTATCACGTGATTGCTTTTCCTTGAAGCAAACCTGAAACAAGGAGACATTAGCAAAATAAAATAATCATAAAAAGCAATTACGGAAATTACGATTTCGGGAATCAAGACTTTTGTGCTTTTGAAAATCTCAAAAAAACGAACTGACGAATTTAAAATTTTGAAAGCCGTAAATAACGGATGTTCTAGAAACTTTCGCAAGAATCCTTTGAAGAATTACTCGAAAAACCAAAAAAAATCCGCGAAAACCGGTATTTCCCGCGGTTAACTCAATTTCAAAATAACTAAGTGACACAATGACTCATCACGGATGAATCATCAGTCACATGACCAAAAAATCAATAACAAATAATGTTATTATTTTGAAAATGAATAAAAATCTTTATTTATCGATAAATTTATTTATAAATAGGCTATTTAAAATAGCGATAAGAAAGAGAATAAACTAAAAAAAGGCGTGATAAAATATTTTCAGCGGCAAAAACAGGCGATAAATCGCCCGAGCGGAAAGATATTTCTCACAAAAAATATCAATATTGAGTTTTCGTGAATACACGAGAATATGACTGGTATTTCGGCTTTTACGCAATGATGACGTAATTGAAAAAAGGCGATAAATTTACTATACTCGAGCCAAATCATTTTCCTTGTTCTCCTTTAATTTCAATTAGTCATCTCTTATCAGGGTGGCACAATTGGAAAAAAATTTTTGGTCAATCCAACCAACTGCCAATCCAATCCAATCGCCTTTTGTCCAATCCAACCAATTCCCAATCCAATTCCAATTCCAATTGGAAAGTCAATTTCCAATTGGAAAATAGGCTTCTAATTGGAATTGCGGTCAAATCGAACCCCTTTTTGACCAATTGGACATCCAATTCCCCCTCGCCATCCCGTTTCCGACTCGAAAATCCGCTTTATGAGGAAAACAAGCGGATAATATAGGATCCGAAGCCATTCCTGCTAAAGTCACCGCAATTTTTTAGACGTAAAAGTCATATTTTTAACCAGCCTACACTATTTTTTCCCTTGTTTTTGATCGATGATAAGTGTTCCTTGACTTATGAAACCCTTAAAATATTTCTTTTTCCCAAAATACCCCGTTTTAAGCGCTATTTTGGGGCCTGAAATGCAAAAATCCAATTGGACAATTGGATTCCAATTTTCCAATTGGATTTGATTTTCCAATTGGAAAGACCCGAAATCTCATGCCCCTGTCCAACCAATTTCCAATCCAATTCCAATTGGACAAGGTTCCAAATTGGATTCCAATCCAATTGTGCCACCCTGCTCTTATTAAGTCAGCTTTTCAATTTTGCCTTTTTCAACTCAAAAATCGAAAATATTTTATTTTAAAAATTAATGAATGATAAAAAAGATGAGTCAAAATCTCTAAGGATGACTCAGGAATAATCTTGATTAAAAAGATGACTCATTCATTCGAAAACGTCAAATTGATTTCTACTCAAATTGAATTTTAACTCGAAATCAATAAAAAGTAAAATCAACTTGCCGCAGCGGGGCGTGAAATTTCGTGCTAATTCTTACCGAGCAATATCCTTGTTGATGTTTTGCGCCGAAAAATCCACATCCAGCCTTGCATAATTCTTGGATATCTTCCTTCTGCTGGTTCTCCATCTTTTTATCTCTCTCTCTATCTACAGTAACTCTTCGTTAGTATTACTGTACAGCTGCTTCTTGTTCCGGCCAGCGGATTTCTAGGATTTCACGGTGTTTTCTTTTTCCTCTGTTTCGCGTTTTTCGCTTTTTTGGACGTCGCGTTTGTGAGTTGAGTGGGGCCAGGGCCGAGCTCTCTAAAAAAGCAGCTTCAGAAAAAAAGCGTAGGCGAAGGCGTGAGCCATTGGCCATTTCGAGAATCGACAAAAAACAGCCACACCCGCACAGCAGAAGAATGACACAGCTCCTTTTTCGAACCGATTTTTCGACTCGAAATAATTTTTCTCGAAGAGAAATTTTATCTGGCTCAATTTCGAGGGCGTATTCTAGAATTCGGAGGGAATTGGGGCGTGAAATTGGTTTTCGAAAGGGCGGAAAATCGTTTTTTATTGAAGGTCACTAACTTATTAAGAAAATTAAGAGAAAAATAAATAAAGAAAAAAATTTCTTTAGCAAAAAAGGTTAAATTTTAATAATAAAGATCGTATGTGATTTTTTAGTGAATTTATTCAATGGGAAGCCTTTAAAATTAGACTAAGATAATGATTTTATGGAAAGAAACCGATGGTTTTTCCATTTTCGGCATTTATTGGAATATACCTGCTTTGTAAGATAACTTGCCAAATTGCAAACTGAAGCTATCCCCTCTTTACGAGCTTGTTATTGAGAATATTCTAGAGAACCAGAAGAATCTCCCCTTTTGAGACTCAAAAACATCACATGACCTTGAACTCTTGACTGGAAGAGTGTGAGTCCAAATTTTGCATGAAGCAATTTCGCAGTTGTTTTTTGAAAGGAAGTTTTGAAGGAGCCCTGAAGGCAGGCAAAAAGTTTGTAAATAAGGTCACGCTAAAATCATGAGCTCGTGATCAAAGGAAACGGAACAAGTTGAGACACGTGGAATACACGGAAAAGTGATGTTGTGGAATTTCAAGAAGGAATTTTTCATAGAAATCATTTTTTTGGAATATTTTCAACAAACAAATCGATTAATTTTTGTGCATATTTCTATTGAGAATATGAAATTTCATCATATGATAAATAAAAATTTTTTGGCTTATCTTTTCTGATCGATTTTCAAGTCATTTTGAGTCAAACAGAAAATATAGTCGAAAGCTATTTTTATAAAAAAATATAAACAAAATTCAACAGTTGATTCATATTCTCAAAAGTAATATGCACATAAAAGATGGATCGATCGATTCGTTTGTTGAAAATACCGTGAATTGACGGAGAAAATATTTTTTGTGTGAAAATAGTGAGCTTCGCTTACTTTCTCAATTTTGAACTAGGCAAATATTAAGGACGTACCCTTAGATAAATATTTTACCGCCGGCTACATGTGTGCTTTATTCTTAACCCCGGAGACCATACGGCCATTTTCTCAATAAAAAAATCAATATTTCTTAAAATTTTCTCTTACCTCTTGGTTTTTTTCTGTATTTTGCGAGGTGGAAGCGGGTTTAAATTCCGTTTTCGTATTTTCGACAGTTGACTGAAAACACAGTCAGAAGCTTCAGTCTGCTTCAGTCAGGGGGCTTCGTAGGAGACACAAAAATGAGCAGAAAAGTGTAAAAGGGATGAGGATTTCTGATCCCGCGGAAAAGATTAGCACTTTCAGAACATGTGAATAGGTAGCCCCGCACCTCTGAAAAGGAGAGGAAACCAGGTGTTAATGATAAGAATCGACCTTTTTCTTACCAATTATCGCATTTAAAAGAGTGTACTTTTTGCTATCACCGTTTTCGAAGGGGTCAATTTAAAACGTCCGAGCCGGGGCCGAGGAAAGGAAGACTGCATCGTTCTGGCCATCTTCCAAGTTTTGATCAGCAGGTGGACTTTAAGCCCGACTCCGAGTCTGGAGGTCAAGTTGGCTTCTTTTCGGGATGGGCAAAGAGCCAACTTAGGGGCTTCTCGTGACCACGAGTTTTGACGAAAGTTGAAAAATGTGGTGAAATTGGAAGAGATCGATTCGGGAAGAATTTGAAAGAATGAAATGTATTCCCAGCAAATTTTAAGGAAACAAGAGACAGTGAGTAGTTGTTCAGAAAAGGCCATAAATTTCCTCGGTTTCGCAGTCAATATCGATGTCGTAAAAGCTCGGGCGCGTCGGGAGACCGGGCATCGTGGAAATTGTACCCACGAGAGGATACAGGAATCCGGCGCCAACCGCCGCCCTGATGTCACGAATAGGAAGCGTGAATCCTCGAGGGGCACCCTTAATTTATCCTCTGAGCATCAAATGGTCAGCCCGCAACATACCTTTAGTGCAGGATCATGTGACAGGGAATACTGAGTTTTCGCCATGCAAATGGGAAGATTTCCGAATCCCTCTTCAGTAAACACTCTGATTTTCTCGGCGCATTCTTCAGTAAATGAAACGTCGTCGGCGCCGTAGATATTTTGCGCGATGCTTCGAATTTTGTCTTCGATCGAGTCTTCTAGTGGATACAAAAACTTGAAATTGGATGGTTCTTGGGTGACTTTTACAACTGCCTTCGCCAAATCTTAAGTTTCGATTTATTCAACCCGTATTTTATTGCAAAAGAACCTGTAGCTCCAGCGCCGCCGTCAGCCCAATGAGAGCAAACAACCGCTTCACTAGCTCCTGCAGCGTGAGAAAGCTCCATTAATTTCTCAATTTCCGCCTTTGTATCGCTCGAAAACGTATTGATAGCAACAACGACAGGGACTCCGAAGGAAACGCCATTTTCAATTTGCTTTTTCAGATTCGAGAAGCCTTTTTCGACGAGTTCCACATTCTCCGATTTGTATTCCTAAAAAATTCTATATTTGAAATTTCTAGTGGATTTACATCGGCAAGAGGGCGGCCAGGAGCGACGGGAGATCCTCCACCATGCATCTTGAGCGCTCTGATTGTAGCAACAATTACTGCTGCGTCGGGTTTCAAGCCTGAAGCGCGACATTTGATGTTGAAAAACTGGAATCTGGATAGGTCTTATTCTCTTTTTATTTATTCTAGTATCCTTTCTGTCTATCCCCCTTCCTTTTCCATTCCAATATCGCTGCCAAAACCAGCCTCGGTGACGACGATTCCATCTTCTCCGACAAGTTTGAGCGCAATGGCGTCTGCAAGAATCGAAGAATTCCCATGAGCGATGTTCGCAAAGGGCCCTGCATGAACAAAAACAGGAGTTCCCTCCAAAGTCTGCATCAAATTCGGCATCAACGCATCTTTCATCAAAACTGTCAGAGCTCCGCCGATTCCAAGATCATCAGCAATCACTGGTTTTCCTTTCTTGTCAAGAGCTACGACCATTTTTCCCAGTCGCTCTCGCATGTCTTTGAGGGAGGTGGCGAGCGCTAGAATCGCCATGATTTCGGAAGCGACTGAAATGTCGAAATTTGTTTCTCGGGAGATATTCTTCTCGGTGGGAGATTGACCGACGGTGATTTTTCGGAGATATCTTTTTGATGGTTAGTGATTTGATACAGTATTTACAGTCAAAAATACCCAAATTGTATCATACCGTTGATTATATAAGATTCTGTAACCCTTTTCCTATCATTAACATCCAAAACTCGATTCCACATCACCTGCTCCGGGTCAATATCGAGCCTCGCAAATTGAACCCTCTCCTCAGCCGTAAGCTCATTTGGATCAGATTTCGCGATGCCAAGCCGACTCAGTCGATCGAGCTGAACTTGTGAGAAACGAACTTTGTTCGATTTATCTGTCGTCAATCTGCGGAACAGTGCTTCGTCGGGTTGAGTTGCTTCGTGAAAGATTCTCGTGTCGATGGCCGCGGCGAGGAGGTTGTTGGCGGCTGTGATGGCGTGGATGTCACCGGTGAGGTGGAGGTTGAATTCGTCCATGGGAATGACTTGGGAGTAGCCACCGCCAGCTGCACCGCCCTTGATGCCGAATGTAGGGCCTTGCGAAGGCTGACGAACGCACGCGAAGCAGTTTTTATCCAAATGCGCTCCTAACGCCTGAGCGAGGCCAATCGTCGTTGTTGATTTTCCTTCACCAAGAGGAGTTGGAGTTATTCCTCCGACAACAACGTATTTTCCTGGTGAAGAATCTTGGAGTCGATCGAGAACTTTTAGCGAGACCTTAGCTTTTGTGTTTCCATATTGAAGAAGTTCCGTCTCCAGAATGCCGCATTCAAGGGCAAGTGTTCGGATGTACTTGGGATGCTGAGCACGGGCGATATCGATGTCGGATGGGACTGGACGGAGGAGAGTAAGTGGCAGTTTCGTCAAGTTCCAGTCAGAGGGGCCGACATGGCCGGTAAGGCGCATCAGCGAGGCATGTCGTTTGAAACTTGCTTTTTTGGAGTAAACACTATCTTTCGAATCTCGAAATCAGGGTTCTAAATCTGAGCCCAAAATCAAAAGTCGAGTCGAGTCGAGTCGCTCGTCACTCAAAAAATCCCTAGTCGAGTCGAGTCGAGTCGAAAGACTTTGTGAAACTCCTAAGTCGAGTCGAGTCGAGTCGAGTCGACTAATTCGACTAATTAGTCGAAAAGTCGAAAATTTTCTAAAAAATTAGAAATTAAGTCGAAAAAGTCGAGACGAAGTCGAATAAGTCGAAAAAGTCGAAAGTCGAATAAAAAGTCGAAAAGTCGAGATCAGAAAAACTAATTTTCATGTGCTTTTTCATTTGCTGATGTCAGAATTCAGTTTTTGGTTTCGTCAGAAATACTTATTTTTGAGAAGGTATGAAGGTGAGAAACTTTAATTCTCATCTTCCGTGCTCTTTTCACTCGAAAGAAGTTACAGTTGATGAAATTCCATCAAAAATATAGATTAAAGTTGCCTAAATATTTCAAACAAACAAATTGGTTCGTTTTTACAGTAAAAGTCTCAGCGGGCGCTCGAGTAGGCCAGACTTAATCCCGTGTCAGGTGCAACTGAGCCGTGATAAAACTTCCACATTTGCACAAATTACTGAGAGAGCATGAATCAACCTTAATTTAAAATTTCAAAGTTATCGGATTTATAGTTTCGGAATACCGGGCCCCTAAAGTCTTAAATGACATTCGAATATACGACTCGTCCCACGCGGTTAAACTCCAACAAGACCCCCCTTTTGCTCATTTTTTGTCACCAAAGTTTCCTTGGTCGCTTTCCTTCTTTTGCTTTCTACGCCCCCTTGTTCGCCCTCCTTGCTTTCGACGGCGCACCTTTGCTCGCCCACCTTTCTCAGTGTTATCTCTTGTTCGCTCTTGAAGCCCCGCAAGAAGGCTTGAGATTAAACTTGGATTGAAACTTTGAGACTGTCTTCATTAAAAATCTCATGCTTTTTTTCTCAAAATTCATTTATTGAGATTTCTCGAAAGAGTTAACGGATAAATCTGAGTTACCAAGAAGGCTAGGGTGAAATAAGCTCTTTGCATTGTTTACGGGGGATTTCCGCGGCCTTTGTTAAAAGAACCAGCCTGAACTTGAAGATCCGACTACTTTGAGCAAAAATGTACATATGAAGTCACACAATCAAGCTTAGTTGCTGTCAAAATATTCATGAAAATCGAAAATATTGTTCTTTATGGAAAGCTTAATGAAAAGTAAGAGCGACCCAATCCGAGCTAGGCTTTGGCGGTCTCGCGGCGAGCAAGGGATAAATGGGTGAGGAGGAGCGAACAAGGGTGCGCGAGGTAAAAAGAAGGATGGCGACTGATGGAGCGCTTCTAAAAAATAAGAAATATGATATCTTCAGAAAATTCTTCCTATTTTTATAAAATCTAGAAAAGATTTGAGTTCACTGCCGAATGTTTTCGACTTTTCAATTCGACTTATTCGTCTAAATTTTCGACTTTTTCGACTCAATTTTCGACTTTTTCGACTTGATTTTCGACTTTTTCGACTACATCTTGAACTTCTTTTTCGACTTATTCGACTAGTCGAAATTAAGTCGACATCAATATGATTTTCTAGTCGAGTCGAGTCGACTTTTTCTCACAAGCAACCAAGTCGAGTCGAGCTAGTCTTTTCGACTAAGACTCGACTCGACTTCGACTTTAGTCGAAACTCGACTAGTCGATTTAGAACCCTGCTCGAAATGCTATCATTTTGTAGTTTGTTCAATTAAGTAAAAGAGAATAAAGTGCAGGGTTTTCAAAGGCTCCTTTTCTTTATGGTTTTTAAATTTTACCCCTTCCTTCGCAAGTATTTTTCAGCAGCATGGCAACAGTCATCGGTCCAACACCACCAGGAACTGGAGTCATAGCAGATGCAGTTTCAAAGCACTCCGGATCGACATCACCAACCAATCTCTGGCCAGATTTCTTTGTACTTTCTTTCGAAGGGGATTTAACAAATGCCTTTTCCGAACTAGTTTGCGCTAGATAATTTTCCCTCTGCCTGGAATAGGATTGATTCCGCAATCAATCACCACTGCTCCTTCTTTTAACCAGCTTTTCTTTACTAAACCTGGCTTACCAACAGCAGCGACGAGTATATCTGCTTGTCTGCAGATTTCTTCCAAGTTCTTAAGTTTGATGTCATTAACTCTTGATTTTATAGCGTCTCTTGTTTACTACTCGCGAGATAAGACAGAAAGTAGGCGTGTCAAAAATCAAGAATAAGGAAATCGCGCTAAGAATTTTGGTACCACCTACCTCTGTTTTGGAGTGGCAACACGTGACCGTCGCATTTGCCCATTTTAGCAAGTCTTATGAGGGTTAAGAACATGGAGGGTTTCATTGACGCGCTTTTTTTAAGGTTGGGCAAGTTATTTCACCCACTTCTTTATTTTAGACCCTGGAACGCCATACATATTTGGAATCAGCAGGAAATTTTAAGAACTTTGACGGTTTTAGTTTCCAAAATTTCCACTTCCGGTCCGATTCTAGAGCCGGAAGTTGACGAAATTTTTGAGTTTGGCCAACTTGTGACCTATCAAATTGATGCTCAGAAAATTTTGAGTAAACTCATTTTAAAATCATTAAAAAAAACCGTCCCAACCGCAGTCAAACCGACCGGCAAAACTAGGAAAAAAGGCATAAATTTCTGATTTTTCTTTCAGTTTTTAGCGGTTGATTTGACCGCGGTCGGCATTGATTCTTCTCTCAGATGATAGAAAATTGTCTGAGAATCAATTTGATAGGTCACAAGTTGGCCAAACTCAAAAATTTCGTCAACTTCCGGCTCTAGAATCGGACCGGAAGTGGAAATTTTGGAAACTAAAACCGTCAAAGTTCTTAAAATATCCTGCTGATTCCAAATATGTATGGTGTTCCACGGTTTAAAATCAAGATGTGGGTGAAATAACTTGCCCAACCTTAAAAAAAGCGCGTCATTAATACTAATAAATCATTTATTAGCTTATAGAATTCGAACTCAGGTTTGAAACAAAATATCTTTTGCTTCTTAATATTTAATTTCAGAGTATAAGTGGGTATAAAAATCCTAAATCCTTGGAAAAAATGAACATTATGATTTCCAAAATGACCCCTTCCTGACATCGGCGTCCCGACAATCTTGCTCCTGCCTAAAACTACCGCTCGTTTCCCAGTAGTTTTCATGTTCGCCCGGTTGATCAGTTCCATACAACCCTTAGGAGTACAAGGGACGAAGATATCCTTCTCTCCTCGCGCCAATTTTCCAGCTGTCATCGTTGTCAACCCATCGACATCTTTCCATTCCGAAATTTCCTCCGTCACCTTTTCTCCGTCAATTCCATTGGACGAGTCGAGAGGGAGTTGAAGGATGATTCCGTCGACAGAATCATCAGAGTTGAGCAACTTTAGCTTGGCAATCAGGTCGTCCTCGGTGATGTCTCTGAAAAAACATCGACGATAGTTACGTAAGAATCAATTTATGGTCACTAGCTAAATATGGCAATAACTTGAGGTAACAAAGTTTCACGCTTTTCCAGAAGAGGTCTAGCTGGAAATTCGTCTGCAAGAATTTTGCGTAACAAGCGGATTTCGCTCTTACGAGTTGACTTTTGAAATTTTCAATTTTAAACCAACCTTGGGAGCTTGATATGCTCAGCATTCATGCCTATTTCCTTTGCTCCTCTGAGTTTCATTCGGATATAGACATTAGAATCTTCTCTGTCGCCGACTTTTTGAAGGATTTTTATTTGAAAACATATTGAAAAACTTGATAATTTAGCGTTGGTAGACCCTTTTTCTTGAACAATCGCCAGTCCCGGTCGAAAACTCTCATCACTCTCTCTTATCTTCTCAACCTGTTGCCTCAAATTTTCTCGTATTTCCGCGGAAATCGCTTTTCCGTCAAGTCTCAATGCCATTTTGAGCCAGTTCTTGCTGGGAAAATGAGCCTCGATGAGATTTTTCTTTGTTGATCTCGGTTTCCGATCTGAGATCTCGGTTGCCGATTTGATCAATATTAATATTGGGAAAACAACCAAAAATGACGATCTAGTAATTCCGAGCCTCCGCCCCACGATGTATGCTTGCCAAATTTGGTGCTTTGACTTCAAAACAGATTATATAACTGTCCTTAGAAGGTATTTTCATAAGTCCATTTGAGCATCAAATTTTTTTTCTCCAACAAATTTTCATAATTTTGGTTTGTTAATTTTATTAATTGTTGACAAAAATATTTCAGTCTTCGTCAGTTAAAAATCGACATGGCATGTGAAAAGAGCAAGATTTGTTAGTTCAATTAACAGTAAATGAGAATAGAACAAAATAAGAAAACTTGCCACTGGCCCAGGGCTTGCGTTTGAACGCTGCCACCTGTATGTTCCCAACGTGGCAAGTAGTTACAGTGAGATGATCTGACAGTTGCTTCGAAAAAGGTTTAATCGGTTATTTTTCAATTGTATGTCAGTTTTACGTTAGATAGAACTTTTGAACGAAAAGTTAATTTTCGATATTTCAAAAGCAAGTTTTTTCGATCTGCGGCTTGCCTCTGCAATGGCCAATCGCGGTTCTTGCGGCAAAAGCGCAGCTTAGAGTTGCTGAAAAACCCTGGATTCAGAAGTCCCCGAGCTCATCCCGAACTGTGCCTGTCGGATGTTGACGAATCCGGGTCGAATCAGGTTTTTCAGAACAAACGCGTGCCCAAGGCCGCTTTTGACATCGCCCGAAGCAAGTGCCTGCGGATCTTTACTTATCATTCATAAACGATGATAGGATTCTCTCTCTCTCGAATTTCTCTCGCCTCGTTAAGACAGAGTTCGTTGTTCATGCTTTGTTTTGTTTTTGGAGTTTTCAATATCCAAAAAACTTGTTTGAGTCATCATAAGTTGGGGAAATGGGGGAAGTGTTAAATAAAATGGGGAATTTAAAAGCCGTGGTGTTTAGTTGTCGCCGAGATCAGCAGCGCGAGCAACGAGCTGGTTGACATCCAAGTCGAGTGGAACAGCGGTTTCGACACCAGTTTGGGATCGCTGTCGCTTGTAGCATCGTGGGACCCAGCTAGAATACAATGTTAGACAACTGTTTCCACAAATTGGAAGTTTTATCATTCATATCATATGAATCATATGTTACTCACTCGTATTTTCGGACGATTTCTTCATCATCTTCCCAGCAGCAGCCGAGTTTGAAGATGCAGTCGTTGAGAGTAGGGGGATCGAGGGGAGTCTTGTTGCCCTCGATACCGCCGTACTTGTACATATCGAAGTCGTAGTTGCAAGCTTCTCGCTCGTAGTAGAGTTGTGGGACTCGGAAGAAGTTGGTGTTGCACTCTCCGGCGACTGGTCGGAGTTCTGCTGGTGGCTCGACAATCTTGAACACGGAAGCGGGGACGAGATCGATTGGCTTGTAGCACTGTGGGATCTTGTAGGCGGGGTTGTAGACGGCTTCGTCCCAGCAGCAACCTCGGATGGCGACGCACTGGAATTTTGGAATACCGGGGAAGCCACAGTCTGTTCGCTCGTTGAGAAGAGCTCTGATGGCGGAGTTGGTGTTGACTGCGGCAAGACCAGTAAGTGGGTTCGCAACAGATCGAGCGTAGACGATGGGGTCGAGTTGAAGACCTTAAAATTGGTTAAAATTAAATAAAAGTTGGAAGTTTGTTACCATATCGGAAGAGTCCTGGGCATTGAGCTGGAGGAGCAAAGGCAGTGTTCCAGAGAGCTTCCTCTCGGTTATATTTAGCTTTGACCATTTCAACCAATTTTGGGGGAGCAAGGAAAGGACCAGTAATGCCGCCTGGAAGAACAATGTTCGCAGTACTACAGGCTGTTCCATCATCAAGGTCTGTTGCCTCGCCGTTGGTATCAACAATGAGATTTTTGCAAGTAAGATCGGCAGCAGTTCCGCCAGCACCAAGCTGCACAAGGGCCCACTTTGTTTCTCCTGTGCCAGCGTCAGTCCAGCTCACTTTCAATTTTCTGACGGCGGGTGTTTGAATGTTTTGAGCCTTGATTGGTCGAGCAACCTGAAAAATTTATTATTTTATGAATGTAGATATAAGATCATCTTACCTTGAGTTTGTATTGGTCGTGGAAGATGAAGAAGACATTGTAGTAGCACCATGGGACATTGGAGGCCTTGGTGATCTCACCATCGGTCAAAGCGCTAACTTGACTGTCGCTGAGCTGAACGGGATTCCAGCAGCAGTATGGGGCGATTTCACATTGTTCAGCGTTGAGTGGGCCTTTAAAATTTCGGTTGAAAAGAGTTTTTGATTTTGTTTAATATACCTCGTCCGCCGTACTGGTTCTTTTGGCACGGGTATCGGTTCTTGAGGTCGTGCATGGCACAGGTATCGAGTCCGAGGAGATGGATGTGGATGAAGAAAAGTTCCTTGGATACTTGTTAAAGTGGGACTAAAATGGGGTTTTTATACCTGTCCGGGATAGATACCAACTGGGAGCTCTGGAACAAATGGCTTGTTGATGACATGGAACTGCTCAGGGTTGAGCTGTCCAGAAGCGACTTGGGTGAGGACGGCCTTGATTTCAGTAGCAGGAGCATTGTCGGCAACAGCCATCATGAGGATACCAGTGATTTCTGGGATCTGGTTGGAGCTGAGAAGCGAGGAGATGTAGAATTCCTTGGCTCCGCTGACACCCATCATGAGGGCGGTGATTTCGGGGGCGAGCTCTTGATCGGGGAAGATCCACTGGATCATGTTGTACTTGTCGGCTGAATTGAAGAATGAAAAAATGGAATGGAGGGGAGATTAATTACATGGCTGAAGAGGCTGTCCGGAAGCCTTGGCAGAAAAGAGCTCAATAAGTGCTGGTGGAACTCCGATGGTTTGGTAAAGCTGGAGCTTCATGAGTTCTCGTCGGCTGGCACCGTCGACGTTCATAAGGTACTGGTATTCCTGAAGACAGATTAGGAATAGATTAGGTGATAGATGCTTTTACCTGTGGGAGACCAGCCATCTGGCTCATCAAAAGCTGCTTGGTGTCGAATCCGAAGGATCTTGGGACGAATTCTGGTTGGTTTTGAAGTGGAGTGGGGATGGCAGACATCATGAAATACATCATCATTGGGTCAATTCCTGAATAGAGTAAGAAAATTTGAAAATTGGTTATAAATTACCTTTAACTTCATCCTCGGTACATTGTTGTTCTCCGCTTCCATCTTCCATGGTACATGTACATCCATCTTCGTCGTTGAAGAGGAGGAAAAAGAGATTCTGTTGGGGCGAGTTGCCAAGGAAAGAGCCGCCAGTCAAAAGCATGATTTTTAGAAGAGAATCGGCTTTGGACTCTTTACATTCACAGATGATACCGTTCTTATCGCAGTATCGGTCTTCGTTCATCATCATCAAGGGGTAGAGTTCGCTCATTCCCTGGAGACCTTGAAAGGATGTAAGTTGAGACGAAAACAAAAGTGACTTTACCTTGGTTCTCAGCCATCTGGAGGTACTGCATGAGGAGAAGCTTGTCTGTGGTGGTTCTTTTATCCGAGCCGAGAATGAATGGAAGCCAAGACTGCATTTCTGGGTTGGAGAAAGAGCCCATGAGGAGCATTTGTTGGAGCTCATCGTCGTCATTGTCGGAGGTGGAGTCGTCTAAATTAGAATTGAATAAATCTGACTGATATAGAAAAAAGCATACCCATGAGATTCTTCATCAAAAGGGGCATCATAGTCTGTTGAACGCCCATGTCTCCACCGGACTTGAGGACCTGCCATAAGAGGAGGGTTTCGGTCGTGTCAGACCCTCCAAATTCGAGGCCACTGGCGCTGGCCAAGAGGCAGCTGGCGAGGGAAAGAGCCTTCATTGTTTGGCTCTTCTTGCTGAAAAGAAATTATTAGTAATAATTTATTACGCACACGAAAAGGTATATTTAATAAAAAGAAAATATCAGAAACTATATTAATTAAACAATAATATTTAATAACTTATTAATAATATCGACTTGAAAGAACAACGGTTTCCTTAGTAAAAAGGGTCGAATTAAGAAAATAGACCGGATTTATAAGATTCTAGCGCCCGTTTATTTTCCCGTCTGAAATTGAATTGAGCCCCTAAAGAAAACCCCGCCCGCTACGATCATTCCGAGAAGCAACCCAGGCAAAGTTTCACTAGACTCTCACTCTAAACTACCACACCACACGTTCAACTCTATAATTCACTACACCTCAATCTTGATTTCTGGTGCCCACGTACAAGCGCTGGCGGTGGTGCCGTCCACCTTTATGCATTGCCGTGTGGGCACAAATTTGATAAGAAAAGAGCTCATGACGTAAAATCCCTATTTTAGAAATGTTGCTACGAGTGGCTCTTGAATTTTCTAGAGCCCGCGAGAAACGTTCATTTTCAACGCGAAATCGTGAATTTTTCATTTCAAAAAAATCCGTAATTAGCTTTTTTTCGCGCTCCCTCGCTCCTCCGCTCCAGAAAATTGGATAATTGGATTGTTAGTTCATTCTACGTCAAGATAATTTTGAGAAGCTACGAATTCAAATTACAGTAATTGAGCTAGACGTCTGTAGTTCAATTTCAATGAAAGAAATTTCCAAGAGATTCTTTTATTTGTTAATCTGATGAAAGCCAAATTTTCGTCAATTTTTCATTTTTCTGATCAAAAATCTTCACTAAAATAAACCAAACGCTTACCCTAACCATTTTGGTTTGCCCTAACCCGAACTCATATCAAAATATATTCCATATTTTAGATATTTTACAAATTCAAAAAAAAGTTTGGAAACAAATATTCTCTCTCATAATCTTGTATTTAAAGACGGTATCTCTATTTGTTGTTTGCGTTTTTAAGTACTTACTATTTCACTCGTAGAGGACGGACTCTCACGAAGTGAAGGTTTTTAACTTAAAGAGACTGGGTCCGTCATCCCTAAGCGCTGGGCTAGAGTACTCTCGCGCGCCCTCTCACGCTCGTTTTCATGATCAGCGAGGCCCACGCGAATCGAGTGTTTCTGCCCAGCGCGTGGTTCTTCTTTGATGATCGTCTGATCTTGAAGTCTCTTTTTTGATGAAAAGCTTGGATATATAAACGAGTCAGTCTGTACTCAGGGATACTTCTTTGCCTCACGTAACTCAAAGTCTTTTATCGAAATCATCAAGAAAAGTTCTTCAGAACAAAAAAAAGAGGGATACCATTGCATATTATATATATAAGAATTTCTGAAAAATCTTATTCACAAGAGTTACGGCGGGCGCGTGAAGTTGAGCTTGGCGTTGCCTAACCGGGTCCCTTAAGGAGAAAAATTGATATTTATCTAGAATCTGTGCCATATGACCTCAACTAAGCTAGAAAAATTGACCAAATTTTCATCTAATAAGACTATTTACACTGGTAAATACTGTGTCTGAGTTTGAAACTTTGGGAGCAACTAAAACACCAAAAATGACTTTTCAAAATTTTTTGGAAAAAATTTTCTTAAATTTGAAATTTCGAAAAAAAATAATATAATAACAATAAGCGCACCATAAAAAATATTTTGGCAGAAAATCTGGGAAAATATTTGCAGAAGAATGTTGACGATCAAAAAGTATCTCTTTCATTTTAAAGCTCAACCTGTAGTTTTTACTCTGATATAGAGTATACGGTATACTGTATACCATATACTATCATCATCTTATAAATATCACTTGTATTTCTTCTTCAGAATGCCAAAAATAACAAACTTATAAGGTTTCAAATCCAAAGCTGTCATAAATAGGTCAGTTCTGAGAAAAAAGATCGTGCTGTTGATTTCTCAGGGGGCGCTTTTTCGAAATTAACTGACGTAAGAAATGATTGTTTCAAAATTGTCAATTTTAAAATGATCCTCCATCAAGCAAATTGAATCATCCATTCCAGCTCGCGACAAAACTGCTCTTGCGTCAGAGGGTTAAACCTGGAAGCAACTGGTCATAAGATAGCGCAAGAATGACTCACGCAAAAGTGGTGGCGTCGTGAGGGATCGAGATAAGAACAAGTTAATAGAAGGGGCTGACGTACATGATGACAAGGCGAAGTGTGTCCACGTAAAAACTGTCAGCTAAATGAGCGATCTGCGTTTTCCTTGTAAACAAGTCTCATGACGCGATGCGTTTATATTTCAAATAAATTGTTGCGAGAATAAAATAGACTTAGCGTAATTAATTGAACAAGTGAATCATCAATAATTGCGATTAAAAGACGGAAAATTTTGCTTATCATCGCTTTTTTCGCAAAAAGAGCGCTCCAGCTGTTTTAGAAACAAAAATTCAAGAGCACATGGGGACCTTGAACACCAAGACTTCGAATTTCATGCTCTGATAGCCACACAGTGTCACCACTCGAGTGCGACTAGTCTCGTGTTTCTGCTCCGCCACCTGAAATATCTTCGTTTTTCATCTTTTAATTTACGAAAGTCCAATAACGGCTTTTCCTCTTTGTTCATTGAGGTTTATCCGCTCCGGTGCGAATAGACTCAAAACAGCGGTCAGTTTATTTTTAGAAAGAATTAATATTTATCCGACGCTTTTTCGTTGGACCCGCATTTCTGCAAAATGACGCAAATGCCAAGAACATCATTTTTCATCCCTTAGCTTCGTTATTTCCAATACAAAGTCTGTCCATAATTTTTTCTATCGTTTCTTCCATATCTTCTTACTTAAAAACAGATGAATTTTACCGTATTCGAAGGCCATTGAACTTTCAAAAGAAGAAAAACGCGAAAGCCTCTTTTGGGAGATGGAATAAAAAACGATCCGTCTTCTCTCGATTTTGAATAGGCTAATAAGGGTCATTCAATGAACATCTCTCATTTTGAAGGCAGGTTCGTTTACCAAACTCAACAACCAGAGCCGAATTCTACGATTCTGAATAGATTTCGAAAGAATAAAACAGTTTTGAATCCAGGTGAATGCATTTTTTTCTTTTGAACACTTTTATTTGAAGAATCTTATATTAATATTATTTAATTGATAATGAATAATAACAAATTTATTCGGCAAAGTTTATTATTATCTATCAAATAAATTTAATAATTCAATTTTACAAGACCAAATTTTATATTTCTCGCCCAGATGCTCTTGTAAAGCTCTTATCATTGCCCGTGCTGGGGGCGCTTTTCTGGAGGAGGCGGCGGTGTCATGCTGAGTACCTACGATAAGAATGCGCAGCAGGGGGCCAATCCCCGAGCCCGCCAGCCTCACCGCCTCTCCGCCACCTCAAGAACGAAAAAAAATAGTTTTTATTATTACGTAAATATAAAGATAAGAGAAGCGCAGCGGGGGATCAAGCTGGCAGACTCATGAATGGATGGAGCGAAGAAAGGCTCTTTCAAGCCTTCTTATAGGATAGGAAAAGGGTTGAATACGATCTCGAGATATTTTTCCGAAAAGAAAAAACAAAATTTATAAGGAAAAAGACTCATCCCTTTTTATAAGTTTTACCCTTGCCGCCTCCAAACAAGCCTTTAGCCTTATTGAATGCATCGAAAAAGTCTCCATCTGTAACGCTTCGTGAAAAAAGAGAAGAAACATCGTTTTCCGTTGAGACTCAACAGGAAAAAGAAGAAGATCATGAAAACCGAGAGTCCCAAAAGCATCAACCCCCTCGGTAAAAATAGATCTAGACTCTAGACATCAAGCTGGGTTGGGTGAAATTGATTGGGTTTACGCTGAAGGGCTTTTATTCCTTTGGTAGGAAATCATAAACGAGATTTTCCCCTTTTCACCCAAAAAACTGTCAGATTTCCCACACCCAAGCAAAAGGATCATCTTTTTTTACTAATGATTTATCTTTGAAGTCGTGTAAGCAGAGCTGCCAGCTGGAAAAAGCCACGAAAGCGGCCCGCTGAAATTGATTACAACCCCTCTACTCGTTGGCTGTTGGCGCCGAACCATGCTACTTCCACGCTACAAAGTGCTCATACAGTAAGCCTTTTATGTCTACAATGAATGATTAAATACTTCCAGGAACGGACAAAGAGTCAGACGAGAACCCTTTCAGACCTCACTCCATCGCGGAAATTGTCAGTAGAGTCAAAATTGACAAACGATACTGTTTATACTGACAGGCCGACTTTTGGCAGAAAAATGAACCAGCGACTCAATATGTAAGTTGTCTTCTACTCCAAGGCGATCTTCATCTTTCATTGACTATTTTGAGAATTGAAGATTTTTGATTGGCTAAGACATAAAAGGCGTCTTTTTGATTCGTTTTGATCAACTTATAATGATTTTCTTTCTAGATTTAGCGCTTCATTCCAAAAACGCTTTGGCGCATCCTCCCACTCATCTGGCTCCGAGCGCGTCGGCAGCCCGCTGTCTGCCAGACGTCGTCGAGCCAGATCTCGCCAGACGAGCTACAAGTGGCTCTACCTCGTTGCTTTCCTGCTGTTCATCTTTCTCCTCGTGATTATTCTACTGTTGCTAATTCGCTAGATTTATCTTAATTTATAACATCTGTGTTGGATCATTTTTTTATTTATAATGTTATGTTTATCTGTGCCAAGAAAACAGTTATTCTATGCATGAGAATATAACCTGCAGCCTCAATAAAACACTACTAACTTATTCAAAATTTGTCTTGAAAATTTTTTTGAGAGTTTATTTCGAAGTCAAACAGAGGCTCTCATTAGATAGAAAGAAGACTTCTAATTTGAGACTGATTCTTTAAAAAGATGAATGATTTATTGTGTCTATTAACCGCGATATTAAGGACTCAGTTCTAAAAATAAGCTCTTAGGGTTTAGGAAATATCAAAAATTAAAATTGAAGGAAATTTATTAACTGAGTTTGGCGACCAGACGGAAACTAATTAATAGTTTTAACCCCTTATTTAAAGATACTTTCCTTGATTTTCAATATCTTTTCTCCTCCCCCACTATCAAAAGTCAAAATGATCTCCGGCTGGTGGGCTCTCTAAAATTTTACTTTCTTAGAAGTTCTTTACACCCCTTTGAAATAAGGGGCCGTTTCTACGGCCATTTGGTTTGGCCCAGCCAGATACCCTAAATTATTACTCGAATACCCTTCGGTTTGAAAAATAGGTCCAGAAAAATCTGTAGCGAATAGTAGTTTCCCATAAGTTCTTATCAAAATTCTTCAATTAAAGCATTTTCACATTGAAAAAGATAGATAATTTCATGTTTAACTATTTACCAATAAGTTTCATATACCATGTTCAATTTGATGCTTTTTCTTTGTGTATCAGAATGAATGGTATCTTTTGCGGCCAGCATGAACACTTTGCGGCGCTAAATAATAAATTTCTGGACTTCATATATTCTCCAAAAACATCAATGGATCACCCAAAAAAAAAGATAAAAAACAAGAAAATGATACTTTCACAGTAGGGAAAAGAGATCAAAATAATACTTAAAATATCTTCTAGTTTACTTATTTTATCTGTTTATGCCATGGTGCATTTTGCAGATCGTCAATCACCATATTCTATTTTTAAACGGAACATGGTCGTTATGCCGGGATCAACAGGTCTAAACCAAAGCTATCTTAGGTTTTAAGAACGTTTGATTTTAGAAAAAGGTGCTGATCAAATATTCGAAAATATGTGGGATCATGGGTTCAACGATGAACATGTTGACCGTCTCGGGCTGGAGTATTACAATTAAAAATTGCAAAAACATATTGGAAATTATAAAGAAGACTCTATTTTAAAACGAAATAAATATTTCTGAGTTCAATAAATTTAAAAAGACAATAAAAAATATATTTTAACAAAATTCAAAGAGATTTATTTTATTTTTAAAAATAATTAACAGTTTGTAAGCGAATTAACAGGCATAACAAGAATAACGACAGATGATACTTGAAATCCTTGCTCTGCAATTACCTGAGATTTAAACATTTTCTTGTCTGATTCTTTTATGGGGCTCAAAAATTCATAATATGGAAACTTACCTTATCATAAGGGCCTTGTGGCGATTTTCAGTTCATAAAGAAATGAGAGATTTTTGAGCATTGACCTAGATCTATTCTTTGAATACTTGAGTATTCTCCGTCAATAAATCCAGGAAAAACGTAAATAAAATTATCCATTAAAATTGCCACAGGAAAATCAACTGCCTATAATAAAAACGTAAAATTCAAGCTCGAAAAGCAACTATGGAAAAAAATGATTTCCTTGAACATTGACCCGATCATCGACCATTTATCGCTCTTGAGTCGCCAGATTTCATTCAATTCATCAGAAAATGCTTTTTGATCGCGTCCACCAATTGTTAAAGTACTTCCACGAGGTAGTCCAACTGCCGAGAATCGAGTCAAACGTCTAAAATTTTTTTTCATAGATTTTTATTAAGTGAACCTTGGATGTCTCAAGTGTTCAAAATACTCCCATCCACTTTCGTAAAAAACTTCAACTAATCCATATTCATCATCGTATCCTAACCAATCATCTCCAGCTATTACAATCACACGATCCTTGTAGTGACTCATAGCGCCGTTAGTGTGCGTGTATTTCGATTGAAATCTGCTTCTTCTAACTGCTGATCCAGTGAATATTGCACACTTAGAATCATTTTCATACCCGTAGCCAAAACAAATAACCGCTAAGAATACTAGTTGTTCTTCAAGTTTTTTTCAGATAGAAAACCTTTACTGCCATTGTTGATAGAAAGTGCTGAATGTCCAAATTTACATTCATAAGGAAGTCTAAAATATAATTCTTTGAATCGACAACCATCCAGTCGCGCTATCTATAATATCAAAGCTATTTTTATTTCTATCATCTTTATTTAATATAACCTTGAAGCCATCAGACTGTCCTCCAAAAATATAATGTAGACCATTGACGAGTGAAGTTTTGGAGTCATAAACATACCAATAAATGTCCCATTTGGAATTATATGGACTGTTCAAGAAGAATTGCCAACTATCCTTATGAAGGTCGATTGAGTCTCTTAAAATTTTATTCGCTCTTATATTGAAGTCTTCATATGCAGATCAATTTTTATAATTATGTATTTTATTAAGAATTTTTGATTATTCTCCGGTTTATTCCCATCCCTTTCGGCGAATATATTGTTTATTCTTGACCCATCGGGCAGCAATGCGTAAGGCTTATTATCATCATACTGAATTGGCAAAATTGTCATCTGGAAAGTTGCTTGAATGCAGACGAAATTCTTCACTTTCGTTATGTGGTCAAGCTTTAATATACGGACTTTCCGTCTTTCAACGCTCTGAAGTCCGACGATTGACATCGTTGATGAATCATCCAGTTTTTTATCGACATACTATTTGAATTAAAATAATTGTATTTCATATCAGAAGAATATTTAACTCAAAATTTCCTGAAAAATTTCCATCTTATTTAAGTCAACTGAGTCAGTTGAGTTAGCAATATTAATCACAAAAAAGATTGTCTGCTCTTGTGATTCTAATTGATTTAATGCCAAATAAACGCGTTGAGCAAAATAATCAGATTCGATCCAGAAGGAGCCATTGTCGGAAAGTCCAAAAAGAAATAAAGTCGTTTCATCGAAGAAATTGCATTCAAGAATTTCAATTTCCTTTAAGCCGTCAATATTTGCATTAATGTCGACTTCGAATTGGAATATATCAGTTCCGTCGAATTTCATTTCAACAGTTGAGATGTGATTTAATTCTCCCAGCGTTGAAAAAACTGTTGTTTGATCTGATGTTTTATCTTCGATTTCACCAGCAACAATTGTCTTGTGATGCGTGGTGGCTGGAAATTGTTTTTGAGAGACGGTATTTTTTGCGAAAGCCGGGAAAACATCGTCGTGGAAGGCAAAGAAAGGATTGCTCGTCACGTGCATTTTCTTTTCAGATTTTCGCTGAACAAACTCAAGCTCGATTCGTTCTTTTTAGATTTATCTATTTTCACGGTCTTGGTGATAAATGTTGAGTTTCATTTGTAGATTTCGGCAGAACGTTTTCGGTTTGGAACCATCAAGATTTCAAAGAGGTTTGAATTCAAGGCACTGAAGATGGCTCCAAACCGAAAACGTTCTGCCGAAATCTACTAATAGAACTGAACATTTTCACGGTCGGCGAATTATACTAGACTAATTGGTCGCTCAAGTTATTTTATTATTTTTAAATCCTTTGCAAAGTTAAATTCAACTTCAAATGTAGCATCAAAAACGTAATTTTGCAAAAATAATTTCTCGTCATTGATGATTCCATTTGCAAAGTACTCGCATTCGTCATTGTTGAATGCAAATTGATCTGTATAATTTCGATCATCTGAGCAAAGTTCTAAATATGACTAGACTAAAAAGTCTAGATTTAGACTGAGACTTGGCTTGACTAAGTCTTTATTCGACTTCTCTATTTAGACCCCTGCATCCGAGGCATACAACTTCGAAAAACAGATGGATTCTTCTTCGTATTCAACCAGAGAACCAATCCACTCGCTGCCGAGAGTAAGGAACTTTCCATCCGCTTCCATTAAAACTGAATACAAAGTGTTAGAAAGCGCGATACTCCTTGTGACCAAGAAAAGAAGGAGTCTTCCTTGATCAGACTTTTACGAGTTAAATTTTTTTTTAGACTTAATAAATCTTCACTATCAATTTCAACTCTTGTCAGGGGAACAATATGAACAGGATCTAAATACTCGAATTCTACAGGAAGACGAATATCACTTTTCTTCCATCCTTTTTCTTGTTCTTCGGTTTTTCGAATCGAGTTCAAGGCAACAGTCGTTGAAAGTTTGATGTAGTGGTCGCCCATTTTAACACTCATCAAATAGAAAACGCCTTTGAAACTGATTGAAGACACCTTCGCGCTGAAATGGTTACTCGCAATGTACCCTTGAGCCTCTTCAAAGCGGTTTAAACTATAGTCGGGTGCATAATAATAGCATTTATCTGCTCGTCCAGTGGGAGAACTTTTCACTGGTCAAAAGAATGAGTACATAGTAAATCAGGAAGCGAGAGTGTCTTACTTTCGACCTTTTTCAGATAACGACAACGGGAAAAATCTTGGTGTCTTTTTCTTTATGACGAATTTCAATATAATGGGTTCCGATCGACGAACCAAAGTGAAAAACAAAGAACCCACTTAATTAATAGAATCATTCGATTAAGGGGACCCTACTTTTTCTTTAGACGATTCTTAACAAATATTGGACGCTCGCCATTTTCTTTGACTTTCAGCAAATTTCCGATTGCATCGACCAAATAGTGCTCGCCATTGAGAAAGGTTGCTCCAATTGACTTGTAAGTTTTTATTGATCCGATTTTATAAATTAAGAGTTAAATCAACAATAACGTTCGTAAGTAAGAAATAAATCTGGAATGCTAATCGGCTCAAAATTTCCATTGAAATCAGAAAACGCCAATTTTCGAAATTTTATTGCTTCATTATTTCGCTCTTCCCAACGAGCTGTAATTAAGCTAATGTCACCAGTTGAATTACGTATTGAATCTTTAATAGCATCAGGTATTGATTCTGAAGCCTTTGAATTTAAATCGAAAACAGGAGTCATTGTCTGCCGCGATTTGATCTTTTCACATTCATAATAAGGACAAGGACAACCGCTGCGGCAGTACTTTTGAGTCGGACAAATGTCTCCAGCCGCTTTTGAAATTCTAGTCAGTTCAAAACAAATCGATTCACAAGGCGAAATTGGTCTCGCTTTGGTTGATTCCAGAACGAGCGTTGTCGAGCAAAGATGGCGGCAGGTATTCTTGTCGTAAAACTGTTTCTTTTGACAGCGGCGGAGATTGATTTGGTTCTCTTCTTTTGAGAAAACGAGGGGAGCAGCTTCGAGTTGTTGAACTGGTGAGATTGGCTCAGGAAGAATGAACTCTTCGGTTTCGTGGCACTGTTTCATCAAATGGCCACAATAATCCATTGTCGCGGTCCGGACGCACTTCTTGTAGTTTCGATGACAGGTCGAAGTCAGAAAGGTCGTAACGCCACGAGATTCTTTTAATGACTGGAAATTCGCTTTTGAAAATATTTTTTAATTAAAAATAAGAATAAAAAGAGCACTTATGAGAATGATTGTGGTCCAGAAAATTGAACCAAGTGTGAGATAACTGCCTAGCTGATTATTCGTAGCGTTTCCGTGTTTTGCAAGGCTCGTTTTCGCTGTCACTTTTTTCTTCCATGTTTTCTCCTTTTCAGAATTCTTTAAATCATACACTTGAGTGCGAATGCTTCGAGTTGACAGCACTTCTTCGGGCAACAAGTAAACTTTTCTCCCCTTTTTTCTCAAAGTCCCAATGCAGTCGCAATCGAGACACTTTGTTTCTGTCAATTCTTTCGACACCCAAACTTACATACCTGAATTCTGGTCGAAATTTTAATCGAACTCGGAATCTTCTCGTTTTCCTCTTCGATAATCATTGCGAGGGATCTTTGAAAAAAAAAATCTTTTTGTAAAGTACGGTAAGGAAGCTCTTTTATGACAATCCTCATCATGACTTCTCCTCCGACACTTCGACATTTCAGAGTGCTTGCTTGTTTCTTTTTTAATGCCATGTTTGCAGGTTCTTGTAGCAAAGCGTTCTTGTTGAAAGCAATGATCTTGATGCAAAGAAAATGTCTCTTTTTAGGCGAATTTCTGGAATTTCAATGACACGAATCCCAGCAAAACTGGTCGAAGAAAATGCTCCACGAAAACATTCAACAAGATTTTGACGCAATGTTCATTAATCCATTGTTAAATCAATCCTTCAACAACTTTATTCAATGAACAAGAAAAATAAATGTCGAGCGGTCAGAAATTTCAACATCTTTACCAGACAGTGTTAGCATGAATCTAAAGCTCTCATCTGTCTGAGTAAAGTTTTTGACATTCCACTTTTTTTTTTGCTTCTCTTATTTTCCCCTATTGTTTTCTCTGATCAAATATTTTTTAAAAATCCGACTTCAATATCGGTTCTAAACCAGACTTAAATTTTTTTAAATATGAAAGTCGAAGAAAAAGAGACAAAAAGAGTGGTAGAATGAGAAGAGCGCGAGAGTTGTGTGTGAGAGGGCCGAGTTAGTATTAGATCCGGGAACCGATGACGTCATCGCCTCCGCCGCCGCAAAGTTGGAGCACCGGCACAAAAGAGCCACACCAACCACCGCCACCACCAGCTTCATCGCGACATAAGGTCACCGCGCCGCCAAACGCCAGTGAACTGTTATTTACAAATTCAACCTAAAATTGTAAACTCGCCATTTTCTCCAACTTCAATGTCCAAAATTCTTACAAAAAATACCCTTTCAAAGTCCGACAATTTATTTATTTCAAACGAAAAAAGCAAAAAAATCATCAACAAAGTCTCAAATTTCGTCTTCTGAAGCTGTCGACAAGAATCCATTCGATAAATCTAGCCGGCCCAACTACCCGACAGTAGAGCATACCTCCAAGTCGATCTAAAAAAATCCCATCTATTTCTAGAGCAAAAAATTGTCTTACCAAGATTTTCTTCGGGAGTATTTGTTTCGTCGGTATAAAACCGATTCGGTTCCATTTCGAGTTTTCCATCCTTGTACTCGTATTTCATCGGAGAGTTCAGCCAGAAGATCCCGAATGTATCTCGTTCAGGAACAAGCTTGTGCTGGCATCCATATTGTGCGTATTTTTCCAAGTGTTGAGCGCCATTTTTCGATTCAGCCAAAGTCTGGAGCGCTTGAGCTTCGAAGAGTTGAATGATTTCGTCGCAGGTATCTAGAATAAATGAAAAATGGGTGGGAGAAATTTGTTACCTTCAGGGACGGACTCCCAGTCGGAGATGCCGGCAGCGCGGGCGATGAACTTTCGGTTTTTGAATTTGAAGACGAGGTCGATGCTCGAAGCGTTTCCGAGGGTTCCTGGTGGAGGGAAGGTGTAACCAGGGTGCGGTTGATGGTAATCGTGACTTTATTGAGTTTTTTCTATGGGTCAGCTTTTTTTATATCACACATTTTTATTAGCTATGAATTCAGAATTTATGAATTATAAAAAAAAAAATTTATATGAAGCAAAACTAGAATGTATTATGGTTTTTGAATCATAAACTTATCCTGTAAGATTCGATGATCATTGCATCATTTTGCTCATCATATCTGACTTTTGGTTTTGAATTTGCGATGTCTTCGTAATCACTTCCTTCTCCATCACCTACTCCATACTCTGGTCGCCACTAAAACACGAGATCATCTCATATCTGAGTTTCTATAGCGATACCTCGTGCTCAACAACACAAGATCGTCCAGGAATGGATTCAATCGCATCCTCGCAAAACATTTTTTGTATTTGAGGATTGAGCGGAACTTCGATTTGAGATTGATCTGGGTTATCTAGATCGCCTTCGAGAGTTGTAAATCTTCGTTCCATCGCCAGCTCATTCCTCAAAAGAAAATTTATGAAAAGGCAAAAGTTTGTTCTCACATGATAGGTCGAATTTCAGCATCAAAGTAGCTCTGCTCGAGTTCCAGTCGATCTTGCAAGTTGAACAGGAAAAACATAAAATACTAAAAATACACACAAAGTCTTCGTTGATTGAAAACCTCTCTCAATTTTCCATGAACGGTTGATTCAGTATTCGACGTTTCAAAAATCTCAATATCGTCCATCACAAAGTTCATTCCCTCGCCAAAATGTCTGTGCCGTCCGCCAAAAGTGATCCCGAACCAGCTGTCTGGAACTGCTTGAGTGAAGTTCCACGCTCTCGCAGCAGAAGCCACCGTGAATTTGCCATCATACTGGCCGACACAGTAGAATTTTCTAACGCCCTCCAAGTAGTCGGTCTTCAGGACTCCTTGTTCAAATCGTTCAAGAGGAACGGTCATGTGACCCATGTAGAAAATACCGGCAAGGTCCAGGAGCTCAGCGTAAACTGGATATTCGAGTAACATTTGATCGAGAACTCGACAAAGATCTCCATGGCTGAAATTGGCTCTAGAATCGAAAGTTTTTCGCGCCTCGATAGATTTATTCTGTTTTAGCGATTCTAGAGCCCTTGGCAGAAAATGTGTCGTTCGTAGTCAAACTCAGCCTCTTCCAATCGAGTAAACGAAGCAAGAATCGTCTGGAAAAGCGCGTTCGAGTCCACACCGCTAGACTGATAGACCCCGTAAGGTGTTTCCGCCGCTTTTGCAATCTGAACTCCATCAACCGGCTTATTGAAGACATCCACGTGAACGCTGTAGCTTCCTTGTTGATATCGCTCTCCATCGACCTCCCCAGTCAGGAACAGCATGTGTTTTTGCTCTACCTGCGCGCATATCAGCGGCAAAAAGAAAAGGAAAGGATTCATGTTGAAATAAACTGATTTTGCAAGAGAGTAGACCGTGGTTTTTATGAGACATGTTCGAGCTCACATTTGCACATCGTTACTTGCAACTGAGGTCGAAAAGAAACTTGAATGAACTTTGCAATAATTTTCAATGAAATACAATATTTTATAAGAAAAAGACTCGTTACGCACCTTTGTATTTGCAAGGTCAAGAGCATACTTGTCCTCCGTCATCCATCATTTGTAAAAGAGATCGATGCGCCCTTAGGGAGTTGGCCTTGTAATCGTCGTTTTGGTGAGTCTTCTGTTTTGAGCAATGCTCATACGCTTTTAAATACGCATATTTGTAATTTAAATTCTTCTTTAATCCGACAGATGGATGGAGACAGATAGGTCTTGACAAATGGCAAGAGAAGGGTCAGAGTAAAGAGAGAAAGAAACAGAACGAGGCGGAGAAGAGGAGAAATAAGACGGACAGCGATCGAAGATTTTTAGGCATTTGAAGAAATGAGTGACGCTGAAGAAAGGACATGAGAACGAGGTGAGCTTGGAGCCTTCTGAAATCAAGGAAGACGAGATTTGATACAATCATCAATGCAAAGAATGTTGGTTCGATCGAAAAAAGGGTTAAGGGTGTCAACATCGATATTTTTTAAAGAAAATAATAACAAGAAATCATGCTTATGATCCCTTTTCCTCAATTCTATCGGTAAATTTCAGCTATTAGATTTATTTGCGTTGATTATTTAATCGCATTTTTCAAACCGTTCTGTTTCCCCACACCTTCTTTTGTTTTAACAGTATCTTTCACTTCCCCAGTGGTTTTAATTGTCAGAGCACTGACAGTAATCACATCTCAATTTTCAAAGAGAATAGAAAATGATGAGAAGAGTAGTAAAAAGTGAGTGTGTTTGTATTTGGCAGCTGCTAATTTTTCGAGGAAATTCGTGCTTTTTGATGACTATTTGTCCAAATAATTGGTAAAACATTGTTCTCCATTTTTGGGTGAGAAGAAAAGAGAATATACAATAAACAAAAGGTCAACGAAAAAAACTCTGAGATGCTTTGAGTTTAACTCACTGACTTTTTTTGATTATTTGTGGCCTTATCCTAAAGATAAACAGATAAAATAGACACTTAGACGATTTCAAGGGGCAACTGGTGTTCTTGAGAAATCGAGGGCTTCTGAAAAGTGAAAATAGAAAGACAGAGAAAAAGTCAGCTTTTGAAGGTAAAATAAACAGAGATCGAGAATCATTTGAACTTGAAGTTTTATGAGGATTTATAACGAGCACGCGCGCGTTTTTTAACTTCTGCTATCGATTTTTCCTATTATAATTTAATAAAAATAGAGACTTTCTTACAAAACTAGCATATTGATACCCTTATATTGTCAACATAAAGCTAAGATGCAAGAAAAGATCCTTCGAAGTCTGTTTTTTGACCTTTCCATCAAAAAATTCAATAAATTTCGCATTTTGGAATGAAGAAATCATCAGAAAATAATTATATATATCAAAATTTTGCGTGACATACGCCGGAGCATGCGAAAACATATCGTGTCATTTCGCCTCTGGACACGAATGCCCGCTTCTCCTCGGATAATCTTGCAATCGATCTCGATCCCCTTAATTGTTTTTCAATAATCTCCAAAAAACCTGCCCCCATTTCCCGCAGTTCTTGCTCCAAAATTAAAACTTGCCCTTTTTTTTAATCTGAAATAAATTATTCTCAAGAGACGAAAATCGAGAGATAGATGAAAATAGAACGAAAAGAAGGTATCATCGAATAACTGTAGTATTACTGTAACTAAAGATTTTAATCTAAAAGGAGATAATCGAGGATCAGTGAGACACGGACAGAGATCTTATTGTCTTATTTTTTGTTTCAGGAAAAAATGAAAAAGAGAATATGCACGAAGTAAAAACTCAACGAAAAGATGATACGCTGGCGTTCATACAGAGGTTCAAGGAGGAAGCTCTTATTCCCATGAAGGTAAATTTCAGATAGAAGCATTGATTTCTGAAAAAAATTTGCGCTTTCGAGGGTGATTTTTTCGAAAAAATATCAGTCAAAAAGACCGCTAATTTTCATCATAGGAAGACATCGCCGACTGGATATCCCTCCTCCTTGCTCCTCAAAAAACCTCGCCAGAAGAACTCCTTTCCGCCCTATGCACTGGAGTTCTTGCATGTCAAATCGCTCGAAAACTCTCCTCCCAAGTCAATCTCGACTTCGCCGCGCCGAAGGTCAACGAAAAGGCAAAAGTAGGAACGTTCTTTGCCCGAGACAATGCTGCAAATTTCCTGACTTGGTGCAGAAAACTCGGAGTTAGCGAAAGTCTCTTGTTTGAATCTGATGGCATGTGCTCGAATGAAGTCTCGCAGCAAACGCCGAGGCAGGTTTTGCTTTGTTTTTTGGATGTTGCAAGGATTTTTGGAAGGAGAGCGGACTACAAGGGTGCTTTGCCGGATTTGGTGAAATTTGAACAGGTAATTATTTGCTACAGTGTGCCGACCAAAGATTTTTAGCATTTTCTAGTAATAATCGATTTTGAAACTCTATAGAAAATTCATAAAATTTTTTTAAATTCGAATGCTTATGATTCTCGAAAATTCGAGAAAGAAATTTATTCAAAAGCAGCTGGGTAAACTTCTCGGACGAGAGCTTCAGCTTCGGACTTGTTCAAAGTGCCGGAGTTGTCAGCATCGTACTTCTTGAAGAAGGTTTCGACCTGAGCTTCGGTGTAGTCGAATCCGAGAGCCTTGACGATTTGCTGGGCCTCAGCAAGATCTAGGGAAGAAATAGAGAATAGAAAAGAAGCTTTTTTTACCGATGGTTCCAGAGCCGTCCTTGTCAGCCTGGGCAAAAGCGGTCTCGAACTTGTTTGGCATCTTTTTTCAAAAAATCCTTTTTTTTCGACTGTAAAAGTGAAGTGCACTTATTTCCGTGAGTTTTATACCCTATCACCGGCTGTTTATTTTGTCCGATCAGCGACAGAATATTCCGTCCGGGCCATGATTTTGTGTACACTATCATGGAAAAGTTTTTCCGGTTGTTTGCTTCTCTTGAAATTGAATAAATCTCAGAAAAAGAAACAACATCGGGTTGCGAAGTTCAAAGTTGCCCTTTGTCATCATTTGGACCCGAGTCTAACCTCGAGTTTTTAGGAAATTGACAACGCTTCCGTCAGCTCTTCCGATACAGTCACTTCTTGTGGTCGAGCATCAGCTCCTCCAGTTATCAGAACTCCGACAACCACTCCCAGTCGGCCTGGCTCCTCCAAAACCACACCTAGCAGCGTCACACCTCGAAGAAACTCAAAAGCAACGACGGGCATATCCGGCCCGTCCCCAAGAACTTCAAAGACTGCTCGACCAAAAACGGCAACTCCGAAGTCGGCGTTGAAAACAAAGCTAGACACGAGTATCGATGAAGTTGTCCAAAGCGAGCCATTTTACGGAGGCCCGGAAATTCAACGAGTTTCAGAGGGAAAGTAAGTTGAAGTTGCAAAATAGAGTCTTTCATGATTTCGAAATCTAGATACCGTATCGATGGCAAGCTGGTGTTTATCAGAATGCTGAAGGACAAGCACGTCATGGTGCGAGTCGGCGGCGGGTGGGACACGCTCGCCAATTATTTGCTCAAGCACGACTGTCAGAATATGATCCGTTTGCCGACTCCTACCAGGTTCGTTATCATTTCTCCCAAAAACCCCTCTCTCTCTAACCGGAATTCAGGCTTTCCAAGCAAATAACACCTGTTCGGTAAGACACAAATAAATCAAAAATTGGTGATTCATTTCTTTTTTATTCCATCAAAAAAATCATAGATAGAGGAGAATCTCCCAAAAATTAGACTTGATTTTTTCTTGTTCTGGATTCTCAGTTCGGTCAAATCTAATTGTGTTCTTTCTAGGCTGGAGCAGAAAGATGGAGGGTATTTGTTCCCGATTTCGCCAAGGTATAAATCTGGATCGCCGAGTCCTCTCAAACCGAGAAAGCAAAGCGTAAGCAATAAAACCACTCCTAAGGTAGGGCTTAATGGATCTCTCCCCTTTCAACTGTGTTTCTAGAGCAAAGAAAAAGTGTAAGAAATCTTCAAAGTTTCAAAGTAAATTGTACTTCATCCTTTCAAAGAAAAAAGTCTTCAAAGTTCTGTCTTATCATTCAATTTACAATTTTTCGAGGATTAATAAATCCTTCCATCAAAAAATATTTGTTTCATATATTTCAAATTATCTCAGAAGGCAGACAATTTTTCTTCTGACAAGCTTTTCTTGGGTTGCATTTTATTTTATGGTGATATTGCCAATTGTTTCATTCGATCTGATGTTGAAGCACAGTTGATTTCAGTAACAGATTGGGAATTTTTTGGAATGAGAGTGATAGTATATGCCTGTGGAAAGATATACCACTTGAAGAGGTCATATTGAACTCGTCCGTTTTTGAAAGATTTTTCATCAAAGTACGCATTGCGCATGGGTATTCGAATCACTAGAAAGAGATCTTTTTACAATTGTTTCGAATTCGGCAACCTGGAAGGTCATAGGATAATTGATTATTTTGAAGGACATATTCGTTTTTTTCGATTCGGTCCATCGTCATTTGGTGATAATGCGGTTTTCCATTGCGAAATTCGTGATCAGGGTGCGAAATAATCGCAGCAGTTACAGTAACTGGTCGCGTTAATTGGAAAGATGGGCCAAGATAAACTTAAAATATTAAAATTGAGTATTATCTCTTATTTATTCTTTAAACATTTTTCGACCCTGCAGGCTGATTCACGAGGTATACCATACTCGCCATTCGGTTCGCCAAGAAGTCTGACAATATCCCATCCACTTTCCATCAAATACGTTTTTTGGCACAGTCTCTTCAGTAGAGTCTCGATATCATTAAATTGCGACTTTTGTTCTTCGACTCTAGGGTTCAAATTGAGTCCAGCCATACTACGTGGATAGACTATCATCGTCAGTGTTGATAGAATATTTTCAGGTGAATAGGAATTGTAACTATCCACAAACTTGAGGTCCCTTTCAATCGCGTATCGAAGAAGGATCGTCACAGAAATTGGAACACATAATTTACTCTCTTTTTGGTCGAGGATATTTTTCGTCAGATTGTGCATATTTTGACCGGTGCATTTCGTTAGAATTTGTTTCAAGGTTGACATTTGAACGGATCGAGTCAATAACGGGTCGTTAAACCACGGTGATGTTAACGCAAGTGGGATGTGTATAATTTTTGTGACTCTTCGACGAATTTCTATGTTTTTTCTTCTAATCTCATTTATATAATAGCCATTGTTTGCCTTAAGGATATAGCCGTTCTCAAGGCACTTTCGTAGCGCCGAAATGGGGCGATAAATTTTTTTCATTTCAAGACAGGTCCTACCTAAAATTATGTCTTGAATTCGATTCTGATGTTTTTTTAAAATTTTTTCTAAGAAAATTTCTCTCTGGAGCGATTTGATATCTTACGATCACTTTTTCTCGAAATTTTTTTATTATATTGCTAAAACTAAACCGTGTATTATTATAAATAACTGCTAATCTATCTTCCTAGGGCCTCAAAATTTCAAAACTCGAGCAAATTTTAATTCTAGCGTCTTCTTCTTTTTGGCATTTCTTTTTCATCAATGCTGCGTTCAGGGCGCTCGGCCAATCAGCGCGCTCTTTCACATGCGCGCCTCACCGCGCGATGGAGGAGGGCGCCCAGCGCAGCAAACCAGAGCGCTGTCTGACGCTTCGGCTTACTCAAGTAAGCCTCATAAAAATGGCTATAGAATCATAAATAATTGGAATCTATTAAATTTTAGACCCTAGGAATGTAGATAAAGGTCCAAATTTTTAATTTATCAAAAAAACTCGGCCGATTTAATGGAAAATTCTCGAGAAAAAGTGATCGTAAGATTTAAAATTGCTCTAGAGAGAAATTTTTCCATTAAAAAATTAAAAAGAACACGAGAATCGGGTTTCTCAGGCAATTTTAGGTAGGGTTCTTTTTGAAATGAAAAAAATTTATCGTCCCCTTTTGGCGCTACGAAAGTGCCTTGAGAACGGCTATATCCTTAAAAACAAATGAAAAAGTTTGGTTTACAGTGCAAACTTTACACCTAATGCTAATTTCTCTTAAATAATATAACCTTTATATGATTATCAATGAATTGTCTTCCTCTTTCATCAATCGGATAATATAATAAAAACCAAGCTGTCGACCAAGAACAGAAAAAATAATACCAAATATTCGTAACATTATAACCATTTCCATTATTCAATTGAGCCTGATAACAGAATCCCGGAGTGCCAGCGACTATTAAAAATAGTTTAATCATTTTATGGTTAACTTACAAAGTGCGTTATTGTTTCGATATTTTGACCCTCGTCTGGTGTATCCCATTCGCCTGAATCCTTCGTTCCCAGTTGTCTCGTATACGAGGCCGAAATCAATTATTCGGGGAATTCCATCAAGCATAAGAACATTGTCCAATTTGAGATCATAGTGATTAATTCCAATTTTCTGCAAATAATTCTTTCCATCAAAAAATCCAGATGCAATCTTATTACGCTCATCAATACATAGTCTGTTTTCTTTCAGAAGAAACCTCAAGTTAACACTAGCTCTTTCCATAATTGTGATCCACCCAACACAATCTTCTTGTTGCGCATCTGCTTCATGAAAAAGTTCTATATTTGCAAAATGTCGTATAATATTTTGATGACGTGGAATCGAGATGGCAGTCCTGCTTTTATCGTTTTTTTCTGCGGACGGAAAATCTACTAATGCTTAGAAACAAATAATATAAAATCTCGAACCGTTGGAGAGATGCATTTTAAAGGTAATCCTTCTCCAGTCGAATTCATCCGTGAACAGAAATGGATCAAATGCATGGACTCTCACTGCTGTGTCAAGACCATCAAAATTTTCAGCAACAATCATCGCCTCTCCTCCTGTTGAAATTTCAACGAAATCACTTTTGTTCTGCCAATCTCCCTCTTCTTTCTTTATTTTCCACCGATTGATTTTTTTGTTCCTAAGGGATGGATAACAATTCACGATCATTTGATGATATCCATTTATTTTTTGTTTGTCATCATATGTCCCCGTTTTATCCATCAATATAGTTTTTTTCACGTCAAATAAATAGCAAAGAGCATTTTCAAACTTGCAATATTGCCAGAGAAAAGCATTATCATGATTATCAAAATCCATTCTTTCTACGGCCAAGATCAATCTACATTTTTGCGTTCTCGTTGTTGTTCTTTTCAGTTTCGGAAGAAAATCAATAAGCCATCTTTCTATTGTATCTCTTTTCAGGTCGGATGGATTACAGTCTCTTACGAGATTCCGCATAAGGTTCTAGAAGATTTTTTTGAAGATCTGTATCTTTAATACTCTCGAATAAGAACTGAACTCAGAATCTCACGAGTTACTTCCTCCCGTTGGTATTTGCGCTGGAATTGTTAAATACCGCTATAAGCTTGTATCTGCACTTTTAAAAATGATGCAAGGTGATGACAAAAATCCTGAGAACCATTTCGATTTCTTATTTACTTATTCATTTATTTAAAGATTGCAACTGTCATTGAGAGCCCAGTGGATCAATTTTTTGCTAAAATTTCAAGAGTCTAGTTTCTGGAGGTTTTCGGTTTCTTCGTTGTTCTCAGCAGATTGTCGTTTCAAGTCTTCTTTGATCATCATTGTCAAAAGCAGTCCCAAAACCAGGCAGCCTATCATCGCTAGGTTTGCATTTCTTCCGCCGTTCTCCTCCTATTGTCGAATTTACAGTCAGATTTGGATGAAAACAAGGAAATGACTTACATTGTTCACCAATGATTGGCAAATGAAAGTGACGGAAAAGCCGAAGAACTGAGCAGCGCAGTTGAGAAGTCCAGAACTCGTCGCTAAAAAGATATTCTCGATCAAAATACCACAGCTATCATTTACCTTCCGATTCTGGGTAAGTCAATTCAGCCCCGAATTCGAACCCAATCGGCAAATATCCAGTCATGAAAAAGCCCAAAACGCTGATGAACAAAAAGTCCCACAGTATGCTCGCTTGAGAGACGGTCATACTGAAAAGCACCATAAACACTAGCGTGAGGCCATAGCAGAGGAGCGTCGTCAATTTGAACTTCTTGAACTTGTCGAGGATGACGCCACCGAGGATAGAGCCAGCAAGGCCAGCGACGACCATCATTGTTCCCATGAAGCCAATTTGGGTGTCCAGAGAGGCTAGAAATTGCTCGTCGTAGATTTCGGGAGAGAAGGTTGGTTTGATGATCTAAATGAGATCTTGTTTATTATCATGCCAACAAGATTTGGAACCTGATTGAGAAGCGTCGAAATCGCGTAATAAACACCAACATTCAACCCATAAGAGACTGTCAGCAACACAAAGGCTTTGTCTTTCATCAATCTGACCAAAGACTGCCCATAAATTTTAAACGAATCCATGACACTTTCTTTCGCCAACTCGTCAGTTTTTAATTCCGATCGACGAAGGGAAGCACGGTTGGCGAATTTCTTCGGCTTATCAGCAAAGGTAAGGCAAACGAGGATGAAGAGGAGGAGGGTTATTGCACCAAGTCCGTAATATAAAATTCTTTTAAAATGTTGAATATTCTAGTAAAAATCTCTAAAAACGATAAATGAGTCATGAAAGTATATAACAAGCGTCTTCAGGACATATTTTCATCGGCATATGAGCTTCATAAATTATCTAAGGTAATAACCCCCATAAATATTTGAAAAAGAAAGACTTTTTATTCTACTTCAACATTTCCTAAGTTGCTCCTTCACTTCGACCTTCGCCAACTGTGTCGTGTTAACTCCCCAGCTTTCCTCATCACTCCAATCACCAGGATAGCCTCCGGAGAAAGTAGAGTTATCAACTTTAGGATCAACCATTACATCTTCAAATATCTTCAAGGGCCCCTTCACGATCAGCGGAGGAATACAGAAACCAAGTGCGACTCCAAGTTGATTTCCGAAAACTCCAAGTGATGTTGCAGTAGAAACTTGATTCGCTGGAAACCAAACGGAGGCAATTTTCGGTGGAAGCTCGAGAATAAGGCACTAGAATCGAGTCTGGCAGTGTTCCATACAGATGTTCGTCCTACCTGGGCACAGGCAGCAATTGTCTGCCCGATGAAGCAGATCCAAAATGAGTCTGGCCCGAGACCGAGGCATTTTATCAGTGCTCCCAGCGCATTCATTCCGGACCCGACGAGAGCGATGTTTTTCAGCCCTGTGTTGTCTACCAGCCAAGTGGCGGGGAAGACGAGAGGAATGAACGTAGCCATGTAGATTGTAGATGTCCATGTGACGTAATTGGGACTGATTCTGAAAGACAAAATGCGAAAGAAATATGAGTAAAAGTTTCAGGTAGGAATCGTACATATTGTGACACAAGCGTTGAGGAGATTTTTTCGTATTGTTGCCGATTTTAAAAATCAAATTCAAAGAAATTTTCTCCTGTTTATGGTTTTTTTTCTGATTAAAAAGTTAACGTTCAATATCATTTCATATTCTTACCCGTAATATTCAGTAAAGATGCCTGGTAAAATCGCAAACTCAATCCATTGAAACGCGCTCGTCAGCGAATAACAGGAAAAAATCAAGATAATCAGCCATCTTCGCGAACTCGAAGAAATCTCTGGACTTTCTTCTGCTTCATTCTTTGTTCCCATCCTTGATTATAAATAAGTTTATTCTCTTCTGGACAGGAAAGGGGTTTATTCAAGAGGAAGTATAATTTAGATTCTTGCGAAGATTACGTTATTATTGATTTACGCAAGTTTCACGTATTTACTTTGGAATTTTGAACTAAAACATGGGCGGAAGATGGTGGTTGAAATTGCGCCAAAATGGCTCTTGGCTCTAGAAAGCCTAATCAACAAGGTCATCAGGCAAAAGTAAAAACTTGCCTTTGATCTTTTTTATTAATTCTTTAATTTTCTCTCTTTTAATTTTCTCCTGATTTCTTCTTTTCGGTCATCTCTCAAGTTTAAAAAAAGCTACTCAATCAACAAAAATCCAGCCGTGTTCCGGGATGTCTCGAGTAAATTGAACGGTTTCCAACCAATAGACTCTACTTTATGTAACGGCTGTCTTCACCCTTGTCTAATTGGAGCAACTAAACTGCGCGCCCTGCTCTCACAGGGGCTCCTCTGGGGAGATGAAAGATAAAACGAGCTTTTTGCTGCTTCGGGATCAACCAAAATCCCTCTTCGCCTTTCCAAAACCACTCGACAAAGTGGCAACGTAGGAATTTTCAATTTGTCTTAGTTAAATATTAATTTCAAAGACAAATTCTTCTTCTAATATTACTTTTATTCCTTTCTGAATATTCTACTGTAGTTTTACTGGTAAAAGACCACAATTTTGTTTTTATCTTGTGATGTTTAATGATAATCATTAACAAAACTGGTGATTTTACTCTTTTATCACAAAAATGACATATTCTATCCATCCCCATTCATCGTCAATCAGAAGACTCTGCTTTGTCTGACATTTGTTGGCTGGCTGCCCAAGACTTGGCCAGACATAAGCACCTGGGAACGCTTTTCGACCGCTTATGCGAAAAACGTTCACGTGCGGCTCTAGAAGCATACAATGAATAGGGCGCATTCAAAAAATTTTCACAAGAAAACGAACAAATCTCATTCTGCGCAATTTGTTTCCTGATTGAATTTTCCTCCTGTCAGCATTTGTGCAAATTGGCGGCGAGTAGAACTTCCAAAATTCTAGGTTATTTTTGAGAGATGTTTCAAGTGCGTGCTCAAAAGCCATTTGACCTTTTTTGCCAACTCAGCGCTTTCTTTCCGATCAAAGCTCTTTAAAATCATCGAATAGAGACGACAACTCTTGTTAGTGTCAGGCCAAAATATCAAGAGTGATGGTATCAAAAGTTGCAGTGTTCTAGCACCGGGCGAGTCTTGCCGCGGGCCCATAAACTGTGTATAGAACATTCAAAAGACATCGAACTTGCTTGCATCTTGAAAAAACAGAAACTAAAAAAGAGAAAAACAAAAAAAGGACAAAAATGGGATCAGAAAATGTTGGGAATTCGCAAATTATAATTGTTATAACGATTCTAGTGTTCGTTCTCATTTTCACTCAGACTAGCTCAAACAAGGAATGGGTAAACAAATGATAAGCCATCCCAATAAGGCCCTAACCCTAACCCTAACCAAGCTTTGGTAACCCAAATCCAAGCCAAACCTCACCTCAAAATACATCCACAATGCTTCAAACATCAACGAATTTCTCCTCAAAAACATCGAATCGTACCAACCAAGTCATGGATACACCCCGAAGAAAGGACTCCACATTCCAGAAATTTATCTGAATAGACAAGATACAAGTTGCCCCCTTGCGCAAAATGAAAAAGGAAGAATTGACAAAATGCCGAATTTAATTGCAGTCGGATTTGGAAAATGCGGCACCGGATCCTTGAGCTTTTTGGACTGTCATTCTCAAATTGGTATGTTGAAACGTAATTTTTAGATTACGAATCTGTGGAACATAGGTTTAACCACAGAACTTCTAACGGAATGTTTTCTTTGTGGCTTATCATGTCGAAAACTTAAACAAAGTTGATTCTTTAGTCTTTCGATTCGTAGAACCAGCATTTTCCTGGCTAATGTACAATGCTAAGAAAAAGAAGAAACCGACAACGGAACAAGCACTAGCTGCTTACAATCTTCCAAAAGCTCATGAGTCGGAGATCCTTGTCGAAAAATCGCCTGGGTACATGAATGGAAAAACGGACAAAATGCTCAAAAGATACGAAGCAATGAAGTATTTCTCCCCAAGAGTCAAGATTTTAGTGCTTCTCTGCGATCCGATGCATCGACTTTGGTCGCATTTGAAAATGCACGGCAAGGAAGAATATTATCTCGACTTCGCGGAAATGGCGAATGAGAAATGGATGCCGGCCATGCAAAATTTCACTTACGACGAGAGGCATAACATCCTCGATCTCCCTGTCTTTGCAGCGGATTTGAAAAATATTGGGAAAAATTCGAGTGAATACATGAAAAAAGTCCTCCTTATGGGCTTATACTACTCCCGACTGAGCGTTCTTTTGAAAGCTTTCGGAAAAGATCGAGTGCTTCTTTTGGATGGAGATAATCTTATTTCTGACCCCGGGGAGGAATTCGGGTTGGTGGAAGAATTTGTTGGGGTCGATAAAGAATTGACGTTCGAATTTGCGACGCGTTATCCATATCCATGCTTGGATGAGCCAGGTTTGTTTATGTTTATAAACTTACTTACTTTACTTTTGACATGCTTTTTTGTTGGCTACAAGTTGTAACTCTTACGATGCGAAGTTTCGTGTCATGTCAAAGTGGATTATACTCTATAATTTATAGATTAACCCTAGCTCAAGCGAATCTTCTTAAAATATTTTCTAGTGCCAATGTGTCTACCATCTAGCAAAGGAACCAGTCATGGTAGCACCAAACAACCCAACTCCACCCTCCTCTTCAATTTCTACCAAAAAGAAATGCAAATGCTCAAATCTTTACTGAAAACATTTCCCGACTACGATCCTGATTCGAATCGATTTCAATGGCTTCATAAATATGATTTATAATTGATTTGCTGTACAAATGTAAAGCTCTGTAAATAGATTTTTATTTTCAGGAGTTTTTTTTCTTCAGTTGGTAATTATTGAAGCACGGGATCGTTGATTCGAATATGAGTCTATGGAAGAGAGTGTTCCTATCGTCAATTTTCGACGGTCCTTTGTTTCATCAGAGATCGATCTGAAGCAAGTTCTGTCAAAACAAGATCTAAAATTTAGGATTACCTAGCCCGAGATTGTCTCCTCATTGCGTTCAAGTTCGAAGAGTCCCTGTGCTTGTCAATAAGATACTTGATCATAAGCACGATTGCCCCACAAATTGCAAAGCCAAACAATGATCCAACAACTCCAACGACTATGTATTGCTTCATTTGCGCCTAAAATCGGGTAAAAGGATGAAAAAGTCAATGACGAAAAACTTGAATTCTCGCAATCATCTCTTCATCAATTTGTTCCGGGGGAAAGAAGGCGGCACAGCAAGAAGAAACCATCGAGCATTTCATCTTTGCGTTCTTGGGCATTTCAAGTTGACGATGAGAGTTGATTACATAATTGCAGATCGTGCAGATTCTCTCATCGCAAATTTCCGCCAAAATCGGGTCAAAGGAAAACGCTAATAAAATCGGGGAAAATTTCATTATTTCGTCTGTATCATTGATTTTCGTCGTTTCGTTAAATAAAAGTGCTCTCTACTGCTGCGAAACACTGGAATTTCCATTTATGTTGAATGATCTAGGACACTCATAGTCAACGAAAAAAGAATCCGAAGGGAAATTATGTAAATAAACCTTCAATATATTCCTTTTTTGGTTCTTCGAAACATGTTTATTGACGATTTCAGTTGGTAACACAGTAGCCAGTACAGTAAACCATTCCACGGGCACCATAGATGTGTGCACCGTAGGCGTAGTAGGCGACATCGGGGTTCCAGTTGGTGACGACGAGGTTGTATCGGCCGCTAAGAGGGTTGAAAAGGGTTGGAAAAGGCGGGTAAGGGGTTTACCTGGAGTTGGAGCAGAATCGTTGCCCTCGGTCGGAAATGCAGTTTCGCACGCAATCTGGCTTGTCGTTGGAGTAAGTGCACATGTATGCGCAATCATCGCACTAGGAATAAGATGATGAATTATTATCAAAATAACGAAGGATTACCTGTTGCTCGAAGTAATATCTCGCCACGGCGGTATTTGATTTTGGCCCGCAGACGGCAACAAGTTTGTTCCAGCTGTCTTCAACGTTGTATGTCTTCCAGGCGGCGTAGCCTTTGTAGTCGTCAGTGGTGATGCAGGAATAGGCGTTGCCAGTGTTTCGAAGGATTCGATCGTGCATCTCCTCGGCGCATTTGACCATCGACCAGTTGTACCAGCCGCAGTCGGAGAGAACTGATTTCATGATGATTTCAGGATCAGTGCTGCCGCTGCCGCCACCACCACCGGAGCCGTTGCAAAAGTCCTCACACCACTGAGGATCGCCAACGCAGCTGCAGCCGCCGTTTCCACCGCCATCTCCGCCACCAGAGCCGGAGCAGAAGTCGGCGCACCAATCAGGATCTCCGATGCAGGAGCAAGATCGCTCGCCGTTAGTTTTGATCCCGGTTTGGAAACCAGTGGCTTGTTCGGTGTCTAAGACCCTTGATATCTGACAAAAAGTATAAAACAGTAGACATTTCCTTCAAGACCAAGGGCAGAAGCGAAAATTCCTACCAAAAGTTTCATAATACAAGTCTCTTGTGAGAACCACCACACCCGATTTTTGTTTTTCTATCAAAAACAGATGGTGATTTCTCAGGTTTCTAGTGCTTGTCATCAGACATTCCCAGAAAAGCAAGTTTATTTTTGTTTTTAATGTATGTAAAACCATTTATTGAGATATTCAGAAGCAGCTCTTATCTCAGAGCATCCTTATTTGTACAGAAATCAGTGTCAATTCTAGGAAGTTTTTATAGTCTAAACTTCCGTTAGAGTCGCGTGATAAGTTTCATCAAGCCATTCAGATTCTTTGTCAAAACTTTCAGCCAATATCGTCGAGTCAGAATAGCACTCCGAAGCAGAGCAGCATTGGCGACAGGTTGAAATACCAAAGGTGCTTTCAGGGCGACACGATCTGCCGTAGACACTAAAAGGTTTAATAAGTCAGGAACTATAATTTTGGTGAAGGCAAATCAAAATTTCTCTTACCTTCCATTCATGGTATTTTGCTTGAAGTTTGCATGGCAAGCCCTTGTCTGTTTGCATCCAACATGAAGTTCGGTCACAATTCCGAAAAAGCGCCGCTCTGTGATCTGACAACTGTTTGCCGAGGAGAAATGGTCCGAACCCAAGTCTTCTTTTTGCCTTGGACACGTGACCATTTCCCCGTGGGTTCGGCAATCGAGATACATATCCCCAGTCGAGTCCTAGAGAAATAATAAGCTATTGAAATCATCAAAGTAGTGTTACCTTTTCCCAGTAGCTTCGAGAACAAGTCCAACAAGAAAACTCTTCCTCGTTCTTCAATTGAGCCTGGAAGTAGCTTTGGTAGTTATTCTGATTCTTTTGATTGTAGTTTCCAATGACTTGATTCTTGTTGCTCTTTTTGTTCTTATTCTTCTTCCCTCTTTCTTGCTCAAAATCTTCCTTTGAGCTTCCAAAGAGACCAAAACCGCCATTTGCATTCTGCGAGTTTCCGGCGGCCAAAAATGCGAATTGATCGGAGAATGTGACTTTTTTGGTCGGGATGGTTGTGGAAGTCGTCGTTGTTGTGGACGTTGTTGTGACGATTTCCGTTGTTGTTGGCTCTTCTGTAGTAGTTGTTGTGGAGGTGGTTGTCGTTGTGGATGTTGTTGTAACTGTTGAGTATAATTTAGTTTTTAGAATTTTTCTCAGAAAAAAATGAAAAAAAAATTTTTTTTTCAGCAAAAAATACTTTTTTGAAAAAAATGAATCTTTCTTACCCTTGGTAGTTTCAGTTGTAGTAGGCTTCTTTGTGGGCTTCTTTGTCGGTTTCTTTGTCGGCTTCTTTGTCGGCTTTTTCGTCGGCTTTCTTAATGGCTTTCTGACAGGTTTTTTCGCCCTTCCGAATTCATCAAGAATCGCCGCGGCGGCTTGCCCATCTTCATAAGAGTACCCTCCCGTCTCGAAAGAAAAAGTTCCTACCAGATCTTCTCCCGTCATTCCGGAGCCTTCGAATTCGAACTTCTGCTTCTCTTGTGCTTCCTTTATCTCTTCCTCTGTAAACTGAAGGCCTGATGTTGAAACTCTGCTTCTAGGGTTGATATATTCGTATTCGTAGATTTCACCGGAACCATCGTATTCGTAATAATAATCCTGAGCTTTTGCCAATATCGGAATTATCGTCAAAAGCTTCATTTTCGAGAAAATTTCAAAAGCTTGATTTTTCTCTTCGTTAAAAAATAAAAGTGAAAGTGAAGACGAAATCGAGAGCGTCTAAGAAACCACCGGCGCATCATTTTCTTTGAACAATTTTTCAAAATATTTAGAATGAAATTATTAAACATCATACGTTTAGTGTGGATTCTGAATTCGAGGGAAGAGCGGAATTCAGAAAGAAAATAAAGTTTTATGGCCGGTTGGGAAGACGAATATTTATGGGCAATTATCCCCATTTTCAGGAAAGCAAATTAGCCCCAAAAAGGCTTGATTAGGCTTCAAGTTATCGGGGAAACAAAGAGCAAAGAAACAAAAAAGTCAAAGGATGAATATTGTGACCAAACCGTTTTCGAAGAACTTTAGAGATGATAGAAGGCCAAGGCGGGGCTCTAGAATACGAATTCAATAAGGAACCAGAAATTTTGTCCAGCAGTATAAGATCAGAATTTTTGCCAATTCTAGAAGATGGAGAAAATTTAGTATTCTACCAAACTGTTTTAAATCATCCGTTTTACTAAAATAATCTATATTTTCTTGAGTGAAATTATTCCTGGCATCATCTTGAAAGTCAACTTTTCTGCGTTTTGTCTCATAAATTGCTAAGTGACCAAATGACAGCTCCGACAAAACTAAACTTTCAAAGAACTCATTATACTCAAAATAAAGAAATCATCATGTGGAATATGAAGCATTTTTCTAGGGCGGCTACAGAGGATAGGTGTTACAGAGGCCCTGAGCAGTGTTTTAATCCGCGAAACTGCCAAGGCGGACATACGAGATATTATTCTAGAGCCGCGATTCGCAAGGAAAGTGGTTACCGAATCGTCGGCGGGATTAAGAAGACGAAAATACCAGGTTTGAAAAAACTGTTAATTCCCAGCCAAGGCAGTTTTTTCTACGTTCAAACTCATCAAAATTTCAAACCACCGTTCATCGAAAACCTTTTCACCCAGTTGTCAGCTCAAGAGCCCACTTTTTATTTTGAATTTTTAACCCTGATCTCCCTTTGATCCCACGCAGGGAAAACAAGATTATCACTTTTTTCCACGCCAGTTAAAAAAAAATCGTCAATTTAAAAATAATGACAAAAACGCCGAAAAATAGGATCAGTCAAATTCAGAGAAATGTCGAAGATGTAGCAAACAAAACTCTCCCGATCGTATGGAATCATTTTCGTTGATGATTTTTATTCAGGTTTGAAACAGAGTATCTGCGGCTGCCCCGGACCGTCGCAATTTTCGCTTGCAGTTGTTACTCTTCTCTTCATTTTGTCATGCGTCTCGCTCGTTTATACGATTCTGGAAAGGGGATTCAAAGAGAAAACAACATTAGAGAAACCTTAATATTCAATAATTTTATTTTGTATAGTTTTTTACGGGAATTGGTTAAATTGAAAGGATTTTCGAAAGTTCTAGCTTTCTCTTGATGTCATTACTTACCTAAGTAGCTCGGATAATCTGATAAGAAAAATATGTGAACCTCTATAAGATCGTCTGCCCTGGAATGAAGTCATATTATTTCGCCGAAACAAACTGTACTGTCATGGAGTCTCGTATAAATGGAGAAGTCTTATGTCCAGGAAAGGGCCCTGACAAAACTCAATCAAACTCCTTAGAGAACCATCATCATGGCCAAATGAGTGACAAATGTCCTTCACCGAGGTTGTATCAGGAAGGGTTAATATTTTCAACGCAAGGAATTCCCAATAAAAGTCGTTTTAAATCCTAAAAGCACTTTGAAATGTCTTGAAATCGTGGTAGCTGTCGAGCCGAATTACGGAGAACAGCCTTATTACCTGCTCCATCCGAACGAGTATTCATTTGTTACTGACATTCTCAGCTGTAGTTATCATCCGCCAGAATGCGCTTGCAACAACACCATCATCAATTTATCAGGTAAAATTTATCCTGAAAAGATTTCATTCAAGTCTCATTTAGTTGATTTCTACAAACTCGAGTGGGGACGCCCCGGTCAGCAATTTCCATGCTTTCAGTCTACAGAGGTAACTTTTTAAAATCCAATTCAATCCATGTCTTTTTTCAATTGATTCAAAGAACCCACTTCACGTGGCAAAAGACCGCGCCATCAAAACTTCTCAAATGGTCCACGCCACACTTTGGCCAGCTCTTGGAATTTCGACCGCGTTTATTGGATGCACGATTTTCTGGTTCTTCAATAATGGCAAAACTCAACGATTATTCATTTACAATTCCTTTGCGCAAAATTGATTGAAATAAAGTGAATTAAACATGTTTTTCACAAAAATAGCAAAACAGCGATAAAATAAGACAGAGTTAAAATTTTCGCGGACGAAAAAGCTCTAATTCCATCCAATTCCATGATTTGATCCATGTTCATTTTTGTTGGCAAAGTTGCTTTTCCGGAGTAGTTGAACATATCGGCTCCTGTTTTGTATCTTTCGATCGCCATCAAACCCCTTTAATCATTTTTATCCGCCTCATTGAAGTCCTTACTTTGAATATTTTCCTTCGACTTCAACACCCACCGCGTGCTCCCACGATTCTTGTGCCACTTCTGGCTCTGTCCAAAGAACTGCGGCGATCAAATCACAAAGAGGCCAGCCGCTTTCGGAATCGAACTCGCATCTTTTCTCGCGCTCACCGAAATACCTTTCTGCGTCGAGTTTTGATATTTCTTTCAGAAACTCGTTTTTCATGTTTTCCCAGAAAGAGATGGGAACGGGATTCGAAAAGGCTAGTTCCATTGTGACTATTTTTGGAGTCAGTTTTGGAAGAAAGCTTACAAGGGACGAAAGTAAAAGAGAAGATAAATGCCCAAAATATTCTTCCCCTTTTCCTTGAAATGACTTTTTCCGCTGCTCGATAATCGAACCAAAAATTGTACTCAGCCGCTTGCCCAGGTGAGTTGCCAGTTCCATACAAATTGCCACCCATAATAGTCAGTTCTCTCACTCTTTCAGGTATCTTTGAGTCAATTTCTAGCGCCGAGGCAATATTCGACAGTGGCCCAAGTGCTAAAATCGCCAAATCTCCCACTTCCCGTGAAAAATGAACAATTGCTTCGGCAGAAGACTTGTCTGTTCTAATCTCTGGATGTTTTCCTTGTTCAATGTCTTCTTTGAAAATAACGGGCTCGAGGTCTTGTCGATCGCCGAAACCGTCTTTTCCAAACCAATCATCGCTGGAAGTGTTTTTGTCTGCACCAAGGTAGATCGGCGGGACAGGATCTACTCCGTGGCTTTTGAAAAGTCGAAGAGCATTTGCTGCACTTTGCGAGGTCTTTGTGTTTCCGTCGACAATCGTCACTGCAACAATTTCAACCGTCGAGTTCAAATACAGAAGATACTGAAGAGCAAGTCCATCGTCGATTCCTGGGTCGCAATCAACTAGGACTTTTCTCTTTTCTTGCGAAAAACCAAGCTGCAAGAATAAAAAGAATAGAAGCATCTTGCCTCATTATTTTCTGCATTTTCAAGACATGTCCAAAAAAGAAATCTGAAGAGCAAATATTTACTCTAACAAGGAAATAAAACAAAACAAAAATACACTTGAATTATGCTCGAAAAACATCAAGTCCCCTGACATAAATGGGAAGTTTTTATTGAAAAGGTTGCATGCATAGATTTCTCTAAACAGAATCAGCAAAAGTTTGATAATAAAAGTTTCTTACAGAATTTAGCGGATCATCAAATACAAACGCGTTCAGATCTCCGCTAGAATACGCTCCACTGACATCGTACGTGCCTTCGTTTATCTAAGCTTGAGTTATTAATATAAGAAAATCTAAAATTATCAGTTAAAACCGAGTCTTAGGTTCTTATTGAAAACTCAAATCTGTGTGCCGTCAAAGTAATAAATAAATCGCAATGTCGATGGAGATCCATCAACTTGCCTGACTTCGAGGGAATAAGTGTTCCATTCACCAACTGTACATGTTTGCCAGAACCAATTTCTAAATTTGGCAGCATTAAGGTCGTTGACGCTGACTTCAAACCATCCTTCCCATGGTGATGCAACGATTGTAAACTGTCGATTACCCACATTTGTGGAAGAATCATATGGTCCAGAATCACTAGTAAGGTGGAGAACGATTTTCCATTCGTTAATTTCAGTGCAGTAAACCTCTGCAGAGACCTTGTAATTAAGAGCAGCGCTTACAACTGTCTTCTCATTTCCGACCATTGTTTTATTTTCGCAGCTATCGACTATTGTGATACAATTTTCCAGAGACGCGCAGGGATCAGTTGATGTATCGCAGAGACTTGATTTTGTTTTTGTGGTTTTTATCGCTTTCCATATAAAAGAACACTCATTAGTTTTGAAAAATCAAAATGTGACGAAAAATTTCATTACATTTCAAAATTTCCTCGACGCTAAAAGCAGTCGCAATTTTTGGACTCGTTGAAAAACGTCTGAATCTAAAAGAATCCGAAGACAGCAAATTTCCGCCCAATTTTTTCCCATTTTCTGTAACTACCCCATTCTCGAGCATGAGAACTTTGTTTAGATTTGAAGTTTTTTATCGAAAAAAGTCATTTTTTTGATCAATCTTTCCCTGTTAATTCGTCGAAGGTAACATTACAGTCGACGAGTTCTTTGATAAACAGACCATCATCTGTTATATTCTTGATTGAGACATCGACATAGGAACCAAGTGTTTCTCCTCCTTATTCATTTATTGTAAAGAATTTCGATTTTGGCAAAACCTTGAATATCTAGCGTGACATTCTGGTCGATCATGGGGATCTTCCCTGCAATACTGGATCCTCTAAGTAAAAAAGGCACTTTTTCATCTTTGACCTCGATGCTTGTTTCGCAGAAGACTTTTTCTAATCGTTGCACAATCAACGAAGTATTATCGATAGAAATTGACTCGACCACGAGTGCCGTAAAATTCACTTGATTATAGGTTATTAATACTACTCGACTTTTAGTTCGCTACCTGAGGTGTCAGTAGAAAAGTCATCAAAACATGTTGAATATTGAAGAGTTCGAGGTGGATAAAGCGCACAATCATTTGATACAGTATTATTATGATCATTCCTTATTAGAAAAAGATTTTTGAGATCTTGATCAATCGAATTGCCAGAGGACTCATGACAGGCAGTGTCCTAAAATGTAGAATCAACGCAATTCCGAAAACTCGCAAAACAAATTGTCGACAAAAAGATCACTTTTTCAGTTCTACCCTGAAAATCTCGATCTAATAAATATATCTTGCAGTTAATCCTTACCAATTGGTAACATTTGTTATTAATGCTCCAGTGTCTTGACAATCGACATTAAATAGAGAACATGTGCTTGCTATCGTTTTAAAAAATAGAAAAAGGATAAGCATTTGAGTATTTTCTCTCCAGCGTCTGCTGAGTTTCTACGCATGTTCATTTCTTTCGACAGGTGATCGGAATCGTTAGTCTTGGAGCAATTATTACGATGGAAACTTATAATTAAATCGTTTAAACGTAAACTCTAGCCTTTTCAAATTAGCTGACTAATTTGATGCTATTTCATGCATATTAACTGCGTTGCTTTGCGATAAAAATGAAAAAAAAAATGAACGCATGGATCAAAATGTTCGTAAAAACATTTGTGGCATAGAGGAAATTAAATTATTTATTTCTTTTGGCCAAAGCCTTTGACATCTTGCCATGATAAAGGTTTTTCAACAGCGACAGGATAATGCGCATGAAGCTTTTTAGGGTTAATTCCAGTTTCTAAATGCTGCTGCAGATAAGGATATTTGACATGAGTTGGTTTTGTCCATTGATTTCCCCGTTGAGCTAAGAAGAGAGATTAACTGGCCCAGGGCCTTCGAAGAAGGAAGAAGTACCTATGTTCATGAAACGGTCCTCAAAAGTAACATCAGGCCCGAGTGCCAAGTCATGAGTGAGTCGCTTTGATTCATAGGTTCTTTCTTCTACGCTTCTTGGTCGCTGGAATGACACTCTTGGAGCAACGTTTTGTCTGACAGCCTAGAGATAAGATGGCATTTAATTGAAGACAAGTGCCTTTTAGTACCTCTCTTTTGTTTCTGACAAGCCACATTTCGTTTCGAGCCTCCCTCCAGAGCTCCTTGAGCGTCCTCTCTCGATCCTTTGCTGTGATCTTTGGTGGCAAAATATGCTTTCCTCCAGTGTAATCGCCTGGCACCTTGTTCCACTTGCCAAGATACGGGACTTTGTAATTCAATCGAGCGAGAGTAAAACGCATTCTTTCAACTTTCGATTTCTAAAAAGAAAAACTCTGACTTTTGATTCTATAAAAACGTGAACTTCTTGAAAAAGTTAAATAAGTGTTTTTTGTTCTTCGTAAAGAGCATCCTTCGTGATGTGTTTCTATAAATGATTCTTCATCGAAAATGCGAGTGTGTTCGTTAAATGGTGTTCTAGCTCCGTCAAGGCTAGAATATCAAGTTTTATGGGTGAACAAGCAGGTTTTTCTTACCAATTTTGCTTGTTTTCGTCAACTTTTTCGGGTATCATCAGCTGTACGGGTTTCTTTATCCTTCAATCGTCGGCTTTTGTTTGGCTTTTTTCTATTTTCCAGTGGAAAATTTCCACAGTAAGACTGAGAGAAAAAACGTAAGTAAGCCCATTCCGATAGATCTTTTCAGAAAGTTTCTTCCCATGTTTTGGATTTTCGAAGAAACGCAGCTCATCTTGAAACCAATAACCTATTAAAGCGAGCCGAGTTTCTGGAGGGTAGCGATTCATCTCATCGAACAAGGGATGACGTTGTCGGGATTGAGGTTGCTCTTGAAAGACGTGATGGCGAGGGTACAGCTCCTGGTAGTCTTTGATTTCGACCCCGTAAACTGGTCCGTATAAATCGACAATGGCGTGGTAGTTGCTGCGCGCGTTCAACAAAGGAAGCCGGAATGTGAAGAACTCGTCGTTGTAGAAAAAACCAATTTCAGAGCGGCGAACCTGGATGCCGATGACGTCGAACTCTCGAACGCAACGTAATATCTCTTGAGCTTGTGGGAATCGCCTTGTTCTATCCACATTTCCACCTACAGTTAGGCCGTCAACTGTTAAAGGATCAGCAAAATTAGTTCGAATGTTTCAAAGGCTTTGAATCAAAGCATTTTTGCTCATTCGTGTAAACATGATCCTTTCCTGACAAAACAACAGAATTTTTGGCCAATGATGCACTAGGTACTCTTGAAGCCTCTTCCAGATCGCCAAAGACAACACCTATTTCTATTGAACCTGTCCATGATGATAGAACTCGATTAACTTGGACGGCAAAAATACGATTTCCAATTTGCTCTTCTGAGAACAAAATCCCGCCACTTCGTGAAAAAGGTAAAAACGACTCATTAGAATCAAGAGCATCCCTTGTTTCGACCTGTTTTCCTGAAATTTTGCCTATATCTCAACCTGACTGCATTCGTCTTACAATCACCCAATCTGATGTTGGGTCCATGATGCTCTGCATGAAACTTGCCTACAGTCATCTGAAAAATGAAAGTAACAAAAGTAGAATTAGAATTTTCTTTTATTATTTGGAACATGAAGAACGGTAGAAAGGATATTTTTTGATAAAAAAACGAAATCAATAGTTAAAAGTTTAAACTAAAAAACAGAGTTTCGAACAGAAAGTTTCAGAAGAAAAATAATAAGTGAGCTATAGAACACTCCGTAATTCTATCGGAAAGGCTATTAAAATTAGACTCAAAGTTTCGCCTTTTTGGGACCTTCTGACGTCATTTATGACGTCATTCTCTAGAAAATTTCGAAAACGATTTGGTCGAATCGACTCAAAATTTTACGGGCTTTCATAAGGCTACAAAATCCGGCCAGGTCAGAAATTTGCCTGCAAAAAGTTTTTTAAATTCATCTAACTTAAATTGTTGATAAAAAAGAGGACTTCATTTTAAGGGGGTAGCGGGTCGAGCAAAAAGTGTAGTTTTACTTTGGTAACGAAATTAATGACAAAAAATAAGCTGAAATTGGCACATTTGGGTTGTAATTGAATTTGCAAAGAAAATGATAAACTAAAAATGATTTGAAAAGGGAATAAATACTGTAGTGGATTAATATATGCAAGTATGACTTTTGCAACAAAGTTGATTTCCGCCGCGCGCAATGGCCATAAAGCCATTAGCGCGCGCATTTCAAAACCACTACCACCCTCTGAATCCGCCACCACCTTCTGTCGTAAAGCGCACTCACCCGATTCCACCGCCACCCTCGGCTCGTGAGGCCCGATGAAAACTCGCCACCCGGAACGAAATGCTATAAAAAGAAGCACCCTTTTTACTCTGTGCCAGTCTGTACCAATCTGCGCCAACATCTATACCACAAATTTCTGAAAAACGAATACTGCTCCTACTGACTGTTCTGTCAGTACAATAAACGCTCCGTAGTTGTTTTCAACTACCCCCACAACAAAACGCCTTTAGTCTCCAACATTTGATATTGCATATATAAAAGCACTACAAATTTTGGTGACTGAAAAACGGCGAGGAACTTTAAGACTAGAGTCCATCGCTTAAAGTTCGAAGACCCCCGAAGCCTACTTTACCGACAACGATACGAAAAGAGCTGCTGCCTACGATCTCCGAAAAAAAGAAAACTTCAACAAAGGTTAGTACCCGGTTCAAAGGTCCCTAGATATTTCTCAAAAGTCCAGAGCGAGTCCCACTGAGCGGAGTGTTATCCTTAAGAGGCACCACCGACAGGCAAGCTTTTAGGACTTATAGGATCGGACCTTTAAGAAAAAAGGCACCAAATCAACAGCTCTCACCAAATTTTCGCTCATCTCTTTGAAAACATGTCCGAAATGTATTTCAAGCACGTACAAGACCTTAACAAAGGGGAACTACTAGTTATTTACGATAACCTCGAGGGAAAAACTTATCCACCAAAAATCCCCATAAGCGATAAAGAATCCATTTGCCACAATATTCTAGCCTTGGATAGAGATTTTTTCGATAAAAATCGAAAATATGTTTTTGAAAAAAGTACTGATGGACAATTCGTTCGATACTTTCCTCAGTACCAAGAGGACGGCCAAAACCAAAAATTCGCGCAAGCTCGTCATAAAATTGACACACAAAAGATTTTGGCGTCCCGAAATGTAGAAAATCTAGATGCTTTGATCACATCGCTTAAAATAGAAACTGAATCCGTTTCAGGCTCAGAGCTTTCAAATGATTCGTCAGCTGATTCAGCTGATGAAACGGTCATTCAAAACGGCCAGGAAGCTCCGAAGCCACGAAAACAAAAGGTGAAAACTGAAAAGCCGGAATCAAAAGATGTGCCGCGGTTCAAGAAAGAATTCGCGGGACACATTCCGAAACAACAGTTCGAACCAAAAATTTCGCGTTCTTCAAATCTAAAAGTAAAACCCCCACGTTATGATGCATCGATTCCGATCCCAGCTTGGCTTAAAAATCTCGAAATTTACGCACGATGTTCAAATCTTTCTAGCAGCGAAATCATTACCGTTGCACTAACATCGCTGCTCAATGAGTCCGAAGGATCTCATATAATCCAATCTCTGGAGTCGGAAGACATGAAAGACTGGGGCAGATTTAAAGATCGATTAACTAGTATGCTTGGGAAGAACACAGACTTTTACAAGTCTGAATTCAAACAATATCAAAGAGGTTCCGACAGTTTCGGCATGGCTGTTAGCAAGCTTATATCGCTGTACAAGCAAGGCTATGACCTCACGAACCTCAGTGAAAACGATCGCTCCATCATAATTGAAAGATTTTGCGAAAGCCAGAATAACAAAATGAAAGAACTTTTGATGCGAGAAAAATCGCAACTAACTCTTGATAATGTTGCAAAACGAGCAGCGGAAATTGAGGCCTCCATTCCGAAAAAGGAGATCAACTTCAGTATCAAAGCTGAAGATGATGAAAAAGCTCACTTCCGCGAACTCGTGAACAAGCTGTACCAAAAGCTTGACCAAAAATCTTCCCAAAGCACACATCCAAAATCGGGCAGCAAACGATCAAAAAGGTCGAAAATCGACGTTGAAAAACTGAAGGGGCATTGTTTTTCGTACACAAAGTACAACAGATGCAAATATGCAGAAAACTGCAAATATATTCACTCTGACAAAGTGCCAGCAGATGTTTTGGACTATGTGAAAAAACAGGAGTGACTAGACGGCCATAAACATGCCATTTTCAACTTTTGTCCAAACTATAGATCCGCTTCTTCAGACCTAAAATTCATCAACGTCATTGTCGAAAACTTTCAGTATCCAGCCTTGATCGATAGCGGCTGCACCCGAACTTGCATTAAAGACACCCTCCCTTTTGTTCGTAAAACAAGAAGTTCTGATGTTGAACTCTTGGTCGCAAATGATGAAATAGTGCGCCCAAGAGTAATGTGCTCACCGGTCAAAATCACGGTCCCTTCTGATGATGGTAAATTTACCCTAGACCCCTTACCTTTGGTTGTTTCGAACCTATCTTGTCCAATTATTTTAGGACTTGACGTCTTAAAAAACGTTTCTTTTTGCGATGGTGAGAACTTTATCACCCTTGAAAACCATCGGGTAAAAACAATTAACCCATCAATTTTTTCGAAACAATCAACAAAAGTCTCAGCAATTATCGAGATTGACCTAAACTCCGACCTTGAATCAAAATCGCTTGAGAACTTTCAATCAGTGCGGGAAGCACAAGCGAAAAGGGCAAATTTCATTCCTGAAATTGGGAATTACGGGGATGCTTCTGAAAATGAAAAGCTTTCACTTCAGGGTCTTACCGAAAAATATAAACTTGCGTTTTCTATGTCACCAGATGACCTTGGCAAGTTACATGGATTCAGATTCGCACTTCCAACGCATGACGAATCTCTGTCAAGCCATCAACCTCCGAGACCAATTCCAGTTCACTTACGTGACCAAGTTGAAACCGAAATCAACAACTGGAAAAATCTTGGAATCATAGAAGAGACCCAGTCTGATTTTAACATCCCCCTCATTATTCTCAAAAAGCCCGATAAAACGATAAGAATTTCGCTTGATGCTCGTGGGTTGAACAAGCTTCTAAAGCTAGATCGGTTTCCACTTCCCCATATGCTAACTGTAATGACTAGGATTGGTGAAAAACTCACAAAGGGAGATGCATGTTACATAAGTAGTCTTGATTACCACCGTGGCTACTGGCAAGTACAGTGCGCTTCATCTGACTCGCATAAACTTGCCTTCAGCTTTGGTTACAAGCACTACCAAGCAAACAG